TCGAGATCTAGTTCTTGAGCAAATTTCACTAACTGTTTGATACGAGGGAGGAACTCCAAGATTCGCCGAAATCAGGTCCAATGCCCGGCCCGTGACCACAGACTACAAGCCAAAAGTGAGATAATCCACATAGCCTATCAACAGGATAGATGCTACCTTTCTGAACCAAAGTACGCGTTCTTGCACGGGCATTCCAGTCACCTCCAATCGAGCTTTGATGTGCAAGCGTTCATTGACAGGTACAGTGGATGATTTGTCCCTAGGGTCCCCCGCAGAAGCACTATGACGCATCTTCATGAGTGTAACTTTCTGTATCTGGGCTAATTTCTTGGGGTCTGTGGGAGGCTTGCCTGTGTGTCGGACAGCCAGGGGAGTATGTGAAGGTGGGTTGGAAAAATGGCGGGCGAGGATATGTTGAGCATCCTTCTTCTCATCGGACTCCTGCTTCTGAAGGCCTGTACATGAATGCAAATCTGGATGACGATGACTAACTAGTTTGAGCTCCTTGTGTAAAACGATTCCAGAAAACATACTCGATACAAAATGACAGAAGGCATTTCGTGCATGCCGCAGATGAAGTTGGTTTCGTTTCGAGATTGACCTCTTGACTGATAACACTTTCAAGGCTCGGTTTCTTGCAATCTCCAAGAGCACATCTCTGGCGTTTCGCGATGGGAGCATGTTCCTCGGAAGGCCCACTGGCATCTAGTGACGCACAAGTGTGCTTATCAGGGGAGATGTGGTACCTACAAAACACCTTGTTACAGTGACATTTGATTGGTAGGAAATCGACCTCATTGCAGGACGTTAGGTCGCAACGCAGTCCGACTGCATCAGGCTCCATAGGATATCAATTATATCGAATGACTTGGAATCACTGCGGCCGCAGCGTGCACTGTGTACCGAGTGTAACTTGTCATTCAAGCAACAAAATTATTACGTAATTAAATTGACGTCAAGCAAGAGTAGCAAGCGCCCAGCTGCAGCAATCCTATAACTTCTTCACCACCACCCGGACGCAAATTGTCATGAACATCATAGTGCGGTCTCCATCCCAATTGTCGCTTAGTATCTGCTAATATTCACAAAGGAAACTCTGTTTGGAAAGACGGTTACGCCTGCTGAGCGATTGCGACAGCATCAGCGTGCATTGAACAAAGCACAACGAGAGCTTGACCGTGAACGGTCAAAGCTTGAGCAGAGTGAGAAGAAGCTTGTGGCAGACATCAAGAAAAGTGCCAAAGCTGGCCAAATGGTACCTTTCCTTCCCTCGTTGTGCATCAATTTCAATGTTCTCAGTAGAATGCGTGTAAAGTGATGGCGAAGGACCTAGTTCGCACCCGGCGCTATGTCCAAAAGTTTTACCAAATGAGGACACAACTACAAGCCGTTGGACTGAGGATACAGACTCTAAGAAGTAATCAACAAATGGCAGATGCCATGCGCGGAGCCACGAGGGTACGTTGCGATTCTTCACTTGTTCAACCCTGCATCCTCATTGACGCCTTTTCCAGGCCATGGCTTCCATGAACAGGGGATTGAACCTTCCAGCTATCCAGAAGATCATGAATGAGTTTGAAAAGGAAAGCTCGATGATGGATATGAAGGAAGAAATGATGTCGGACGCTGTGGATGATGTTATGGAGGATGATGCTGAAGATGAAGAGGAAGAAGGTGATAAGATATTACGAGAGGTTCTTGACGAAATAGGTGTCAATCTTTCTCAGCAGGTGACTATGATGCTATCCCTATCTCATATATATATATATTCATCCACTTTCGTTTGCAGCTCACGGATGCACCTACTGGTCTCGGTTCAATATCATCACCACTGACAGAACGCAGACCAGTGGCATTGGGGGAATCGATTGGTGGAAGTGGCTCTCCCAAAGGCGACGACACGGCAGGGGGTGGCCCGTCAGATGAAGATAGCCTCCAAGCAAGATTAGACGCTTTAAGACGAGGGTGAAATCCAACTCATACATCCCGCCCTTCACTTTCACACATTCTCATCGACTGCCTAGCTATCTCATCACGGAATATATATCTGTTTTCCTCGCGTGAATTTATACCTTCAATGCCACGACATTTTTTGCATCCTGTAGACTGAAAGACCAGGATATGCCTGATCCACTGTAGAACCCATCCACGTCTTCTTCCTAAAAAAAAGCAGGTTAATGACCGAAATGACATTCGATTCGGAAGTTTACTCACATTGTCCAGGTTCAGTAACGAACTGATCTGCTGCAAGCGCACAAACTTTTCCCGGATGTCTCCAAAGATCGTTTGGGACGAGAGATATGCCATTATTGATCGAAGGTCACGGTCGAAACGCACGGCACCCAGCTGTACTAACGTTACCTTCAAGATGATCACGGAGAAGTATAACGCCTACCTCAGAGAAATGCAGCGTCAAGATATACTTCTCCCAGGGTCGGGCGATGACATCGAGTGCGAGCCCAAACAACATGCGATAGTTATTGTCCGTGAATGCATCCTGTACAAATATCAATATATGCACTAGATGTTGTGGCGGAAAGCTGACCTTGTAGCCATCAACCAATCCTTCCCATGTTTTAACAAACCGCTTCCGAACCACGTCATGTTGTTCTGCGGCGTTATAAGAGTCTTCGTCGAGTACATATGACACGTCTTTAAACACGTCTGGAATTAAAGTGCGCAACTTGGGTCTCATTAGCTGGTTAAAAAGCTGCTCTACGCCTGCCTAAAATCTAGTTCAGTGAAGTGATCCTCGGTGAGAATAAGCAAGTACAATACTTTCAGCGCCGAACGGAATTTAGCTACAGATCCCGTTAAACTGGAAATTGCCCTTTTCACGTGTGATTGTTCTGCATCCAGAAAAAGTTGAGTGATGTTTTGGTGACCAAGAAGGTCCTTCGTCAATCGCTCCATGTGCGAAGAAGATAGATCAAGATCATTGAGGAGAATCTTGTACACAATATGTCGGCGTAAAATCCTAGTTGACGGGAAGGTACTCACGATGAACGATGTACGACACTCTCGCTCAGATTTCTCCCCACGTCCGCCACCGCCGGTGTTCGCCGCCGTTCGATAAACATCATCAAGCTTCCGCTTGATGCCGCCAGCATAATCATGGTCCATAAAGTCCTTCAAGAGATCAGTCATTCGCTCAATATGCTTGAGCGAGCCCGCAGACAGAACTCGCGAGTAGACTGTCTTGAGAATGTAGAATACATCGTCTGGCGTTGTAGTAGTGACGGGCGATTGCGAAAAGTCAGGAGACGATAATCGGTGAGCCTCCAAAATAGTTCAGTTCAAGGTTCTGACGTGTGCGAGAACAAATACCTTGTCGATGATAGTACGCATATACCATGTCTCCATCGGAACGTAATAAGTCGCGAGAAGTTCGTCGAACTCTTGATGAGAGCGACTAGATTCCACAAGTTGTAGTAGATCTGGTTGAATGCCAGGGCCCCAAGCGTTAAGATTATTGTCGATCTGTGACTGATGTCCTTCATGATCGGGGCCTCGTGAAACAGGAGTGACCCGGCCGCTCTGAGCATCTTCCTCGACATCTTCATCCTTGGCGTTGTAAGCGCATGGGTTTTGCATGGATCAGGATACTCACCTGCAGTTGCTCTACAAGAAACTTGCGGAACAGGAACCATCGACCGCTCATACCTGCAATTTCAGATAAGAGTTTGTCGATCTCGCGAGGGTCCAATTCATCGTCATCTTGTGATGAAACCTGGGATGATTGCTTGCGGGTAGGTGCGATGGAGAAGGAAGAGTTGGCCACATCTAGAAGCTACTGGGCACTAGTCTCGAAATCATCATCTGATCACATGGATTAGGTACTTCACCTTTCTTTTTATTGACCTATCTTCTCTCCAGCTATCCAATGTAAGCCGCACAACACGGTCGCATTCATCGAGTAAGCGTTTGATGACGGTTGTCATCTTACCTGCCCCATAATATTTGTCAACGACCGGTTGGTGGTGGTCAACTATCATGGCAACACTTTCGAGTAGCGCTGTAAGTGCAGTCACAAAGTATAGAGGTGAGGAGGCTAAGTGAGATGTAAGAATATGAAAGTTGTCCAAGCCTGATTATAGCGTACTTTTGGCTGACGTTGGAGCTCTCACTCGCACAAGATCGACCACGAACGATGCATAGGCCTCGAGGCCTTCTGCCTCCCAACCAATAGTAGGAAAGAGTTTGAAATAACGAGTCGTAGCTGCAGCATCTCGCTCGCGAGATGCTTCTTCGAAGTGACTCTTGAAAATGGATAAAAGTTGTTCTCGTGCAGCCTGCAGGGTCTGTGCTGGAGGCAAATGACTCTCAGCTGTAGGCTGCTCAGGTTGGTGAGAGCAGTCTGGAATGTTTCGAATGGTTACTCACAACAACAGACTCTGCAAAGGGTCCTGAAATAATTGTAAAGGGCAAGGACATGGCGCGCGCACAACATCTGGCGGCCGACTCCCAGTCTTGGTTTTCGATGCAAGATTGTAATTGAGCAAGAGAGGACTGTATGATAGCATCGGCTGAATCTAAATGTGGATGGACGACATTTGAAGACATACTTTCAGTTCCATGACTTGTCCGACCCGCTCAGCAGCCTCTCCAACGCGCCTCATTTCCTCATCAAGCGAACGTACACGTCCACCCACGCGTTCTGCTGTCTGGGCAGTAGCTGAGACCTTGCTTGAGAAGTTCGCTGCTTCAATCTGAAGGTCATCGAGACGCGGAACGAGAACCTCTAACTGCTGGAGTGACTTGTCGATAGATTGACGATTTGAGAGAAGTTCTGTCAGGGAGTTTGAGAGTTCCGTTTCAGCAGATTGATACCACGACAAGCATGATAGTATTTCATTTAGAGAAGTAAGACTTCGTGGATCTTTTGGGGATTGGAGGTCGTCTGGTGCTGTATTGAGGATACTCTCGGACATTGGAGGTGACTGCTATTATGATCTAATATAATTGGATTATGTGGGACTGGGCCCGATGCAGTACGTATCATAACATCATAAATATTGCACTGACTGACTGACGCCGTGAACTGCTTCCTCCAATTCTTCCAGTATACTCGCAAGATGTCTCATGAAATTTCTGATGTGCTCACAAACGTTGCTCTCCCAAAAACTCAAGCGACCATAACTCTTCGAGTAATCAAATCCTTCGAATACCGCACGGAACGCAGTCTCGTCTTACACATGTTGAACCTGGAGATCACAACAGTTGGCGAGCTCAAGGATATGGCTCGGCGAGGTATGCCACTCTGTTTAGCATATCCCAATTTGCCCCATCCCTTCCTGCAGCTATTCAGACTAGTTCAGGATGGAAGCCGTATCGGAACGTGCATCTAGGTTAGCATCATGGCCTCTGTCATTCATAGGAGAATGTTCAAATTTTCTGGCACAGATACACTCAAGTTATACACCAAAGCTCACGGTGCTAAGGTATGGTCCCCGAGCCGTACAATTTTGAGAATTGGCCTAAAAACCCCTGTCAGACAACTAATCTGATCATCAATATGGACCACGACGACTGGATTTTCGATGATGACGCCCGCACCCTAGCTGAACTTGGTATTGGTGAGTCCTTGTGTAAGGAAATAGGCCATCTGTTGACAGTCACGCGCTAGAAAACGAGACAGAGATCAGCTTCTTTAATCGTGTAGCCTACAATGCCTTCAAGGAAAATCCCGAAGTACAATCTCCTCTCATCTTGATGAAGTTCTTCCTGCTCACTGCTGTCAAACTCAGATTCGATGGGACATTCCTCCGTAATGCCGGGAGCCAACCAAGAAGTGAGGAAGTGTTAATGAAATGAAAATGCGTATTAAATGTAACGAGTGTAACAAATGCGAGTCTCTAGCGCAACAGATATCATGCTAATCATGCAAATGGACATGCGCAAATCACTGATTTGCGCATTGAACACGCGGCTCTCCTTCGTGATCCTCGTCCATCGACTCATCTGACATAGCACTTGCCTTTGACCGCGCGTCAGGCTCATCCAGATCCACCTCCTCGAGATGAATATTCTTAGGGAACTTCTCGATCTCTGTTCGTGGTGGTAGTGCCCTCTCAAGCAAAGAGATAACGGCTGGATCGATATGTTCGGGGAAATTCACAGTGAACTTCACAAACAAATCTCCTGGCTCGTGATGTCGCTGAGAGGGCATTCCCTGGCCGCGTATGACCTTGACAGCATCTGCCACAAATATCAGCGTCATGTTTTACCACCGCGCTCTTCATAAATGCTTACCGTTCTTGACAACCTCGCCAGGAACAAAGTTCACAATGAGGGCACGATCGTCGAGGTGACGAATCCCAACTCGTCCACCGCCGAGGGCTGTCAGTAGATCGATCTCCAGTTCTGTTATGAGATTTGTGTCTTGACGTTTGAAGCGGTCGTGCGGTTTCTCTTCTATGACGATAACGACATCTCCTGAGTCGGCGTTTGGCGACTGATCACTTTCTCCGCTGAACACAATCGTTTGGCCGCCCTTCATACCCTTGTCTATGTGCACTTCCAAAATCTTCTTCTCAGGCATGACTTTCTTGCCTTTGCATTGCTGGCAGCGATCCTTTAAATTAATCATCTCTCCCGTACCCGAACATTCCTCGCAGGCGGACTGTATCTGCTGGATCATGGGGCCCATCTGGCGTAACGTGACCTTGATGCCACGTCCATTGCATGAAGAACATGGTCGCACAGCACCCTCTTTCCCACCGCGACCGTGGCACTTAGAGCAAAGTGCGTTGCGAGTAAGAGCAAGTTTAGTTGTCTTGCCCTTATACAGATCCTCGAGCGTGACGTTTACGCGATGTACGAGGTCCTTAGTCTTGCGGGCAGCCTGCTGGCGATTGCCGCCGCCGCCGCCAGCACCAAAGAATCCGCCGCCGCCGAACAATTGACTGAAAAGGTCCTAGGGGTTCAAGTCAGTCTAATGCCACCATCGATGTCGACCAAAGCCTTACCTGGGGATCCATCCCACCCATTCCGCCCTGCTCGGAAAGACCAGCTTCACCTCGAGCATCATATATACTACGCTTTTGGGAGTCAGAAAGAACCTCGTATCTACAAAATGAGACAACAAAAATTTGTACATGTAATGTAAGACATACGCATGTGTAACTTCTTTGAAGAGTTCTGGGTCACCACCTTTGTCGGGGTGTAGTCTCAAGGCTCTGTGAAACAGTCAATGACGTTCAGACTCGCCACGATTCTTATCTCACTTTTTCCTGTATGCCTTCTTCAATTCAGGCTCTGAAGCATCTACTGGGACTTCCAGGAGATCATAAAACTTCCTGCGATGAGTGTTAGCATACAAATTGGTTTGAATATCACTAGCCGCACGTTTCTTTGACCATGGCGGAGGAAGGATAATAAGACAGCGATGTGGTTGACACAGAAGTGGACGCTGTTCACTTTTCTAAGGATTCCACCCGCGCTCAAGAATCCTGTGGAACCTACCAGAATTTTCTCTAGCTGTGCCGGCTTCTCTCAAAATGGAAGCGGTCCTTTTTCGATCATTTTTCACTGCCACCTTGCCATCAGCTCACACAGCTTCGTAGACACAGCTCGACGAGTAGTAGTACATCTGGATCCTCTAAAGTTCTTCTACTAAGGTTGTAGTCAAAGAATCATGAGTCATGCTTCAACGATCCCCCTTGTTCGAAAGACTACATAGCTACGTCGACAGCACTGTTGCCTTATGCTCTCCATACTTTGTTATCAAGCGCTCACGTCGGGATAGACATCAAAGCGACGCTGTTTTGTGACTGGTATTCCAGCTCTTACCTCGTGGAATGGTTCAGGATCTAAATACCGTGTTAAATCAGCAACTTGTAAATAACGAGCACGATGTCAAATTCACCGATATCGACATGCAGAATCGTCTCATTCTCATCAGCCTCCGCAAGTACACGGCCACTGAAAGTTGCTTTAGTGCGATCAGTGTACGTTAAAGGATATGCCTTACTATGGGTCAACGACCATCGAGTGTCCCCACTATCATGATAGTTCAAATCTCCTGGTCGCACAATTATTGTGGCGGTTCACTTACTGAATGGTACCCAGCGGTCATATCCCGTGCTGGACTGCACATGGAAAAGAAAACCTGATTATCATTGGCCCTGAAGGCTACGTCAGGAACTATTGAGCACAGTTGGACAACGCGCTACCGAGCTCGTTGAAGCAGTTCCCAATGCAAAGGTCCAGTGGTGAGGTTAAATGCCCCAGGGTAAACCATGGCATGACAACCTTAAGAGGTTGTGGGTTTTTCGTTTTTCGTGTAAATCATGTAACCACAAACCTCGCCGTGCCGCAATCATCGATAGTTCCGGGAACCTGACGTCGTAGCACAAACCGAGCCCAATACGTGCAAATTCTTAGGAGAGTTTCATCGAGTGTGGCGCAAGCACGTTGAATGAAGTTCGTACCAGTGTCAAAATAGTTCGTCGTCGTTCCTCCTGTCAACGTTTCACTCTCCTGTAGGTACGATGAGATCCAGAAAAGACGCTAAAGCGGGAACTAGTAAAGGGTATACCTTGAAATTTATCTTCCCAGGGATATCGATGTCAAATAGGTGAACCTTGCGATGTGATGCAACAAGTGCACCTCCATCCACGTACATCAGTGTTGATTGGAAAAAGTTTCAGGAAACTTGACACCTGTCGGAGAATACACAGTGCAGGTGTTGTAGATGTTGTTCGTCTCCACATCTCTCTCGGGTATCGAACCTGTTAAACAAAATATAAACTTTCTATCCCTTTGCCACATGTTTGAGCGAGGTATGACCTCCGATGAGCCAGATTCCCGCCTCCTTCGCAGCAGAAGACAGCATCTTAACACTTTCGCTTACACTCGCTTGAATATCATACTCCTTGCCAGCAGTGTAGCTAATGCTCTCGGCATACGCGGGGAAGTGAACAAAGCCGTACGGCGAGTTGAAACATTCCTGAAAAATGAGTTAGAGCTGGGTGAAACAAGATCAATTCCATACCGGCAATACAACAACTTGAGGCCTCTTGTCTGAATTGCTCTTTGCTGCCTTCATGATCATCTCGCGAGCATGGTGAAGATTGGCTGCCTTGTCAGAGCCGATAGAACCAAGCTGGATAAGCGTGAGGGTGAATGGCTTGAAGACAGGAGGAGCGACTGAAGTCATTGTGCGGCAGGCAGAATGCTTGAGATTGTGGGATAACAGCAGTGCTCCGGATAAACGCAGGTTTGGAAACATATACAGCTAATTAAGTCTGCCCCAAGTTGTCGCCGGCTTCCAAGTATCTTATATCACCACTACCGGGCCGAGGCCCGGTGCACCGTAAGACGGTCTTATCAGACTCTACACAGGTCGTTACTAACTCTTTAGATTCAGCTACTCCAATACTTATCAATAACATCAAGTTCAGGTTGGTGAACTAAATTCCAGCTTGTGACTGGCATTATGTAAAATGAATTTGTTATTGACTACATATTTATCAGACTATCATGGCGAGTTGTCCACCAGTGCTAGTGATGTACAATCCCGTCTGTGGAGATGGCACTGCCGAGACCTTTTTCAATGAGCATGTCTTTCCTCGTCTCGAGGAAGCGCATATCCAAGTTACCCAAAAGATGGCAACTGGAGCCGCTGGACATGCGGGTACCATAGCGTTCGACTTTCTCGAACGATATGAGGGCAACGTGACAGTCATATTGGGCTCCGGCGATGGAACTTTGCACGAAATCATCAACGCCCTCTCACTCGTGGCACTGAAGGGTGTACGCAAGAATGTTGTATCATCCTCAGTTCGTGTAGTTCTTATCCCATGTGGGACGGCAAACGCTCTCTACTGCTCATTGTTCAAGCCAATCTCCATGAATGAGGGCCCGGCATACAAGCTGAAGTCTCTTGAAGCATTCATCATGGGTTCGGATGTCGTTCCACTCACGCTGACTGTCACGACCCTATCTGCTCCACCGAGCTCAAAGCAAAGTTGTTCCAATGTCGCTGTTTCGGCGGTAGTGACATCTACTGCTTTGCACGCCTCTATCCTCCATGACTCCGAGAGTCTGAGGAAAGAACTGCCAGGCATTGAAAGATTCAAAGTTGCTGCGAGGAACAACATTACACAATGGTACAGCAGCCATGTCAAGCTGTTGCCTACGCCATCTGCTCAGGCTGTGGAGATATACGATCCAGACCAAAAGACTTTCGTAATTCACAAGGATTCAGATGCTCATGGAATTGTGGATGTGCATGGTCCATTCGCATACTTTCTTTCTACCGTCAATGTCGATCGTTTGGAACCTGCTTTTAGAATCACCCCTCTTGCGTCCGACATTGTTTCGTCGGAGGTCTCACTAGACCTTGTCATGGTTCGACCTCACCGTGATCCCACCTTTGTCATGGATACCATAGAAGCTCGAAATGCCTTTGCAGAGAAATCAGTCGCTGTGCTAACTGCAGCATACCAAGATGGGAACCACATCAACTTTAGATATACCGACGATGGAAAGATGACCAATGAAGGGACAGGTCCCACTGTGGTAGAATATATCCGGTGCAAAGGATGGGAATGGATACCTGTGAGTTTTCCCCGCCTGATCTTCGTACGCCATCTGATAGTGAGTAGGATGAGGCCGACGAAAGGGCCCACCTTGTATGCTCGGATGGAGCCATATTCTCGATTGTGAAAGGCGGAAAGGCAGCATGCAGTGCAGCAGTACCAGCCGATGGTGCAGAATTTTCGGTATACGTCTAATGTCAAGCAAAGTTATTTAGGAGCGCATCTCCGTCACAGGTTGTTTGTGTAATGTAATGGGTTGACGATAATCTGTTGCGTTCGTCCGCCGGTCTTAGTACTGCGCTCCAACAGGTGCGATAATCGCCCTCGGCCCTATTAAATTAGATTTAGGCATGGTGAAAGGAGCACACCGTGTGACTTGAACTCCAGCCCCCTTGATATACGTAGTACGGTAGTACTAAGCTTACCAAGGTCCATGCTCTTCGCATAGAACACTGCGTCTGCTGACACCTGAGACATGGCCGAATAAGAGTCTGTGACAGATCCCGTTCAAATTGAGGGACAAATTATTAATATTTCAAATGATTGGGCGTGCCTACAGATGTATGATCAAAGCCTGAAAATGTCAACGATTAATTTTAACCCAGATTCATGCTCAAATGGGGAATTTGTGTGCATATAAATGCTGGATTTGTCGGCATGCATCTGCCTTACTGTTAAATGTATGATCAGATAATGAGAATGACTAGTTTATGTTGACCACAAGATTCATAAATAAATAGTAGATATAACACATATTCAATTTGTAATAAATTGAAACTCTGTTTTAAATCGGGTGGGGGGGACAGAGTGCGGCTATGTTGGGTAGGCACAGGGAATAAAAATCAAGAATATGTACATAGATATTTCCTACGTTAAATTCTGATGATGATCCTGAAAATGTGCATAGGGCATACGAGTGCCCCGTTAAGTGCACCACTTGGCGGGCTGATGGGGTTCGGAATTGAGTGGACTGATGTCCACTCAATTCATTATTACTAGTGCTGCCGCGGTCCGGTCCAGAACCACGGTTCGAACCGGACTTTTGGTCCAGTTCTCTGTGGTTCGGTCCATGGTTCCCTCACCAGCCAGAACCGGACCGGAAAGCGGTTCTGGGTTCTGGACCTTCACTAGTGGTCCGGTTCTGGTTCGACTTTCCCGAACCTTCCCGAACCGTTCCTTGACCTTCGAATTCCCTCGACTTCGACACCAACCATGACGACGTCAGTGTCCATGTCGACATCAAAACACCGTCTTCGAGATTTGCATTATTTGTTAATCAGGCTACTGTTAGCCTTTTTGAAGGTAAGTACTAATCAATTTATTCTCAAGACTCTGACATATGTTTACCTATATCACAGATATCTACTTGTTCTAGTCTATATGCTTCCTGGATAGTCATGATCCTCCACCGGTTCTCAACTCTAACAGATCTCCTTGGATATTGTCGCTCTGTGGTGTTAGGCTATGTGCCATGCATAAAACGGGGTGCCGACCAAAAAACTGTGAGTTATTTGCCTGACGATGTCTGAAGACTGCTGTGCTCTGAACGAAGGTCGCAAATGGGAGGGCTCGTCTTGAGGCAGTGGTGAGTACTATTCAAACTTAAGTACCCTACCGGTCTCTAACTCCAGATGTATTCTTAGTTTGACAAATATTATCAAGCGCCTCCAGCCCCAGGACCACATCCCAAGGAGCCAGAGGCCACGTCATCAACAATGAAAGCTTCGATTCATTATGGTGCTTCCTGGATGCGCGACGCTATCATGGAACGTCAAGCTACAGACCATCGCACGCGCGATCCTCATCAAGAGCTCTCTGCATACCTTACTTCACCATTGGAGGAGACTGATGATGTTGTGGCATGGTGGGGTGTAAGTCAGCCCTCAAATTCATTGTTCCCCGCTTACATTCCTGATTAGTTACATTCACTGCAGTACCCAACACTAGCTCGTGTTGCGCATGATTACCTGCCCATTCAAGGCAGTTCCGTTCCCTCTGAACACGCTTTCTCCAGCGCGGCATCACATCAACTCTGCGCCGCAACGCACTCGCATCATCCACTTTCTCCGCGCTACAATTGATGAAGGCAGCCTATAAGAATGGACATGTGTCAGCAGCAGTAGAGGCAGAAGGGTATGCAGTTGGTATGCAGTTAGACTAGCTACCCAATGTCATGTAGATGTCTTGTGAATGTTTTTTCCGTTGCTTGAAAAATTTTCAGTTCGGTTCGCGTTCGGACCAGACAAGAACCGGACCGGACCATTGAGAACCGTTCTCAATGGTCTGGTTCTGGGTTTGACAATTTTAAAGAACCGAACCATGGTTCGGTTCTTGGTTCTCGTCAAGGACCCTCTGAACTGGACCGAACTGGACCACGGCAGCACTAATTATTACTAGCTACCCATAAATACATCCACTCGTTATCACAATGTGTCTGCTATGCTATTCAATATTCAATATCAATATTAGCTGTGATTAAGTGTAAAGTCTAATCTACACGACTCAAGCAAAAAACAAGACCAAAAGCTGGTAACACTCACTAAGTAGTGAATCAAATTCAGTCGAAACTCTGACGGAAATATCCGACAGTGGGCCACTCAGCCGCTTCGGAGACCTCCGGCGGAGTCACATTCACTACTTAAGCCTCCAAACCTTATCATATGGTTTCTCTTTTCCATCGTCTCCACATTACCACCTCCCTAACATTAGTTAATCTTAAAGTTGTGTTGTAGAGGTCTTATGTTCATAATATGACATCTTTTGAAACCAAACCAAAAGCATAAATACAAGCAGGTAGTCTGACACTGGAATAATCCATGTCCTGGCATTATCCGCATCTGCTCTAAATATATGATGTGGCAGTAAAGTAAGGTCTCAATCACCTGCTCAATGAGTCCGTTTGAAATATTATGCCCAAAGCCACTCACTTTCGGTATCATCACTACTTCAAGCCACTCACAATTCATTGCGACTTTCCCCCTGAGCACATCTACACTCCTCTTCCTTTGACACAGTACATGTCGTTTCTCGCGATACGGACTGCACAACCTCAGCAGCACCTGATGTCCCACCACACACTCCATTGGAAGTTCAGTCACCCATCCCCATTTTTCTGCTGGCGAAAATTCCGAAACCCCGAGGAGATGTTTCTAGCGTCGAGAGGGGAGGTTGTAATTTACATGGGGCAATTGGCTGGCCTTCCTCAGACTATGAAGAAACTCGAGTGCGTGTCCTTACACCCACATCATATGACTCTCTTGACCATTATTCTACTGCAGACATTCGTAGTCCATCTCACCTGGGAACATCTTAAAATCAACAAGTCCTGGAGTTCACAAGCAAAGGCCAGTTTGACCATTGCGTAGTCTTTTGTCACTCATCTTTATCAGGCAAAAAAATGGTATCATATCCTTGATCATTATGAGGACAACTGGGTTGTTGGTGATATGCTCCGTATATTTTTGAAAAACAGTAGTAGTCGTTAGGAGTAACAAAGTCTGCAAGATACTATTGTACAGGGGATATGTTTCTCGGGTTCAAATTTAATCAGTCGGAAATATTTCCTGGCATTGTGACAGGGTATCCTTTTCTATGTCAGAATGGTGTGCTGGAAGGTCTGTAAACCCACCTGTCTTATAGATGGTCCCTGGAGCTAATAACTTGCCGCATAGTGCAGTTCCCAGGAACCTCAGCCTGCGTTTCACTTCTTTAGGTATAAGATAATCGACTCCGTCCAGGATTCGTTGTGCCACAGCAGGTGAGATGAGGTAGTCCTCTTGAAACCCCTATGACAATGGTCATCCATATAGATCGCAGAACCAATGATATATCTCACATCATTTTCTCTGACCTCATAGGTTTGTACTTCATCAGAACTCTCCTCAGGCAACATGATCTCGTCAACATCTACCTCCAGCAATGCGGCTTGTAGCGCAATATATATGCGCTTGCGTAATTGATTAGTTCTCATATGTTTCCCCTTACAGTGACGATCAATATATTTGTTAACACCTTTGTGCAGGTCGCAAATAAATTTCCTTTTCTTCGGTGACTGATATTGGTACCACCGACCCTCACTGCGGATCTTGGTCATTGAAACGATGGACAGGTGTTCGATCTGCTTTTGAAGTAAGTTTTTTTTTGGTGTTTGACAAGGTGGCAAGGTTTACTAACCTCGTCATCTGCCATAACAGTGTCCGCACAGCCATATGTTCCACTACTAGTGATGGGCCGGTCAAGATCCATATCAGATCCCATCCATACGTCCTGCCAATGTTCAGTGCTTTAAATAATGTTCAAATAATATACTAATAATTAACTCACGTTGTCTTGATGTCGCTGAAGCTCACACTCATAGGACTTCATCGATGCCCTGATACCCCACTTTAGTTCCTGGATTTCGTACTTCTTCAAGAAGTGAGAGCATGGGCATGGTGAAGGTCTTGCATATGGATTGAACCGTGTCGTGATAGGGCCAAGTGTTTCCTGAGATGGCATTGGTGCGATTGAATTGTTAGCATCCTGAACTTGAAACAAAAAGTCGGATATCCAGTCAGAAATCTGCAGTTTTTGTATCTCGTCGATTTCATAAGTCATGACAATTAGCGATTGCATTCTCATTGTAATCTCGCCATTCAAACCCAATTAAAAATGTTGTCGTACTTTCTCAAGTCTCCATGGTAATGATTGAACAATTGAACAATTGTCGTAGGCTTTTTCACACCACAGTAGTCTATGATACACTCATCTCGGGCTCAAAAGGTGCTGCTGCTGCAGGTTGAAACAGGTCGAGAAATAGTGATTCCCACATGCCGATCACTTAGATACCACTCGAGCCTGTGCTTGTTGCAACAAGACAAGCTGTTGCTTATTAATTATGGTCTCTATTGAGGAACAACTGTCTAGAGAAACCATTGGGATGGTCTATTGTATACAAAATTAATGTAAAGCTAGCTATCTATCTGAAAGCTAAGATGTGTCTATATCTATGACGTTCTGCTGATAATCATACATGTATCAGCATGATCGAAAACCTTCCCTTCTGCAGTAGTTATCTTTGACTTGTCCTTTGGGGTCTTCCCCATTGTATGAACGCTCCCTATGAAGTCACCCCGTATTAAAGTGAACTTCTTATTTGGTCCTGAAGGTGGTTCCGGGGCAATATCTTCAAGGCTAATTGTACCAATCTTCAATCCTGTGTTCTTCGTTCTGGAGGAATATCTGATGGCGATTTCACCATCTTTGACCAAGCCTTCATCGAGGATGAACGGGTCCGGGGCAACAGTGTCAACGAGTCAATTAAGGTAGGATATCCAATTGGAGGACGATGATTTGACGATGCGGAATTTCATGTGCCAATTACAGCACAATGCAGCGATGAGGGGGTTATGGACAATCACAGCAGTGGGACTGTCGGCTGTGAGCAATATGTGAGCGGGAGAAGATCGAATATGAGATGATGGGGCTATACCAGGAGAGGAAGAGGAACTTGCATCGAGAGGATACAATCGGCGTTCTTCCCTGTCATCCTCATTGAATACCCAAGGGTCTTGACGGGGGACTGTGGGGGGTGAGACAGAATGAAAAGTTGAATATTGACGAAGAATTAATTCTCACCACTGCTAGCATCCTCTTGACACCAATCAATCTCTAATGAGTCCATGGGGGCATCCCAAAGTGATTCCATTATGGCGGGAGCAGGCTGATTGGGATGTGACTCATCAGGAAGAGGCGAGTGATGAGGAGTTTTTTGGGGGGTGATATGTGGGGGCCGGATGAACGAAGATCGAACTAAATTGTTGAATTCCTGCTGCTGATTCTGAGGCAAGCGAGAACCATTAAGGAGAACTCCTATCCAGCTGCATCATGTGCGTGAGTGTCGAACAGACAAAATAAAATGATTTCTAACCTGACGACATAGGTTCGCAGGAATTCTTCTATCCGACCTTGAAATGCAACCTTGCATGTGTCCCAGGAGAGCAATTGCAAGGTACCTCGGTAGGATTTCATAGCACCTTGTATGATAAAGACCTCCTTGCCGACAAGGTGCTGCATTGGCTCACAATCTCCACGCCCACTGATTCTCACAACATATACAATAGAGATAGTGCACTATAACAATCACATTAAGCCTGCATGAGTTAAAACAATGGAAACTAACCTCGGTGTGGGGTGTGTCTTTGAATGTCAACATTTTATTAGTCAAATCAACTCGCAGTACTGTGCCTGACACATGGAGTTGGTCACCTCTGACTACTTGAACATTATCGCCAGCTACAACATTGTATCCACGCTCATGAGTATGTTGAAGGGCAGCAGGATTGGGAGTGAAGGCCGTTTCCCTTATCGGCACTGTTATGATCTTCTGTCGTGAAAACGAGAAGAATGAAACCATCTGTGTGATGGTGTCAACCCCATTGACTTCCCCAAATTCACAGACATGAATGCCCTCGGTTACAACGACCTGGTCACCTTTCATTGGAGTGTCATTGCAGATTGAAGTGTTCGTGGGACCCTGTTTGCTTATACTCCCAATGAAGGTCGCCAAAGAATCAAATCCAACGGTGAACTTGACGAAAGGTTAGCGATGATACAAAAGTTGATGGGCAACTTACTTCCGATTCAGAAGACTGGTCGAGTACAACAACGGTGTCGTCATCAACTTGGACAACCATTCCAGTTTTCCCCTTGAGTTGTGGCGCTGCTATACTGTTATCGAGCACACGAACATTGTCCCCCATGCGAAATTTCCTCTCCAGATCAGAGAGGGAGAACATTAGTGGTTTAAGGGAGATATTCTCTACTTGCACTGATTCCTGCATGTACGCTGATGCCGAATAGGTGCTCATGTCAACACAGTCAATCTTAGCTGTGCATCCAACCATTTCCCCCGCTCTAACTCTCACTAAATCACCTTCTATCCAGTGTTGGGCGGCGTATGCATGCAATGTACGTTGTACAAACACAGGATTGCATCTCGACTCCTTATGAAGTCTAATGCTCTCTGGGATGGGAAGTGTGATCTCAGTCACTGCGGTTCTACGCAGGTCGAGCGCCAGAAGGCCATGCATGTAGGTCTTCCTTCGACCCACAGAGGTTGAGACGCCATCGAGAGGATTGTGAAGACGCGGTACACTGGGATCCTTCCTGATACCCAGTCCTGAGTGGGCCCTAGATGGAAATAACACTCTGAGAGTGTCAGCTTGCTTGTCATACGAGTGTGCGAGGCCCACGTCAAATCAATATGGCCCACGCACGGGGTGATACCAACCAGGGATCGCCATGCTGTGTTCGACAGTGGACTGATCTTCCGGAGGGAGAAAGATGACGTCAAAAAAGCAGCTGCCATGGGAGGAGGGCCAAGCGTTCCTAATAGCATAGGTGTCCTTGGCCTTGACGCACAGATGGCCTGGAAGGGTAGAATGTGTGTAGACCTCAAAGCCCTTGTTTTTCAATTGCGTAGCTAAGAAAGACGTTTTTGAAACTGGTAATCGCGGTGAGACAACATACTTATTGGAGATATTGACTCACAGGGTACTGTGACAAGCCATGTCGGGAGGTTAGACACTGACGCTATCTCGATGTCTTGAGTAATCGATGTTGGCTGACTGACAACTCCAACTCTTCGAGGAGGCTGATCTGAGGCTGCTGGTGGTGCCAATGTCAGATTGGTAAAGACCTGAAGTTTGTCCTCAGGGGTATCGGCCTCCACGATGGCGTCCAAAGCAGACTCCCAGTGGGCCAACAATGTTGGATCATCCGAGAATTCCACTTCTAGAAGGTCATAGGCATGGGAAGAACTACTTTGGTCGCAAATGAATCGCATGATGATGCGACATGCGAGCTCGCTAGGCGAAGGAACCAATGGTGATGGTGTCGGTGCGCGTACTCGTGACGACCTGGTGTCATTGGTGATGAACCTGTCATAGAGGCTATCCACCATGTCTTGCCAAGCCCGTCCAGGCTGGAGGTTCGACTGACTGGAGGGACCGCTGAAGGTACAACAATTCAGATGGTGAGTCTGAACAATGTTGGGTCTTGCAGAACCTAGCTGCTATTTGACCCTAAAGGGTTTCTGGACCAGGCTCAAGGCTCAGAGGAGAGGAAATGTCATGAAAACTTGCTGAGTACTCAGACTCATACTGGTAACTGGTGAAAAGGTAACTTGATTATGTAAGCTACAAAAGTGCAAACATAACACTAAGGTAAAAACAGTCTCTGCAAGCCCAGCCAGAAATGAATCCCTACATCTCATGGGAACTTTGAATCATGACTGTCCCCAGTCATCTACCTATGCAAACCAAAGCTAAGCTAAACTAAGAAAACTAACCTGGGGGTCCTCAAACACCTTTTGTTTCCTTGACGTGTATGCCAGGTAAACTGCGCCAGTGAGTGAGGGTCAGGCAATGCGATAAAACGATAATCTCCAGACTTTGCTTTGAGTACTGGAGGAGCAGTGACGATAAAGTGATGTAAAACGCCATGATGGTTGCATGGACGACGATGGGGAGTAGACGGATAGAAAGAGGCGAACGAGGGCTTCGAAATGAGTATAGGGTCGACTAGGATTGGTGGAGAACTGGGTGAGAAATGAAGGAAATGGTGGAAATTGGAGGGAAACGCGAGAAGTGCGGATTGCGGAGGAATGCGCAGACGTATCTGGAAGCGGGGCGGACGGATGGAAAGCGGCGGCGAATGCGGTCAGAACGAGTATAGGGTTAATAGGTGCGCGATCGAGGGGCGAGGAGATATAGATAAAATGGTGTAAATGTGCGATAAAATAGAGGGGCGGCGGAAAACGCGAATGGTGGGCGAACGACGGAGCGGATCGGGGCGGCGATGGGCGCGAATGAAAGCCATAAATGAGGGCTTCAAAACGGGTATAGGGTCGATGGGGTTCCGAGGCAAAATGGGCTGGTGAAAGTGCGAAAAAGTGCGGAGGTGCAAGAGGGAGGAGGAGGAAGGGGTATGGTGCAGGGCAACAAGAGCTGGTCCTATCAAGAAGCAGATTGGGGCAATGGACAGAGCCACTGAAGGATGGTAAATGGCCAAAAGAGCTAAAAGACACAGGCCTTTGAGCACCCAGAAAACCCTTATCTCCCCTCAACTTCTCAAAAACACCAAAAACTCGATAACTCCACAACTACTGCTCCAAATTCGATAAGCCAGGGCTCAAAATGACCGGACGGACGTGGGAAATACGACCCAAAGTTTGCGAGAAATCCGCTCGAAAAACACGTGAGAAAAACACCTATCAGTGCGCTGGGGAGGAGGAGGAGATGCTGAAAACTGGGAATTGTGGGAGAAGCTGATAAGGAATGACTGTGGTAGGATAATAGGCGAATTTGTGGGATGGTTGGAGAGCTGGAAGAGCCTAGAAACACAAGAAACCCTCGCGGTGGGCTCCAGTTGAAGGTTCAACTATACAGCGAGGCACGAACAATGCTCCTGACTGTATCTATAAATGTTGTAAGGTCGCGCGTTGCCTAGTCTGCTATACTTGAGACGACAAGTGCGTTCGACCCTAAAGGGGAAGCGAGTGCAGCAAGGATCTAGTAGTAGGTGCCGAAGGTGCTACTGGTTGGCGAATGTGAAGCGCGGGAAAGCGCAGGTGCGTGTGAGGTGTGAGAACGCGCGAAGCGCGGGAATGCGTGCATGTATATGCGGAAACAAGAGAGAGTAAAAGGGAGTTTGCTTAAGTGATGATTAGACACTAGACAAGAGGTGAGAGATGCAAGCTGAGAGATGTTATATGCGAGGTGCCAAGGAATAGATTTCAACTATACTCCGCTAGGTAGTAAATGGGTATTGTTGTGGTTTAGTCCTCTGTCGTTCTGGTGGGAGAGTAAGTGGTTCTCGGTGGGTGAGTAAGTGAGTAATAGTATGTACTGCTGGTGCTTAAGTATGGCGCCTAAGCGCTGTCATGCGGAGCCGAAGCGCTACCGAGTAAGGTATGTAAAGATATATGTAAGTAAGGGTCCATGATAAAAATAAAGATGGAACAATAAGCACATGTGAGAAATGGAAATATACGCACTAGGGAACTTGGTGGACAGTGGATGGATGCTTCTGGATAGCTGGCGCTATAGGGCGCTCAAGCGTGGGAAAGCACGTGCACATATACATCGTGAAGCGCGGGAAAGGTACGCGCGCGAGTTGCGCATTGCGCGGGAAAGCTGCGCCTCATGTAGGAATAGCTGTGGATAGCATACAGAGTGATGCTACAAGTTCGTGCCATGTACTCCCTAGTGAAAACTGCAATATTGCACAATGAGAGGCACAAGTCTCTACATCTCCCAGGGACTTAAATTCTGAGTGTCCCCACTCAGCGTGTGTGTGGTGAGGATCTCGAGTGATAGTATGTGAGTACGATGCATGTACAATGCTTGGGTTGTTGGGCGATGAATGCGCACGTGTAGGAATGTATCGCATGGTATGCACGAAGCGCGGGAATGCGCAGGTGCGCGTGAGGCGCGAAGGTGCGGGAAAGTGCACGCGCATATGTGCTTGAGGCGTGGGAATGCAACATAGCATGGCGAATTGCAAGGGTGACTCTGGTGTGAATAATGCACCATGGGTGTGAGGCGATGATGCAAGAGTGATATGGCTGTGGTGTGCGAAGCGTGGGCGAGGCGCGCGCATATGGCGTGAAGCGTGGGAAAGTGTGCGCGCACAAGGCGCGAGAACATGCATGAGTGTTGCATGCGCTGCATTCTGTGGGGACGCAAGGGGCTGTTGCACAATGATCTCTGGGTCCAATATGTGTGTGTGAGCATGATGCGAAGTGGCGGGGTCCAAAAGCGATCCAATCCATGTCCAAACCAAGTCCTGCTAGGTGCGCTAAATATTAGGTGCTAAAGGTTTGAACAGCATGAGTAAAACTATATGCGAAAATATGAAGAGAAAACAGTAAACTTTGCGGATGTCCTATCCGACTTGTCTTCTTCGTGCGGCTGTCAACATCTACACCTTCCTATGAGCAAGGCGTGGGAAGCACGCGCGTGCGCATGAGCGTGGGAAGACTGCGTGCATATCTGCGCGTTTTAAGGTAAAAAGAGCATGGTGCCGCGTCATGCATGCGAAGAGAAAATAATATCCTATTGAGCTAGGGGGGCACGATCTAAGGTTGTTTTGTTGTTTTTCTTCTATATTCTTCTAGGCGATCCCTATATGCATATATATATCAGTGTATTATTAGTCCTTTGGACGGCGGTATAATGAGAGAAAAATAAAAATGAAAGAGCACTGGACAAAACCCAGGGTAAAACGAACGGTATCCTATGAAACAGCGTTGTTATGTGTCTTTTCTTTGATGTGCAGCTGAAGCGCTTGAAGCGCGTGGTGTGTGTGGCATAGGCGAGGGTCATAAGGCGCAAGGCTGGCGCGCTTGGGGTGCTTGGTTCCTCTTCATCAAGCCTTTTTGATTGCGACTCTGAGGCGGGCTAGTAACTGGCAGAATGAATTCCTGCACAACGCGCTGCAGGTTGAAGGCGCGCCAATGGGAGGTGCTGCAAGGGGTGTAGAGGTGCTCTACAAGCTGATAGGATGCGCGCGATGTGCGCGCCTTGGGGCGATTTTGCATGAATTTGATTACATTGGCCGAACACGCAAGGAACGGCCATTTCTCTGCAAATGTGTTAGCGAGAGACATATATAGTTTGGAATTAGGCGCAAATGTTGTGCAAATGGGCTGTAAGGGTGGTTTATCAAGGCGCAATAGGTGCATAGGTGGAAGAGAATAGTGCACATCAGGGTGTGCTGGAACGAAATTGACATGGTAAGCAAAAACATGAAGAATGCGAATAAATGTGGAAAGTGCGAAGTTAAAGATGATGATGGGGGAGTTAGGCGCATATGTATGTGTCCGGCGCACGCCTAAGTCGTGCCTGGATGGCTGATTGGAATATATTTCGTGTTGAATGACAGAAATGTGATTTAAAAGGGGAGAAACAATAGAAGTGCGATAGTGTGAAGACTCTGCTAAAATTATGAATGCGCGAGGCGCAGGAATTACTGCGCAATGCGTGCGATCATGGCGCGTGAACAAGGGTTGGTGCAAAGATGAAATTAAAGTGTTTGGAATTCTCATATAGCTCCTTAAGAGCTTTAAACATGAAAGGGACAAAAAACGCGAAATGAGATGAGGGAAACTATACAATGCCTCTAGGTGCACGCATTGCGCGTCCTCAGGCGCAATATGGTGCGCCTGAGTCACCCCAGGGTTGCCTGAGACATGCTCTGCTTGGTGGTTGTGCAGCGTGATGCACGGATGTTTTTCTGGCAAGCGATAGTCACTGGAAGCAAAAAGCGCGATGTGCGCGTGATCGTTAGTGACAGATGGAATTACCAGAGACAAACTCTGGTTGATGTGAGGTGTGACTTGAGCCTCTGATGCGGTAGAAGGCTCCTCTATAGGTGCGCTAAGGCGCAGTAGATGTTTAGGGTCATCCCTGACCTCTGATGATGCGAATGGCGATAGCGGTGATGGTGATGGGGCGATTGGCAAGATTTCTTCCTTAAGCGGTGCAATAGCGATAGGCGAGTGTGTTTCAAGTGATGGCGTAATAACTTCCACAATGGGCGCGTTATTGTGCAATAGATGTTTAGAGTCATCCCTGACTATAGGCGATGCAATTGATGCTGATGTGGGCAGCAAATAAGAATTGTCAGCGTGCAAAACAGGTGAAGAAAGAGATGATGATGGGGGCAAAGAGGCGCCTGCAGTGCGCTTCTGGTTGCGCTTCGCGGGCGCGTGCTCGAGTTCGTGATCTAAAGCGATGCAGTCTGGTATAGCTTTGTATGCTGGCGCAGTTGATGGTTCAGGTGAGCGTGAGTCGCGCGAAGGCGTGGGAAAATCGTGCGCGCGAGGCGCAAGAATAGGAACTGGTGGCCTTTTGTCAAGTACAACATCTGAGGATGCGTGATAGAAGAGTCTGGCTGTCACACTAGCGCTAGTGGATGTATCCTGTGTTGCGCGGCTCGTGTAGTATTGATCTTTGCGCTTAGTTACCATGGCTTGCACCGGTGCTTGCGCTGGCGCGGTCGCTGTGACTAAGTTCGCAAATGGCACTACTACAGGCACGTTAACTGGCGCGCTTGGCGCGGGAAAAGCGCACGCAGGTAATAGGAACTGTGCAGCTGCAAAGACGTCCATGAACGGATATGGGTTGTGTGGATAGTGGTCGGGGAACTTGATCATAAGGCGCAAGCGAATTTGCGGCTGAGCATCTCTAGGGATTCCTTCCATGAATAAGCGGTCGCGTTCGGCCTTTCCAATATGGTCTTCATCCATAAGTGGCTGCATAACCTTCCTGAATGCGTGCAAGTAATTGCTTAGTTCGGTGCAAGAGGGCATAGGTTTGTTAGCGTATTCTCGCGTGATGGCGCGTAAGTCCTCAAGTGTGTAGCGTCTCTTGCCATCCCATCCAGGATACATTACCTTAACTTCTGCCATGAATGCATCGTAGTTGCTTACTTGTGCTTCGGGCATGCCTCCCCATAGTTCTCGATCATCGCGTTCAAGGTAGCGAATAATACCTTTGATGCGATCGAGTCCTTGGAGTCCTGCTTCATCAGCGAGCTGCTCATATGTGTCAATGAACTCGGCGAGGTTGTCTGTAGTGCCATCAAACTTGGGCGCGTTCGTTGTGCCACGGATGGGCATTCTATAAGGCATTGAAGCATGAGAAAGGCGCGCGCGCGAGGCGCGAGAATGCGCGACTAAAAATGGTTAGCTTGTGAAAATGCAAAGAGATTGACCTATATGTGCTAAATGGTGCTAAGTGTGAAGATGCACAGAACTAGATCTTGCTGACTGTTCCCCTCGCGGTGGGCTCCAGTTGAAGGTACAACAATTCAGATGGTGAGTCTGAACAATGTTGGGTCTTGCAGAACCTAGCTGCTATTTGACCCTAAAGGGTTTCTGGACCAGGCTCAAGGCTCAGAGGAGAGGAAATGTCATGAAAACTTGCTGAGTACTCAGACTCATACTGGTAACTGGTGAAAAGGTAACTTGATTATGTAAGCTACAAAAGTGCAAACATAACACTAAGGTAAAAACAGTCTCTGCAAGCCCAGCCAGAAATGAATCCCTACACCGCCAAATTCCGCTGGTAATAACATATGGTGTTCGATTACCTTGCAAACATTAGACCAGGACATGTTGTTGTCGGTCTCGCCTGAGAACAATAGACTCTTCGCCTCTGCCCAGTCCTCTTCACGATATTGTGAACCCAGGTGCGCCACAAGTTTTGCTTGCATTTGACCAAAGGCCATATCAGTATCGAGAAATTCTTTCAGAATGCGCCATGCTGCCACATCTTTCAGAGGCTCTGAGGATGCTATTGCCTGATGATTGCCAGAAGCCTGATCATCGTCGCAAGCCTCGTCAGGGACTACAAAGGCTTCATCATCTGTATGGCAAAATGAGACATAGGTGTAGACGTAGACACGATCCAACGACTCACCTGCTTCAGAATAGTCTATTTCTGATTCTGACCCCTTGTCGACTTCTGCCTCGGTAGAAATGAATGTCTTCACCTTCTTCAAGATGGCATCGGTTTGGTTGACGCGTTTGACGCGCTTTGAAGACGCTCCTGGAGCGATCTTGGAGGCTGCTGGCCGTTTAGACATCTGGCAAGTGATTGAGATATAGCATAGTGATTATTCATTTGCTGATGCTGGAGAGGAAAGCAGAAAGAAAAGTCATCTGCATGAAGGGGCCTATTTGTAGTGAATCCCATTTTGGTGTGGACGTTCCCACAGTCCGTCGATGAGGAGCGAGTGGACAATTACGTACCCAGTACTTGGGCTCCAACAATGTCCCATCCACCAGGTCCATGACTCCACAACGTGATAGATGAAAACAGATAGAAAGCTACATTTACGCTTGACCTAGTCAAATAGGACGGAGGGATAAAGCATTGACATTCTGACTGTAACTTTAATAAAATAAAACCCTTATTTCGAAAGCTAAGTACTGAGTGGTGTTTGAGTGGCTTACATTCGATCACCTTGCATAGTACTTCGTTCTGATCAATGTAATAACAACCGTCAGCTACATGTGTAATGAGAGGTACAACTGGGAATGAGAGAAAGACAGTCACTAAACTATATTTGAAAGGTAGAATCACACCGGAGTCAGAAGCAGGGTGTAAGTACATCTGCGAGCAGATCAAGCATGTCAAATGTTTGATTCCCTGCGGTGCAAACACACGGTGTAGGGATTCATTTCTGGCTAGGCTTGTAGAGACTGTTTTTACCTTACCTTATGTTGGCACTTTGTAGCTTACATAATAAAGTTACCTTTTCACCAGTTCTACTATGAGTCTGAGTATTCAGCAAGTTTCTATCATATTTCCTCTTCTCTGAGCCTTGAGCCTGGTCCAGAAACCCTTTAGGGTCGAATAGCAGCTAGGTTCTGCAAGACCCAACATTGTTCAGACTCACCATCTGAATTGTTGTACCTTCAACGGTTTTCATCGACGAATGTCGTTCGCAGAATAATACACATCCTATCACATAATGAGCAAACATTTGTGGTTCAAAAATGCAACTATGAACCAAGAACAGAATTTCAAAGTCCTTGCGAACCCCAAGAAGTGCCTTAGCACTGCTTGAATTAACTTTGTACCAGTTGCCATCATACCAATTACGAGGCAGCCGTGCGATTGCAATAGAGTTTTGTGAGGTACGTTTGGCCTCCATGAGGTGGGGAAGCGATGCATTCCCAACTGGAACTGACATGTTTTCCTCGTATGTGGCAGGGGCATAGGACTCGACAGCGTGAAGAAGACCAGTGATCTCTGGGCTTATCCACGGGAGAGCCACTCGCCTCACTTTCTTTGGATTCACACCCAGAGGGGTTTCTGTCTCATCCCCGCTCATGCCGTCCACATCTAGCCAATTAATGATGCGCCTGATTGTATCCCAGGTTTGAGGATTGCGATGGTGATTTTGCTCAACAATTTTCCGATGCCTTTCGAGGGTCTGAAAAGACATGAATAACACAATAGTGGATAGTGTGGCCCAATTACCCCATGCCTGTGAGTACTAAGTCTATCCAGACGTCGCCTTCAACTGCTACGAGAAGCAAATTCACAGGTAGCATTCTCTCTCTCTTGAGGGTTTGCAAATCCTTCGATCTTGCTGTGGTTGCGATGAGCTTGGTGAGTTCGACGAAGCTTGTCGATGCAGAGTTCGCGCAAGTCGTCGAGGTTCATCATATCTTCGTCAAAAATTACTGAGGCATAACTACCTGTCTTGATATTCGCCTGAAAGTCAACCACCAACAAGTTGATCGCCTCTATATTCCAGGGAGACCTCCTCAAAGAGTCGTTCCAGTCGATGGCAATGTTGTCCAAACGCGGCGGGCTTTCATTGTCACGATTAAAAGCTTGAACCATTTGTGATGAGGGGGATTGCGGCAGGGTACTGTTCTTGGAATTCAGCAGGCGCTTATCCCGTAAATATTTGTGAAAGAAGTCCTGAAATTAATGTTAATCAGACACTATTCACATGAAGTTCCCTAGACGCACATGTAAATGGTTCATGGTGCCCCACTTCCCGGGGTGCTTCCTGCGAGGGGAAGGCGTTAGATCGTCCTCATAATCAGGCTCAGTATCTTCTTCCACTGCTCCACGGTGTTTCCGAGCTTGAGGCTTGTGAGAGCAGGTGGAGGTGATGCCCCTAATTTCATCTGCTATGCGTTCAATCATAGCTGGCATCATGGCGTCAACTGCGTTCCTGAGAGCTGGTGTGACTACCTTGTCGGACAGCTCAACAAACTGCTGATGTAACAGCTGATTCAGATGGTGTTCTGAGGCGGGAGGCAATAATAGAGGTCTCCTTCATGGGGATGTATCGGCAGGAAGATGGTGAGCTGGTGGTGGATGGCTTGGAGGGTTGACAAGTGGCAACGGAGGAGCAGTTGACACGTCTTGGTCCATGACAGTACTATGGGCTGGTGATGGTTGGGCAGTTGACATATCTTGATCCATCACAGTGCTATCATTGGTTGGGAATGGAGGTTCGTCGTCCATGAAATCTTTGTTGTGTTGTGTGACTATGGGGTTGGGTGCGATAGAGGTAACTGTGGTTGCAGGCAGGGTATCAGGATGTGTAGTGGTGACTGGCGACACGGCTATTGGACTCGACGGAGGATTAAACGGAGTGGTGGCACGCGAGGGTGACCCAGCGGGACAATACAAAGAGTCAGTGAATGTCAAATCAGAGGATTGGTTGGAATGGAGTGGGCGGCGCTGGGTGTGGCTAGAATGTTGCCCTTCACACAAAGAGCTGGGAGTGAAAGGAACATAGGGCCTGTATGGCATATAGGCCAATGAAGCACCATCAGATAACCTGTGCTCCAAATTAGCGCGATGTTCTGGCACAGTCGGGCCTTGTGAAATAGGACCCCCATGAGTGATAAAACTAGAAAGAGTTGCAACCCAAGTCAGTATTAACGAAAGTTTCCAGCTCGGGGACATACTTGCGGGCAGTCCATCCAATTACAATGAGCGCTGACGCAAGGTTTTGAGGATTGGGGTTGATTTCTGGATTGTCGGGCAGGATAAAATTGCCGCTACCTTGAGCCATGGTAGATGATCTCAAATGGTCTATTGGCAGGTGAGTATGAACTACAAATATATGGTATGAAGTAAGATATACTCGCAACTGGCAACCAAATACTCAATAGTAATAATTGTATGCACCTCGTCTGCCTGACAACGTAAATGAAGCCGACGTTAACAATAAGGTGTAGTAAAGAACGGACAAGAAAAACGTACTGTTAGAAACTTGTCAAGTTCTAATTGTTCTAGGAGCGACAACGTCGCAAGAGGTGCATGCACATTCCGGAGGTGCGATAGCCTAGAGTGTGACGCACAAGAGTATAAAACTCCATTATGACTGACAAGTGAATCAACTCTACGCAAAGATTTCGCGAGACTACATTCCGACTACAAATTATAATGTCTATTGCTACGCAACAAGTGTAACAAATCCATACAATAGACCGCAATGAGTCAAATTAATGATTTCTGTGTTATTTTTATGGGTTATCTTCGATAAGACTAATGAAATTTGTCAACATGGATTGAGAGGAAAGAGAGTGGATAAGGTTTCCCTGCTTAAGTAGTGAATCAGACTCAGTTAAAACTCCGACAAAAGGGGTTTCGATGCTTTAAGTAGGTGGCTGAGCAGATGGTGAGTGGCTGCCAGATGTGTCCGTCGGAGTTTTGACTGAGTCTCATTCACTACTTAATGAGCAAAACCTTGTTCTATTATAGTTCTTCTGTCCATTGATCAAGTTCCCTGAAGTATATCATTCCCTTAAATTTACGAGTCATTGTACGAGTCCGCAATGAACACACCTCTTATATATGATCAGGCTTCTTTATTTGTATCACCAGCAGGTTCTGTCCAATACATTTACACTTCCCCCATCACCTGCCAACAAACGGACTGGAACTTCTGAAAGGAGAAGTATAGAACACGAAATGACCCCATTGAGTGTGGAATTCAGCTATGTTCAAATGCTCGTACTTAAGATTATGTTTGTGGCCTTCATTTTTCAAGGTGCCTGTGGTGTTCTGGTCCTCAAGTACACGAATCATAACCGCCAGCAGTTCGTTTTCTGTAACTTTGTATTTGTTCTGCCCCTTGTACTATAATCACGCCTCGTTCTATTTAAATACAGCACACTGCGCTTTTAGACGTACACTAGTGATCTCATAGACAACGGTTAGAAAAGAATGAGACCAAAAGAGACAGATTGATCACATGGAAGTTGCCAGCGGAGTTGCAGACAGAGTGAAGGGAAATGTAGATGTATCCTACCGAAAAAGACCCTCCTCCTCCACTAACATGGGAGTCAGGGATGCTTATATGGCCTTCATTTTCCGGGTCAAATATCTAATGCTCATCAACCTTGCATAACAGTAGAGTCTATTCATATCAGAAGTGTGGTAGGCAGTGGTAGGCATATGTAGCCTTGTGACAATGGCAGAAAAACGTGATGGCAAAGTAACGATTTGTAGGGAAGAAATTGTCCTTGTGTTGTGGAGTACAGAAAAGGACAACTGCAAAGGCTGCAGCCTTGCCATCATTAGGCTCTACAAAAGCAAGCTGTGAATATTACAATCTCGTCACTGGGACAATCTGCAGCCTTTCACAACCAGGAACTGAGTTGAACGGCAATGCTGAAGTTCAATGAACTTCTTCCGGTGGAAGAGGCTCATCAGCACCCTCATGAGACATCCATGCATTGAGGACTTCCTCAATCTCTTCATGAGTAACGCCTCCGCGCTTCTGATCTGCATCTGCATCAAGAAATTTGTGGTGCCAAAGTAAGTTGTTGTATGGTTCATCAATTCCGTGTCGCGTCGCGGAATGAGCACTAGCCCTGACTTGTATGGAGCAGCCGAAGCACCCATGTCCTCAATGGCCTGACCCCACCGTTCCATCTTGGGGTCTGTTTGCTTGCCCATCAGCCCATCGAACGTGGTAACGCAGTCGACAAAGATGTAGAACAGAGATTCAAGGTCATCACTGGCAGTGTGTTCGATCACCACACTTTCCCCACCATTGGCTCTTTCAATTGCAGCTGCTGCATAGAGAAGGCGGATAGACATGTATGGCACAGTACCCTACGGATAACGACATCAGCAAATCTAATCATGTTAACTTCAATCGTGACTCACAGTACCCCGTGAACGAAAACTAGTGTTGACTTCCATGATGATCTGAGCGTGGTCAAAGTCGATGAAGTAGCCGTGTCCATCGAAGATAACAAAGTTGTTGGGGCTAAGGTCTCCGTGTAGGACATTCCTTTGTACCATCGCCTTGTGCGCTGAAAATAAACGGTCAATATTAAGCTTCAAATTCTATACACTCAAAGACAGCAACCTACTGACTACGAAGTCACAAAAAGAAATTATCAGCTCTCGTTTAGATGAGTACGTCGATAGCGGCTCTCCGCATGGTGTCAAAAGCAAGCGCCGGTGGTATTTACAGCAAAATCCCGGGCTGAATGTCCCATGAAGTTGTTGGATGCGCGCTGTGGAGTCAGGCTCTCCCTCGTACTCGACATCCCAAGTGGCCACGAGAGTAACCACGTTAGGAATGCCCCGGACTATCTCAAGGACCTTTTCCTCGTGGGTTGGTTCTCTTTGCCTCCTCCACCCAACAATCCTTCAGTGCATAGTCTCGTCCATGCTGATCCCGAACACAATAACAAACAGTTCCGCGGGAGAAAAGACCCTGGCTTCTCCATAAGATGGATATAATAAATAATTTTTCCTTGTCCTTGCCCTCTATCCAGCCTATCGCCTTGCCCTCCAAGTCACATTCCGTTTCCTCGCATGACTCATCGCACATATGCATGGTGGGATCCATGCCATACGCTTTGCTGTTCGCTAGCGACATGGTGTTAAGCATATCGACAAGACGTGCCAGGTTTTTGATGACTGAGATAGGGCGTGTGATGATGAGGCCCGAGCGGTCCATATAATGAGGGCGGAGATTGTTTGATGCAAGGCTGAAAAGGACGACGAAGCGACACCAAGGTTGTTCTCGCATCATGAGATAACCCTTGGTGGTTGTCCCCTTGAACAATGGTATGTCGCGGTGTGCACTAAGATCAGATTCGGTGATCTCGATGCAAGTAAGGATGTGCGCCCAGCCTTTTGATTGAACATTGCTATTAAGCATGACTATGTCGGATTTTTGGACGTTGGTCGCGTCCGGAATAGGAGTATTGCAGAACTCTGGAGACCAATGTCGATGTGGGCATTTGGGTATTTGGAGCTCGAAAGGGAATACAGATGAGCAAAAAGGGTGCGTATCCCTGTATTTCATGCGCATGGCTGTGTAGATAGAATTGAAGACATGCACCCATTTTTGCTCTTCGGTCTGCTTCAAGGATAACCTGCTGATCGGGTTTTGGGGGTTGTATTCTCGACAGCCCGAGGTCTGGTCGCTGGTGTCAGAGGCCACTGATGCAGAGGATCCTTCACGATCTATCTTCAACTCTTCCAGATCAGAACGTGCATCCAGTGCCTGCTTCTGCTTCGGTGTCTGCTTCTTCGCATCTTTATTGAGTTGCCACTTGCTATCGGTGAATATGGGCACCCTGCTGTGGTAGGTAATATTCTCGATGTCCACAATGTGAAGAGTCAATATGGTGATCAGGTGATCCATGAGAGAAGGGGTGATGGCGGGGAGATCTGTTTCTTCCCACATGACATTACCTTCAAGATCATTGTCCAGGAGCTTGTCCATGCGCGGTTGGAGATGCCGTGTGGGGAAGGCGTTCGATGAGCTGACCATTGGTAAGATGCCGGTAGTTGAGCTCGTCATTGTTTTGACGGATTCTGATTAGATTAGTATGAGCATCACCCAGATAAAATATCATGTACTTTTGCATTGGCGCTAACTTCAAGTGTTCGCGTTTTTGCAATATAGAAAGCAAAGTAAAATGCGAATATTGGAGTTGTCACTGACTGTGACGTTCAAGAAGTCACTGGCACTCCAAATACAGGAACAAATACGATGAGCCCGCACAAGAAAGTCCATGCTCCTACATCCTGAAATTCATCGAATATAATGAACAGACAAGTCTAACGAAGTCTGTACAAATAATACAACGTAGATATTGCGATCGGCCAAGTCAAATACTTACCACTGAAGGTTAGGACGACAACTGTTGAGGGAGATATCAAAAAGCGAGTGTTCAGTTCAAGTCACATACGAATCATACATCTTGGTGAAGTCTACAGTATTACAATGAGGGAAATTCTTCCCGGTCGGCAGGCGAAGAATCAAATCATCACTGTCAGTGAATAGGTAGTTTAGTTTAACAGCATGAAAGTTAAATAACACCGAGCCAGCATATGGGGTTCCAATTTTTTCAGCGTCAAATTAAACGGCAAAGCCAGATATTTTCACTCACCATTTTGATTGATGACGACCATGAGTTTTCTTGATGATTTGAAAGCACAATAAGAGATTACATTTACGAACAGTTACTACACTACTTAGTTTAATGAAAGAGGAAAGAAAACCAGACGATAAGGGTTGGAGGCTTAAGTAGTGAATGTGAGAATTCAAACTCCGCTGGAGATACCCGAAAGCTGACTGATGGCTACGACCAAGGGGCCAAAAATCAACCCCTAAGTGTCATCAATATGGTCAGTGACTGCAAGTGGATCCTCCAACTCTAGCTGTATCTACAGGCAGCGCGCACTGCTACAAGCACCTCATGATATTTCAGCATGATGTTTTAAGTGTGACAATTGGATTTCAATGAATGTACCAGTACCAGTACCATACATATGCCGGTCAGTGGAATAAAATACATTCAAACAGCTTTAGAGGGCTCGGGTAAGACGGACTATACTGTCTTTAATTGACAGGTAAAATTTTGACAATGTTCCTGAATGGAGAGCATGCATGACAACATTTATGAGAACACAAATCACAGCAAATTGAACGAGCTGCATGGTTGGTGAAGTTCCTGCAGAGGGTGAGGGAGGTGTCACATTGTCCTCCTGCCAAGCCTGAAGTAAATAATTAAATTGCGCCAAAATCGATATGCAACTGCCGTACCAATTTACCCTCCTCTCACACCTTCACGTTACTATGCCCATTGAAGCAACTGCCAGTAACAACGGTGCACCCAGTGCACCCTTCATGCGACTAATTCCATTAAGCATGGTACGTGTATTAAGTTCAAATGGCTTACTGTGATGGGGATAATGTGATCACCTCGATTGCCGTGTTCCAGCTGCCCTCGATATGCCCCTGAACTATAATCAAATACCCGAGCAAAACCATCATCACCCCCCACGAAAATAAGCCCCGCCTGACGAGCAATGGAGATTTGCAAAGGAACGTTGTGCAAAATTACATGACTGTATGATTGTACGCGCTGGAGTGCAGGAATGGCATATTTGTCTACCCCATCCTTCAGATTACTCACAAGGAGAAAATTGCCCTCGAGGGCGGTATTACCGCTACAGCGTACACGTCAATAACCATGCACACGGAACGAAGACCCAACTTACATTCTGCCTTGAACCTTTTTGTGCCACTTCAAATCCCAAGGCTCGATAGAATAGCAGAATCTGCGGAAGGGTCAGAAAGGGTTGGAGGAACAACACGATAGTAAACTGACATTTCACCGCTTTCAAGAAATGATACTAAGAGAGAAGCACCATTGTCATAGAAGTGTACAGTGCGCGCAATGTACGGCTGCTTATCGGGCTGCGAGATGATGGACATCAGGGTTTCTGACAAAACAATCAACATCATGGATGATGGTCGACTGATGGGCAGGCAACTTACTATCTGGCGTCAAGTGCCAAACACAAGGGAGACCGTCACTGGCACTCGCCAGTCGACGGTGAACAGGATCCCAAGCAAGCGACTCCACTGCACCTGAGTGGCCTATGGTAGTGCTCCGGAATTCAAATAACGCCTGATGCGAACATTGTCAGCAGGACCCAACACACTTAGCACCCCTGTCGCACTTACATCATTGGATCGTTCATATATTTGGATGTTGCCATCCAAAGCCCCAAACGCAAAGGCAGATTCCCCATGGTCGTCGAAATCCATCCAAATAATAGCACTAATATAACCTGCTCCTGGTGCAAAAATTTCTTGAATCATTTCGCCGGACACAAGACTCCATACGACTATTCGACTGTCGTTGCCTATCCCCGCAGTTAACACGAGTCAAGTGAAGAGTATGGTTAATTACCTCCAGTAATGAGTAATGCTCTGTGCATACTCACAGCCAATACATTGACTGCCTGTGTGTGGCGAGTGAGAGTAAATTTGCTAGAAAACTAACTTGATGTCAGTGAACATGACACTTAACTAAAATTGAACTTACAGTCATGATCTTAGGATAGTAGGAGAGTGGTTGCGCGTATTTAACCAGGTACCTAGTTGCCACAGTCAAAATAAACGACAATTGGGCAATTGTCCAATCATTGCCATGGAGACTGAGACTGGAGCATGTACGTCAACATGTTTAATTGGGTTGAATAGATGGCGAAATTACTTGGCTTATGGTTACAACAAATGCAATAAGACTGGCACAACAGTCCTTGATGGAGTCAACTATCTTATACCTAAAGAAGTGAAACGCAGGCAGAGGTCCCTGGGAACTGCAATATGTGCCAAGTCATTAGCTCCAGGGACCAATGAGACAAGTGGGTTTACAGACCTTCCAGCACACCATTCTGACGTAGAAAAGGATACCCTGTCACAATGCTGGGAAATATTTCTGACTGATTAAATTTGAACCCAAGAAACATATCCCCTGTACAATAGTATCCTGCAGACTTTGTTACTCCTAACGACTACTACTGTTTTTCAAAAATATACGGAGCATATCACCAACAACCCAGTTGTCCTCATAATGATCAAGGATATGATACCGTTTTTTTGCCTGATAAAGATGAGTGACAAAAGACTACCGACAAGACGAGTACCTACTTCCGCATACACAATGGTCAAACTGGCCTTTGCTTGTGAACTCCAGGACTTGTTGATTTTAAGATGTTCCCGGGTGAGATGGACTATGAACGTCTGCAGTAGAATAATGGTCAAGAGAGTCATATGATGTGGGTGTAAGGACACGCACTCGAGTTTCTTCATAGTCTGAGGAAGGCCAGCCGAGTGCCTCATGTAGATTATATCCTCCCCTCTTGATACGGGAAACATCTCCTCAGGGTTTCAGAATTTTCGCCAGCAGAAAAGCAGGGATGGATGACTGAACTGCCGATGGAGTGTTTTGTGAGACTTCAGGCGCCGCTGAGACTGTGCAGTCCGTATCGCGAGAAAACGTCATGTGCTGTGTCAAAGGAAGAGGAGTGTAGATGCACTCAGGGGGAAAGTCGCAGTGAATTGTGAGTGGCTTGAAGTGATGATGATACCGAAAGTGAGCAGCTTTGGGCATAATATTTTAGATGGACTCGTTGAGTGAGTGATTGAGACCTTACTTTACTGCCACATCATATATTTAGAGCAGGTGCATGTGCCAGACAACCTGCTTGTACTTACGCTTTTGGTTTGGTTTCAAAAGATGTCATAACGACAGAACAGAACACGACATTACAATTATGAACATAAGACCTCTAATCAACAACACAACAACTTTCAAGATTAACTAATGTTAGGGAGATGAAGGTATAACAATGCGGTAGTAAGGTGGAGACAATGGAAAAGAGAAAACCATGTGATAAGGTTTGGAGGCTTAAGTAGTGAATGCCACAATTTGACTCCGCTGGACGTTCCCAAAGCAGCTGAGTGGCCCACTGTCGGATATTTCCATCGGAGTTTCGACTGAATTTGATTCACTACTTAGTGAGCATTACCAGCTTGTTTTGATCTTGTTTTTTTTGCTTGAGTTGTGTAGATTAGACTTGTACACTTCATGCAATTGTTGTTATTGTTGTCTGAGTTGTAGTACTTGCACTTGGGTTGACGCATTAATGTAATCCTCAGGCTGTAATATAGGCTGTAACATGGTCTTCGTATTAGACTTGTACACTTCATGCAATTGTTGTTATTGTTGTCTGAGTTGTAGTACTTGCGCTTGGGTCGACACATTAATGTAATCCTCAGGCTGTAATATAGGCTGTAACATGGTCTTTGTAGGCTAGGCTCAGGGTTTCTATTGTGGAGCCTGAATCAGGTTCAGGCGCAGGTTAACCTACTCGGGTTAGAAGTTTAGACTTGATAAGTTGGACTTCTTCAAGCAAGTCCAGTGACTTCATTCCTCTGCACTTGGCGCACTGATAACTCGTCCAGGATAACTTATTGTTCAATTCTCAGATATAGAACTTGGATTGGTTTTTCGAGCTAAGGTATTATTGTTTGACCATTTGACTTGATATTTTCTTAACCATGCCTTCACGACATATTGCATCCATTTGCTCAAGTTGTTCTCGTGCAGTTCATTCCGGTCGGTGTGTGCGTATCTTATTGTTCGGCCGTGAATGGACAACTGTCTGCGCGATAAATACGTCGTATAATTTGTGTTGTGCCCCATCATCCTTCATACCTGCAGCCATGGATACCTCACAGACTTTTACATGTTCTCTTTCACCTGTGCGCGTTATTTCACATGCAAAATCCCGATCATTGTTGTTGGACCCAGTGATTTCAAAACGGAAGGCTGCGGATGATATTCTTGATACCTCTGTGCTACCTTTCGAAAAACGGTGCAAATTTCCTGCAAGGCGTTTGAAACGCAAAGCAGGTAACACAGCCTTACATGTCTCCCTCCCTCCCAGTTTCAGGATATGTGTTCTCTCCCGCTCATATGCAATTGCTGACATTAATGTGAGTTCAACCTTTTACCGGTCTTCCGCACATTCCTCATCTTTGTCTATAGGCTCACTCAACAAGTGAAGAGAACCGACGCAGCACCAACCGCGTCCTTTCACATGTAAGTCAGCTTCAAAGCTCCATTTCTTTATTTATACCTATCTTTTGCAGGGGACGTCCTCTCCTATAGCGTCCTTGAGCGGACGAGCTATCATTCCCCTGATAATTTCATATTGGCCTTTTCCAAACGAACTTGTCTTGATGATCTTTGTATATCTGCCTGCGAGAGACCTGCGGTTAATGACACAAGTGTCCTGCCTCTCAAGGGACCTTGCCATGCCCCTATATTTTCATTCCGTAGGCTTATCCGTCGAGCAAAAATGGTTGCAGATCAACGCCCAAACATGCCTAGCCCTTCCGTTGTACTCTCAAATGGCTTCTTTCTGCACCCCTCGGTTCCTGTGTTGCGACCTCATCGGTACTAGTGCCCGTGACCTGACAGCACTCCAAATCTTCTTGGAGTCCTTGATGGGCATTCAGAGTAGACCTATCTCATTGGTCATATGCTTCGACGCACCCCCCAGAGTGGATCTAGCTTCTTTATTTCAGGTCATCAAGAACTTAGGTTGCTCCAGCTTTACCTATTCAAGCAGTGATTCGGAGCAGCTGCGTACGATTGTACCTACTCCTGTTCCTGGATCAGACCCAGGCGTGGTATGTAGTCTTCGGCAATTATCATTGGACTCGCCCATGTTTTTCTCCCCATGCGTCGCCTTGCTCACCCTCGCAACCTTGCAATATTATCCATTATCCAGCCTCTCACTCACCCACACTGGATTGAGCAGCATTAAGTGGGCTGCATTACTGCGGAGCGTCCACCTCCCGCTGCTTTGAATGTTGACGGTTGACGTCCATTGCCCTCCTCATGTCCTTGCTAATTTTTTGATCTGCCATCAGAATATTGGGCAAGTGTGGATTCATCTGGGACAGACTTCTGTCCCACTGGAATTGCAGAATCATTCCTCACAGAAGTTACGCAGTCACACCTCGCAGCAGACTTCCAACTCCCATTTACATGAACTTACTGTTCTTGGTGGTCCATCTTGGTATCTCGTTCCCCTACTAGCCGCAATTCATCCAGCCACTTGCATCCAAAATCTCAACCTTCAGTTCGAGGAAGATTCAACCTCCAACCACTTCTCTGCCGTTCTTGATGTTACTCAACATTTCACAAGCATTCATGCACTGCAGTTGAGTTTTTTCGATGCTTCCCATAATGTCAATCACTATGACGTTCCATGCGATGAACACTGCACCGTACCTGCGAAACAGCTGACTGTTTCTGTGCATGGTCCTGATCTGGATGATCTTCTCGTAAGTTCCCCTTAATGTATGGACATCATTGGCACTCACCCTCATGAAGATCCGCTGCCATCCTTGGCTCGACACCTTCCATGAGCTGGAAAGTGTTGGAATTCAGGCCAAACACACGAGTTCATCCGAGATGCTCACAGTGCTATACTCTCATCTGGGCAACCCTTTTCAGTTAAAGATCAACACCGCTGTCTTGTAATTCATACTATCTTGATCCACTATCTACCAGCCGCGATTGCAGTTGACCCTGTAGCACCTGTCATCATATTGCATGCATATTTCTATAGTAACATTTATGTGCATTCCCGCTGATATGTCCCTATGAAATCTTGAATTGCAAATATTCTGATTCTGAGAGCCATGGATCTGCACTGCGACCGTGAAACTGCAACAGTACTTGCTTCCTGCATAGATATCAGGAGTAAAATCAGTGAGTGTCCTCTTTGACCGCTTACTGCCCGGATCCTAATGACCCCACCCACATGACTTCACCAGGATTTCACCGGATCACACTATCATGAGTGGCAGGGCCATCGCCTCTCCAGCGGTTTTGATCAGTTAAACCCCATCCTTCCCCACAAAATCCTTGACAATGATACATACCGGTATGGGGGCTCCTCAGTGCATTCCTGAGCGAGTGGCCCTGGAAGGGGCAAGCGGTCGGGGTAGCAATATCCTCCTGATGAGAGCTTTCGTCAGCTTGAAACTGCTGCTAACACATCTCCCCCAGCTAATCAAGAGTCCGACTATTTACAAGACAGCTGAGCAGAGGGACTAGCTATTAATGTTCTTGTCAAGCATAATTGCCCCATTGATTGTGGCTTGGACCACAGGAACAGGATCAGCTTGATTTTTGCTTCAAGGACGTTGCTGGTGGGTTAATAATAATTTTTTGTGAGCGTGTTGTCGCTCATATTTGCTTTGTCAAGTTCAAGGATCCGTCGAGAACATTACTTCTACACAACCTTGTCTTTCTATATCACTTTATCGTCTGTCTACACCACTTTATCATCTCTACACTACTTTGTCATCTCCCATCTTATATAAAATGGCTGAAGGTGCAATGTATGCGGTCCGTGCATCTTTATCTACTGTATACCTTGCAGTCCAAATTCAATATCGTTAGTTACAGAGAATACCGATGCCAGAGGAGGAATCAGACTGCACTATGGACGTTGAGGCCCACGTCACAGTTCATGAAACTTAATCCTATTCTACTGTTTGTGGTTCAATTATCGTTGGCTTAGGAAACACTGAAGATGATTGAGGAATCAGATTGGTGCATGGACATCGAGGCGGACGTCACGGTTCATACATCTTTATTTACTCTACTTACCACTCAATATTGTTCGCTATAGGGAGAGCTGACGTCGAAGGAGGAGTCAGACTGGTGCATGGATATCGAGGTGGACATCACGGTTTGTACATCTTAATTCACTCTACTTGCCATTCAATATTGTTCACTACAGGGAGAGCTGATGCCGGAGGAACAAGACCACTTTATGAATGTTGATGCGGACGACATGGTTCGTCAATCTTAATTCATTCTACTCGCCATTTACATTGTTTTATTATCTCCAGGAAATCATGCTTATTGAAGAGGCAGTTCAAGACGTCGTCGACCCAGAGGTCTTCGATGAAGCCAATCAGATGCAGGTGGATAAACTGTACTAGAAACTGTGAGTACTTCCAACCTGTATGAACTACTCAAGTATAATGGCATGACAGCTCGGCGATTTTGCGCTCTATTCCATCGAAGATACCTGGCCTGATTCGTTTACTGTATGCTTTACAAATTACCCCGCTCCAATGCGTAGTTTCCGCTCATGCATAACCCCACTCATCCTCATACTACCAATATTCAAACTAAACCAGCCTTGATATAGATTCAGAATTCTCGTTGGCATTGTCAGTTCCTAGGGCACAAAGTAAATGCAGCAGACCATGTTTAATTATCCTTTGATCTTACCCAGGAGATCCTTACTCGAAGCGGCTGAGCGGTTGGTTGGATTCAAATATTTGTGTGTTTACCAATCATCATCATTATAAACAGAACACAGTTCATACAAGAATACACTATATAATACGAAGAAAACGAAACTATCCTACAAATGCTGGCAACTAGTCTTTCTGAGTGGTGAGTGGTGTAGTGGCCACCGGATATTTCTATCGGAGCTTCAACTGAGTCTGGTTCACTACTTAGGCAGCGAAACTGATGTGTATTTTCTTCTATCACAATCCACCCCTCAGATATTTTTGACCCTCCTCGTCGGTTTTGTTGCCCATCAACACCAGTTTCTGCAAGGCAAAGAGTGTAAAGCAGGAGGTATTAGAGTCGGAAAGGGATTGGTTTGACAGACGAATGAAGGAGAATCTACTTGATGAATTGAGTGAACCTCTCAGTGGGGTACTCAGAGGCCCACTCGCACATATACTCGGCATATCTACAAATTGTAAAACAAATTTGTTACATTGCCAGATGATAATAATCTTTTTAATTTGTTTTCGGACTTATCAGTCAGGACAGATTTTAAGTCTGATATGTGATTTGATGTTCCATATGGCCCTGGCAATGTCACGTGAAATATGCAAGGACAATTGTAACCTTGGAGGCATGCCTAATTGGCCTCACTCGGGTCTCGTTCGAACGCAGACGGTGAGGTACTAGCCAGCAAAACAAGGACCCCGTTGCGCGAGCAAGGGGCCCCCAGAGTGAATTCGGGTACAAACAGACGGTAACCTAAAAAAAAATAACGCCATACAAAAGATGATGGGAGGGAATAAAAGGGTGGGTGCGCAAATGAGTCCCTAGTGTAATGAATGGCTCGAGTGAGAAGAGAAAAAGGACTTAGACGAAACAACGCACCTAGTGAGACGAATGGCTCGAGTGAGAAGAGAAAAAGGACTTAGACGAAACAACGCACCTAGTGAGACGAATGGCTCGAGTGAGAAGAGGCGAAGAGCCCCTTTACAATTCGTCCCACTAGGTATAGCAAGCCAAACTCCGCCAAAGGAGGTGGCAGCAAGGGCTGCCGAATTGGCAATAAGGACTGCCGCTACAACAGTAAGGACTGTCGGGGTGACGATGAGGATCGCCGACTTGACAATGAGGACTGTCAAGGTGGCAATGAGGATTGCCGAAAGCTTAATAATTAAGTCAAAAATGCGCAGGGCATCAGCTAAAGGGAGTTATGGTCTGGAACCGAAAGGAAACGAGTTTCAGGGGAAACCCATTGGGCAAATCTGCTATTGAGCACGTTCACCCAATTACCCTGGTATAAACAAGATTAAACTCGATTAATATTTGTAACTAAATTTTGGAAATGAAGTTAATATGCAACGTAGGCAAATTACGAAACAAATTCTCCCTGTTTTTGCCCAACTTGATCTGAATTTGATCAATAGAATTTGATACTTACGTATATTTGTGATTTTATTCAGAGACTGTCCATTATCCGCACGATAGACAAATAGGCTGAAATATGCACGATTTTTCTCAGGATATGCATCACATCTGTTTACAGAACTTTTCCGGCTGTGTCTCAGGTGTGACTCTGCTCGGTTCAAAACAGCAAATACGTCAACAAGCTCGCTACGTGCCATTGCCCTTCCCTTATCAGACTAGCAGATGCGGAACTTTGAATGAATGAATGGATGTACTTTCAATGACACCCGGGGTCCTCGTCACAGGCCCATAAGCAAGTGATTACGGCAAGACCAGCACCGTGACGGTTTGGCAGTATAAAACTTCTGTTTCATACTGCATTTCATTTCCAGCTGTACTATAAACCTTTGGCAGAAAGCGGATTTTCTTCCATTCACCCGCACATTCAGTGAGCATGGATAGCGGAGTAGTGAGAATCAATCATGGATCAGATGTCTTTGTTGTTCGCGCATGCTCTAATGACGATGGGGCGGACTTGTTGGCTATAGCAGGCGAGCATTCAGTGGAAGTTTTCCGTGTGGTGTGTGTGTTCCCAAGCCGTATGAACTAGGCAGTTGATCACATATTTTTCTCGTCAAGAGCCCACCCATTAGTGAAAGGGTGGCGTCTTTTCATGTTGGGAGACGCGTAACAGCTCTAGCGTGGTCGCCTCGATCCGTTTCACCTAGTTCAAGTGATGACTGGGTTATTGAGTAAGGCGGTCCTAGACTCCTCACTGTCCGCAAAGCATGAAATTGACGCTGTCTCAGAATTACTGCTGCTGCCTCAGACTTCAGTCTTCACCTACTCACAAAGTCTTCAACGTCTTCCGAAAACATGTTCGCGTTTGGTGGTGGTCTCAGCGGACACCACGGCAAAGTCAATGATATGTGCTTTTGTGGAGGACGTGATCAAGACAATGCAAGATATGTCGCGACGGTGGCAGGTGCATCACTCGTTCAAATTGCGTAATGAGCATACTCTGAACACTGAAATCTTGCGCACAGATGACAAAATGCTGATGGTTTGGGATCTACATCCGGCACTGGATATTTCTTCTGGAATCCCTTCTCCAGAGAGGTCACTGGGTACCGACGCGTCGCCGTCGCCCCATCCCCGTCCTCAACCAACTTCATATGTGATTTCGTTTCCCCACCCCCTTGTTACTGTAAATTGCCACCAATCCAGCAGCAAAGAATTTCTCGTATCAGACTCCCGAGGTTCCATCTTCTTGACAGACTGGAGGTCTGATCCAGAGCAAAGTGAGCAGGGGAGCTGGAGGCATTCCAGTGTTATTGAGCTCGTTGAACCACACGGGCTGTCCAAGTCATTGATGGGTATTTCATCACAGTGGACGGGATTTGCAGCTTGGCGTCAAGATAACATTGATATGTCGGTGTACAATTGATCCTGAGTTCGACTTACAGCTGACTTTATATGTTATTTAGCGTAGGGGCAACTTACGGCTCCCGCTTTTCCATATGGGACTTGTCCAAGTCCCAGGGTGGAAAACCTTTACAAACAGGTATAAGTTTTCCTGAAGGTGGTCACCAATTCCGGTACGCCTTTTGCTCTATTGTTTTTAACTATCGAGACCCTCACATTGGCCTACAAGATGGTGCCCGACGAGTCCGGATTATTTCGCTGTTGCGTCCCAGTGCGCAACCAAAGGAGCGGTTATTCATATTCACGATATGAATTATGTTCATGCACAGCCTCATGTTATTAACATTGCTCCGCGCCCCCATCGCGTCCGGGATTTCGATTTCATGGCTAGGAGGGGTAATCCAGTGCTTGCGATTGCATACGGTGTAGAAGTCGTTGTTTTCCCCATTGGTGTTGAGTGAGATGTCAATAGAGAACTAACCACGATGAAGTCATTCATAAACCAGTACTACTGCTGTAATGAGGTGCTGCCAGAAAATTCCGTGTATGAAGATAAGTGCAAGATAAGCAACGCTCCCATCAACTGGTTCCAAAACCATTTTGGCCGATAGGTGCTATGTGTACGTATGGATGGTGGGAATAAGAAGTAGATGTGTCTCCGTAGGCAATGTTGCGGAAACCGTCATTGGCGGGTACGGTGTTACCGTTCTCTCCAAAACCAAGCTCGACTAACATACTGCGGTAGTAATGAAAGTCGGTTTCTGAGACATGCCCGAGGTTGTAACCTGAGAATTGACCTGAAGGGCCATACGAGCCAGAACCACGACCTAACGCATCAGTATAGTTTGGTCCTCCACAAGGTGCGTTTTGGCCATTCATATCAGAATTCTGCGTCGGATACGCGGAATATGGCAGTAAGGAAGATGATGATGGACATGCAAATTGCTCAGATGGGCATGGAGCAGTCGGTGTATATGGACCTACGAATGAACAATGAACTGTCAACATATATATTGCATAGCGTGAAGACGATTTACTTTGAATGTTTGGGTCAATGGGGATGTCTTTTTGAGCGTTTTGTCGAGCCCGCTCTATATCATTGCGAACAAGACTCCACAGAAACCGAGCGTGGTAGGCAGCTGATGTTGAGGTGGGCGAAAGGTGAGAAGCTTCTTGGTACGCATCGGCCGTTTTCGTGATCGCAGTATGAATCTGATGAGCTGCACCCTCCGGCAATTCTGATTGCAAGTCTGTGTGAGTATTAGAGCTCCGGAGTAGCTAAAGCCAACACATCAACTTTACTTAGACTTGGAGGCAGCACATTTATTACCTTCAGCAGAAATATGGCAGAGTATGCAGTCATAACGGAGGTTGTCTCTTGTCCGTAACGCTAGATAAAGTGTCAATGAGTAGGAATTGCACTAAAGCCAGACTTACCAAAACACCAAATTCCCTAAAGTCTTTAGATGCGATTCCCAGCACATTTAATGCATTTTCAAAACACGCAGATAAGGCGCGAACATGACTATTCGTGCGGTTGGCCTGAGGGAGACAGTATAGGAACGATGCGTCAAAACAAAATTGCGGACTTACAGGTGGGACACTGGATTGAACACCAAAACTATTCAAGAAAAGGCTCGAATAGAGGCAAAAGAGATTGGTAAAGGAAAAGTGGAAAGACTCTCCGTTAGCTATTAACAAGATATGAGGTCATGCATCAGGATATGAGATGTCGTGTTCGTCACCTTTTCTCATCTCATGGTCCCAGGTACTGGTCCACAGTGCAAGCTTCGCGTTGCAGTTTTTCAGCACCATATCGATATTGACTTGACTGTTTCCACCGTCCGAAAGACTCCGATTGGTGTGGAACATGTCTGTAGCCTCGGTCTAATACCATTGGATTCTGTCACGCAGGTGTTGAGAGAAAAGTCTCACCGCTATACGACGGAGTTGTGCGAAAGCAGAAACGATGACATCTTCGCATCGAATGGGGGTCCCACCCTGCTCATGCCAGGTGTCGGAGTGCCTTATGAAGTCATCCTGCAGCGTGTGTGAACCGTCATATCCTGGGAAAATAGAAAAGATTTACTTCAGGGAGCATCCAATGCCGACCTGTCTGCATGCTAAGACTCCGGTCATGTACAAAGAGGACGAGGTATGTCCTCTCTCGGTTTCGCCTTTCACGAAGCTGGAACTCGGTTTCATGAGCAGGAGGTTTTGCATGATATCGGTTGAGGCCAAGTTCCACAGCCATCCGACACGCCTGAACAAAATCAGACAATAATTCGAGATTGATGAACCCTGGCACTCACATATCCAATGTACATCCATGTCCGCTTCGATGAAATTAAGCTTAAGTAAGTTGAGACGAGTCCAAAACACGCTCACGTTGTCCTCTTGTTCTCTCCAATAAGTGAGACACGAAAATGCTTGGATCACTTCTACTCGTTTCCAACCTTCTGCGAATGCCCGGACCGCAAGATCGTTAGCAAGCCTCAGGCATTCCTTGTATAAGCTTGGTTCGAAGAATTTGCAGCCAGCCATTATCAAGGTCGTAAATAACAAAGGGCATTTAGACCGCACATAGGCAACGGAATGCAGAGCTGGATCGAAAAGATTTATAAATGGATTCAGTCGAAGGAAGATTGCATCAAAGAGGATCTTTGCTTTGTTTTCGTTGATTAAGCCGGCTGTGATTGGATCGTTATAGCCGATCGGGAGAGGCGCCGGGCGCAATGACTGGGGGAGGTAAGGATTTCGAGGCACGTGAAGCATTGGCGACTTGTGTTCTGGGTTGAGGATAGTCCTGAAAAAGGAGTTTTCCCTTCTGATTAATTTGGCAGGGAATTTCTCGTCACTCCTTTCCCCGTCCTCTTCCTCCTCTGGATCAACAGTACGTGAACTGACGCTTGAAGCTGCATATCCGTCTATGATAAGATGTTTTGAGTCACAGTTTGTACTCTTGTAGCACGAATAAATTACCAGCGGAACCATAAGCGTCAGAGGATTGGAGTCCGCTAAACTGAGTGTTATCTGCTTGAGGAGTACGAGGGTCGGCGGGGAATACTGTCGACAATGATGAATCACTTTGCTTGAGTTTCGCTGTGTTCAATCCTTTCTCTAAGCGTCGGAGCATTTTAGACGCTTCGGATAGCCTTGGGACATTGTGAGAGGCGATAGGCAACGCAAGAGAAATAATCTGACTTTGATCCAGGTTTTCGCCCCCTGCGATGCTTCTCAAAGACACATCTTATAGAAAAAGGGTTAACGTCTTGGCAGACTATCGGAACCATTCATTACTTACTCCACACCTGTTCTTGTACACCTTTGACAAGACTTGAGACCGTCCTCTGCCCCGACGCATTTCATCTATCAGGGATTCAGATATGAATTCTTTCTCTTGATCTGTCGACCACTCACCTTCGCTGCCCGACAAACGGTGCATGCTCTTGGATTGCGCACGATAGGCGCTTTTGAGCTGGAGTGAGGCTTGTTAAACATTCTTGATTGACCAGATTGCCGTCATAGAATGTCTTACGCTGCCCTTGACTGCTCGTCCACAAACTCTGAAGTGCCTTGCATTCCCACTTGAAGTCGATACGGTTATCAACGTCAACGGTGACTCGGCGTCTCTTTATCGACCGGGGAAGGCCGGTTAATTTAGACTGAAATTAAGGTGTAGAGGTGTTAAAATAATAGTGAGGAGGACGAGGAGACACTTCCACAGACAATAGAGGGGGAGGACAACGAATAGAGGTAGGAGGATGAACAATTGGAAGTAGTAATACGCTGCGATATCGATGAGGCGGAGAGAGATGGGGAAGGGCACAGTCGCAGTGGGATCTGTTGCAAATAAAGCCGGGCGGCAGAAAGAAGTCGAATTGCCGAACGCGGCAATCATAAAAATATCCGATTATTATACCAAACAACAAAATACAGAACAAACCTCATAATTAATTGAAGACTTGGACCACGATAATTAGTCTAGTAGAGTAATCTACTATGTTCAAGCACATAACGAACTGTCCTTATAGATGATTTATACTGTGATATTTGACGGTTGAATCTGCTGTACTCACGGGTATCTAGGCGTTATCCTCGTGTATCGCCTTATCCCAACATCCGAAAAGGGAGGGAACAAATAGTTCAATGAACGCAGGTTGCCGAGCTTAGGTACAGGTACGCTCCCTCCGGACTATTGGATATTTTTGGTTGACCGAAATTAAACGTTACACCATGTAGTCACCTTGCGGTAGTACTGTGTCGTGATTTTGAATGACATTTAGGTCTTAGGGATATCAGGCCGAGACAACGTGCACGTCTATTTAATTGAATATACACTAGCACCAAACGAGCAAGGTGACTCTCAAAATAACGACCAACGCAACTCCAACACGACTGTACAGCGGCTGAATTTAAACTCCGACTCGCGAAGTTATTTTCATACTAGTCCTTCTTCCCGTTGAGTCCGATACTTATTGCGGGGTTGGGGGGGCTTGCGTCTCACCGCTTTTCCGAAATAAATTGATTGATTTCGACTCTAGATTACATAAATAACTTGTTTTTCGTGAGCCTTCAGCGCAGCCGCGACCGAACCGTACAGGCATGGGTATGTGTTCTGACGGGTTCTGGCCACGCACTAAAAATATATTCAGGTCATTCCCAAGTCCTATCTCCCCAGGTACAACTACTCAGTACTCCAGCTGAGTGAGCGTTTGATGTGCGCGCAAAACACGACCTTGCGGATACTAGATTAGACTGGCTGCAAAGTCCGGTATACTATTTTGTTGAAAGTGTCGTCGTGAGCGTTTTTCCATGCCCTGCCATTTCACCAGAGTCTTCGACTCAGGATCGCGCTACATTACATGGCACAGAGCAAAGAGTGTATCAGCATTCTTACTGCGTAGGTCAAAGTTGACGCGGATGATTTGTCGTATGACAATCATGAATATGTGGAGTTACGACTGCTTATGGATACGCCTCGTGCCTAACACGTTCTTGCGTCTATTCTTCGCGAACGTCACCTTACGTGGATTAACCCTTTGTGGTACCTTGTCTACGACATATACAAGGACGGTATGCTCAGTCGATAGTAATCCTCGGTTCCCTTCGTCATGCCCCCACTCACTGGCAATGTTAACGTGGCTATTCGCCTTATTGGCGAGGTAACAATTTCAACGAATTCTAGCACAGCAACGCCTAGCACAAACACCGAACACGCTACAAGAATCTCCATCCCAGCAATCGTCGGCGGTACTGCCGCGGGGATTGCGCTTGCGGTGGCAGTGGCAGTTGGATGGAAATGGTGGTCATCGATCGTCAGACATTCCGACAAAAAGCGCCGCTCGCGAAGGGTATGGTCTATGTAATTCTCGACTTTATGATATCTTTGTCATTCATCGTGCTCAATAGCAAAATGTTCTCAGGAGACATGACCGAACCACTCCAAACAAACCAAGCGAGGCAGGTGGCCCCTCGAGCAATTCGGACAGTACTGGGTGCTCAGACGCGAAGAAGAGTCTTGCAGATTCATCACCAAAGACAATGGGCGCTATATCACCTTCCCCAACTCCCATTCAGCATTCCTTACGCATGGCTGCACCCTTGCCACCACCCCCAATAAAACCTCCACGGAATCCAGCTCGCGCTCTGAGACGGCCTTCAGGCCAATTCAAAGAGAGCCTCGCGCGTGGAAGCAGGTCATCATTTGCCTGGGCTTCGAACAGGTTGTCTCATAAATCAAGCATCAGCACTGCTTCAATGTATTCTACCCAGACTTATGAGGAGCAACAAGTGCGCGTGCCCGCAGCTGTCATAACAGCAGCTTTAGGTGGCACTAGACACCTTTCAAGACTTGGTCATAGCTCCGACCCCTACACCATCGGTGAAGAGCAGACAGAGTTGGTAGTTCCTAGCTCAAGCCTGCGGCCTTCTGCGCATATCGATGCAAACATTGCCCAATTACATCGAGTCTCAAATATCAGTGCTGGGTCATTGGGCCTGCAGCAGGGGGCACAAACAACTGATTCAATTGGAGTAGCATATGGGGGCGAAGAATCGTGATGTACTATGAAAAGCTTGGTGCAGGGAAGCCATTGGACTAGATGTTCTAGAGGGTGAATGATTGGACTATGGAATCAATACTACTAGCCATAAAATAGGATTTACACACTACTAGTCTATGAAACACGTCATGGACCATGATGGAAGTGTGGTGAGTCTTGGCTCTTGACGGTACCTACCTAAGAGAAGCGAGATGTTGCTGGCAGGTACATGCAGGACAGTGAGTCGAGAACCGAATGTCAGGATCAGTTTGCCTACCAATTCCGCTTGAGCTACACTAGCGTTAAACTCCCTCACTTCTCGCCAGCAGTCCAATGGTGCGGTAGGATTTTGTCTATGGGAGCGACAAATGAGTGATCTCAGGACGGAATAAAAAATTGACATAGGCTCACCTATAGCATAACACCACTGCTTCGCCGCTTTCCTTGACCGCAGGATAATCGCTGAGCTGTCTCCTGGTCTGAAATCTGTCCACCTTGGTACGAATCTCTTCAAGATCCCCCATCAACGTCATGCTGTTCTTGACATCGCCCTCGGCAACCTCTCCGCCTGCTGAGGACTTCTCCCGGTCAATGTTCTCCCTTTCAAGAGCGAGTTCAATTTCCCTCTGCACACTTTCCTCTTCCGCTCGTAGATGCTGCAGCTCTGCCTGTATGCGAGCACGTACGTGGGCATCAAGTGTGGATTGCCGTTCTGGCGAGGTGTCGGGTGACATTGAGCGATCTGAAAGGTGGTTCACAACATCCTGCGAGAACTTGATGTTTGCACACAACTTCAGAAGACTAGCCTTTAGGATAGGAAGAAGACCAAACCTGTATGGGCGTCTCGTTGTAAAAGACCTTTTCTTCTGTGTCCGCTTTGGACTGGCCAGCGCCCATGATTGACAAGGATTTCAGTAATAAATATTAGCGTTTAACTTTCCATTGGCGTTTCGGACTTTCAACTCGGGGAAGCTCGGCAAGCTTTACGGATGTGTATATTTCTATCGATAAGTATTTACAGCTCCAGGCCTCTTGGCACCCTCAATGCTACCTCACGATACAGGTACAACATCAAGGTATTCCAGGCGAAAATTGCCGAATGTCAACAGCAGAACGACAACGTTGACTGACCACTACAACTAAGTACCAATTAACCCGCAGCATGCCTATGTTGGTATTTATGACCGTAATCGAGTAGCCTTCACCAGTTGAGCGAGTACAGAGTCACAGAGAAGAAACTCGACTCACCAGTCTGGTTCGATTTCTGAAAGTATTCTTATCCTAACAAAAGATGAAGTTTACGGCCCATCACACAAGTAGGTAGACATACTGTGTCCTCTTGGTTTCTTCCACTTCGTGGAAGACCACCCATCCGGTCCGCGGCTTCCGAGTGAAGAGCACAGATGTTGGGTGAACATATAGAGTCTGCTTGAGTGAACAAAGGTGAATATCATACATTTAGCATTGCTTACTTTGTTTCCCTTCACCGACCGGTACGTTCCATCTGCAACCCATCGGGCACCGTTGCGCCAATACCCACTGACCAAACATTGCCGAAGTCGCTTAGCATCACCTTCGCAGCTCTGGAGTGGCAAGTTGAAGCGAATCATGTATTTCTTCAACTGGGACCGAATTGATACCGCTCTGGACATGGCGCGGAAGTTGAGAGCATGAGCTTTACACCACGATGAAGATCGACCGTATTTAGTGAAAGCATTATATGCTACCGAACATAAGCAATCAACTTTTAGGTGTAACGAGCAAATACCATTTAAAAGGGTCAGATGGTCCTGGACCAATATTGTCAGTCTGCTGAATTGAGGCGAATCAGGATGGATCATACCCCTTCCTCGGTTGTGAATTTTCGTCTCTCCAGTTCTGCAATTGCTCCGGGAGCACCATCGGGTATGACAAATGCATCCTATGGTGTAAACAGGTGAATATGATAGTTACGCCAGTCCCATGAGGCACTCACTTGTATTGAAATCATAGAAGCAATTGTAAGAATTTCTTCACCGCAGTTAAAGTCCTTCGAAGTGAAAAGCTGCCTGTACATCAAGCCGTGCAACAAAAGTTGATACTGGTAGGAGAGCGCACCATTCTAGCTATATTGACTTCGATGGGGCATTCTGCAACTCGTTCGCCGATCGGAGTAAGGAGGCCATTGTCCCCAATCATTCCTGCAGAAAAGAGCCCCTCAAGCGCACGGAGAATACTCTCTGCTGGAGGCGCAGAGACCCATTCAAACTTCATAAGGTCATCTATACCTAGAGACTTCAATTGCAGAATCGGAGTGGTCATATCAGTGCGAGTGATCTCAGGCGGCGTGCTTGTAGGAAGGGAGGCGAAAGCGGATTCAGGATATAACCGATAGCAAATTCCTGGCGATGTCCGTCCAGCGCGGCCAGTCCTCTGTATAGCAGATGCTTTGGAAACAGGAACTGTAGACAGCGAGGCAAGGAAAGTAGTTGGATTATATGTCCGTATCTGGGGCCTATGAGAACGCGATCAAGACGGTAATGAAGCTCACCTTTACGAACCCACTGTCGACAACAAACTTCACCCCATCGATGGTGACGCTGGCCTAATTGGATCATAAGACGCCAAGTTACTACAAATGGCGCGACTTACTTCCGCGATGTTTGTGGCAGCGATAACCTTTCGCGTCCCTCGTTCTGCAACATTGAATATCCTAAGCTGTTCTTCCGTACTTAAGCCAGCGTGCAATGCAAGAGGGATTATCTGTGTAGCTCCTCGCGGAAGTCTAGAAAGCATAAGAGTTTTCATGAGCACGGGGAAATACACAAGGAAATAGAACGCGCACGTAGGAAGAAGTTCTGTAAGTTCCTCTAAGCATCTTTCTATTTCTTCGCGTCCCGTCAGGAATATCAAAATGTCACCAGCGCCGTGCTGCGTAATAGGAGGTGTTGTGGTAAAGGGCAAGAAGGGACAGGGGACGCACCTGCAGGTTAATGCTCCATGCAACTTCCACTGCTTTCCTCACATAGTCCGGAGCGGACTCTTGAAGGTAAGCAACTTCAACAGGAAACATACGCCCTTCCAGACTGACAATAGTGGCGTCGTCTGGATGTGTCCCCGAAGTGAAGTATTCTAAGAATGCTTTAGCATCCAAAGTAGCTGATGACACTATCAGCCGAAGTGATGGGCGCTTGCGCCTAATTCTGCAAATTGCGCCATCTTAGTGGTCAAGGGGAAAGATTAAAGCAAGTTTGACCAACTTCTTCAAGATACCAAGCAGTAGATCTGTGTAAAGACTTCGCTCATGCGCCTCGTCAATCTGGAAACCCACTGAGCATATGCTGACAAGAGTGATGCAGGACTAACCATAATGACGCTGTAGCGCGAAAGGAGAGGATCTATCAGTGTCTCTCGAAAGAGCATGCCGTCAGTCATGTAGCATATCCGGGTTCGCTCCTTGTCGCTGACATCTTCAAAGCGAATAGTATATCCAACCTATGAGAATATTCGTGAGCGATGCAGAGGCACACCAGCTTGGCGGCGTACCTCATCTCCAAGGAGGGTACCAACTTCCGTTGCGACTCTGATAGCGACAGACGTTGCGGCGACGCGTCGTGGTTGGGTGCAGGCAATAATATTACCTTCTGATGCCCATCCAGATTCTAGGAGATACTGTGGTAGTTCTCAGCCTGTAGTGAGATGGAACTGGGATCATTGATGAAATTTGATGATTGCTCACGAGTTGTTTTTCCTGAACCCGTTTGTCCGACAACGATTGTGACACCATATCTTTCTATGCAATGCAAAAGTTTTTGTCCTGAAAAACAGAGTTGGATAGTGCTTAGAACACAACGACAGTGAGTGAACATACGGTGTTGCCAAATGGGCAATCGTTCACGCTGCGCTTGTATAGAAAGGAAGCCATGCGAAGGTGCAGATTGAACGACATTTCCTTCCTCCTCTGTTTCCCTGTCATGTGTGCTTCCAGGTCCAGCAGTTCCTGGCTTCCAGAACGTCAAAGTGGACATGACGGTGGGTGGGAAGTGTGGTCTAAGTATAACGATCGGTAGATAGTTGTTTGAATCCGAAGGCTTTGCGGCACGCAATTGTTCAAACAACCACCAATAACGCGTTGCATTTCTTGTTATTACAATTAATCCTCACCTTTCCTCCCTTGCAGATGGATGCTCGAGAAGATCTACCTAAAATATCAGTGGAGACTGAACAGGACTGGCGACGTCTTCAGCGAAATATATCGACTGCTTTCCTGGATAGATTGGACTTGGAACTTGAATCTCAGGGTGTCAGCCAAGACAGGGAATCATTTCTGCCTCACATAAATCAAGTGAGTAAAGCATATTACATTCAAACACGATATTCTGAAATTTGTTAGTTTCTTGACACACTTTTTGCGATAACTAGACCAAATCTTCGTATCAACGGACGCACCACCGAAGAACCATACGATGACGACGAAGGTGAGGGCTACATGTTCGACAAGGAATTAATTTTACTTACGAATGGTAGGGATGGAGCCTTTTGATGAGGCTCTTGATCGACATATTTGGTCGCTTTCCGATCAGCGACTGAAGTGGGATAGGGAAATTGGAGGTCGCCGTCGGACGCGTCCCACCGAAGTCGAAGCCATGATTCAGGGGGTTTACACTCAGCATCGTGACGTTGACATGAATATCGATGCAAATCAGGAATCATATCTCTCAGATCTAGATGGTACGTGCAGACGTTGGATGGGGGAACACATCTAACCGGCCAATAGGCAGCCAACTTGATCCTGCGATAGAAGAGACTTTCGTGAATGCTGTTACTATGTCGGCTCAGCTTTCTCAGGTAGGGTTCTTCCAGTGCATAATTCAACGTACTTCATGGTCTCTGTAGTCCACTTCCATGCAGTATGAACGGGCAAACAGATTTTCTGCTGTTTCGACCGAGGTCAAGGCACTGAAACCTTGATATCTACACACATACGACGTGACGCACACTGGGACTAACACAATACAGAGCACTATTATCACGATCCCCTGAATCCGCCTCTTCCACCTCGAGGTGCAAAACCTCCACTGCTACCACGACTACTTCCTCCTCTGAAACCTCCTCTAAAACCGCCCCGGTCGCCACCGAAGCCACCTCTTACCCCACCCCTACTTGTCCCTCGTCCTCCCCGTCCTCGTCCCCCGGGGGCACCCCGTCCCCGCGGCCCACTGCCCCTTGCGGTACCGCGCCCGCGTTCTGAAGATGATCTCCAGTGAATCGGAGGCATATATAAGAGAGGAGAAAACGTACTTGTTACACCTAGAGAATAAGGCTCAGGCGCAGAAGTGGAAAGACCCATAGAATATAACATACCTGCAACTTTTGGTTTTGGGAGGAATCGCTCGATGGGTAGCAATTTATCGCCTCCGATATATACTTTATCTCCTTGCTTGAAGCTACTTGCAATCATACCTTCTCCCATTTTGACTGAGAAATAAACTTCATTGATAGGGCCAAGGATCTCGTCAACCTTGCCGATCACAGATTTGTTTTGGAGGTAAATGGGAGCGTTAAAGTAGGGAACCTTGTCTGATATGAGAGAGGAGCAGAACATCTCATCCTCTACAGCATGCATGAATGTCCCCATTTCTGCAAACCATGAAAACGGTGACGCGAAATTGCAAAGATAATAAATATCAATATCTTACCGACGACTGTAGCTGGAGGACCAAAATCGCGTTGCTGGAAACCTCCACGTCCCCCACCACGTCCTAGAAGAATGAGCCAAATTGGTCGCTCAATAAGAATTATACGCGTACCTCCTCCTCTGCTAAAACCTCTTGCTCCTCGACTCATGGTGTGCGAGGAATAAAAACAACGTGATTATGTAAGCGGATAGTTACAGCTGTATAGTTGTATGCTTGGCATATGCACATCACATCCAGCCTGTAGAACACTGGCCGGCAAAGCCAACTTCCTTCGACAAGCTTTGGGATTCAATGAGCTTATTCTTTCGTCACTTGCCCAGCGTAGAAGGCGAGTTCACTCTCGAAGATCCTCCAAACAAGGCTGATAGCGATACTGTGCTCCTGAGCTCCCGATTGTGGGCATATTTATCTGCACCGCAGGATTCACGTATTCTTGTCCTAATATCTTCGGGCGACTCAATCGCACCCTTATTAACATTCCAAGACTTGGAATGCTTGACCTGTTGGGCCAACGAGGATCCTGATGTGCGTCCATTAAACCGGTCATGTTTTGTTCCACCTATTCATTGTCACAAGGTCGAGTGCATCACAGTTCCACCTCACTGGCCAAACCTATATCCTCATATTTTTGGATCATTCAATGGCCGGCGGAAACTGCGAGTGTCTCGTGCAGAAGATGTCGCTCTCTCCGAAGTGGTTTTGACAGCCCAAACTGCCGATGCATACAGTTTTGCATTGTCCCACAGTTTTGCCTTTGAGGAATGGCTTTTCCAGTCATCGCCGATCATTCGAACTGGTGAAGAATTACACCTTCCCGGAACGTTATTTCTCTCAAATGGCGACGTTTCTGAAACGTTGTCCTCAGCGCTCCGCTCATGTCGCTACAAAATTGATGTCACTTATCCATACTCTCAAGGGATTGTGGAGCGCAATGTCACACAGTTTGTGGTGGCTTGTTTCGACGAAGGAGCAGAAACTGGATGCACATCGGTTGTCGGCGAATACCCATCCGATGTTGAGATAGCTTCGGAGCCACTGGAGATCAGCGAGTCTTTTCTCATCACTGCTGCACTTCCAGCAACCGTGGCTCAACATAAGGGCCCCTATGAGGGCGAGTGTGTGTGTGTGTCAGTTTGAATGTCCTGCTAACGTAACTGAATGTTGCAGCCGTCGCAACGAATGCCTATTTCCGTCTTCAGCCAATTTTGCGAGCGACTGCAGATATCTTTAACCATGATGTCGCTCTGTACCTGCGAACATCTGATTTTCGTCGGGTTGGCATCCTCGATGGAGACTGGGTACATCATCTGTCTTATTTTGCGCGAAGCTAAACTTTCTATCTCAGGCTATCGTGAGTGATCTCAAGTCATCCCAGGCAAGATTGGTGCAGGTGTTTGCGCATGATTACAAATCGGTCCCTTCGTATGTTTTTGATATGTGATCTTATTCCAATCTGAAGGGATTTCTAGTGGTGTTGTGAAGGCCTCGCCGTCGCTGATTTCCAACATCCATGCAGACTCTTCTAGTCTGGTGTGGATTCGTCCGAGCCCTTTTGGTAACCGTCAACCAGCAATACCAGTGGCTCGTGCACTTACTCTCTCTCGCATCGCATCTCCGTTTTCCACCGGACGCAAGTTCGAGACTCTTTTTCTTCAAGAAATACAATCCTACTTCAGTTCCTGTAAACGCTTGGTCAAACCAGGAGATCTCATTAATGTGTCTATTGATGTCGACGACGCAGAACTTACTGACAAGCTTGACAATAGCAAGCTCCCGATCCATCGGTGAGCTAAGGTCTACACAAAATATTCGAAGCCTACCTCATTCTGATACAGGCTGCCGAGCGGTAATGCAGTGGTGTCCTTCGTCGTGGACAAAGTCGACTACGACCCTACCAGTGCTGTTGATGAGTATTGCAGCCATCCGCAGTTTTCTCGAGGCGACTACGGCTGTTTCATCGAATCCCAGCACACTCAGATTGTGCAACTCGGAATACAACATAAAGGTATACCAGACATACACAACTGCAATGCCTTTCGTGAGGACTTTAGCTTTTGTAGGGTTGAGTGACGTGTCATTGACAGGCGAGTAGAGAACGCTAGTGCCAGATCAGGGGAATCACCCTTCACAATGGATGCAATGATTCGTTTGTCGGACGCGCCTCGATTCAAAGGAGCTGCGGAATTTGGTGTCTGGCCACTTCTGCTTATTTCAGGAGCTCGAGGATCTGGGAAGTTTACAATGGCCTCTTCTGTAGCCCGACGCCTTGGAATACATATTGTGGAAGTATGGTCAATCGCTGGACTCATACTTCACTAGATTCATTCATCCCATCTATAGATCAACTGTTTTGCGATAGTTTCGGAAAACGAGACCAATACAGAAGGCAGCTTAAGAGCTCGAATTGAAATGGCAATTTCATGCGCGCCATGCGCGATCGTGATTCGGCACCTAGACGCGCTGTCTCAGTCTACTGCAGCTTCGGAACCGGGAAAAGGTGTGCAGATATTAGTATGACATCATCTTCTTAACCAATACCATAGGTGCAACAATATCACATGCGCTGAACGATTGTCTAGCGGATGTGGAAACCCATATGCAATCTACGGGCAGCCAGATTTTCGTTATCGCAACAGCGAGTGACACATCCAAGGCCCCTGCCATCCTCCTCTCGCGCTTTACAAACGAATTCGTGCTAAAGGTGCGATCGCTATTGATTGCTCACACAGACACTCTGTATAACCTTCGTTGCACCTCTTACAGGCTCCGACTGAGGCAGAACGATTGAGCATAATATATCATCGCATAATTGATATCAAACTGGCTTCTGATATTTCAGTGGCTTCTTTTGCCACGCAGACTGCTGCACTAGTTGCCATTGATATAGCCGATTTTTTGACACAAGCGGAGGTTATTGCTGTCAGAGAGTCACTGTGCGGTCAGAGCTTTTCGAGTTAATAATCTCGCTGATCACGATGTTTGCAGTGATAAAATTACTTGCCGGACACGGTCCCTAAGTACGATAGCTATTCGAGCAAATCAGGTGGAATTGTCACTTTTGAAGGCGAGGACAACTTTCTCTCAAAACATTGGGGCTCCGAAGATCCCTGCTGTCATGTGGGAGGACATTGGTGGACTGTCAAGAGTAAAGAACGAAATATTGGACACTATCCAACTTCCATTGGAGCACCCTGAGTTATTCATCGAGGGATTAAAGAAGCGTTCAGGTGCACTCATTTGCTAGTCTAGTTACCCAGCTGCTAAATTAGGCGCCACACAGGAATCTTGTTGTATGGACCTCCGGGCACGGGAAAAACGCTGCTCGCAAAAGCAGTAGCAACTTCATGCTCGTTGAACTTCTTTTCGGTGAAAGGACCCGAACTTCTGAACATGTATATTGGAGAGTCTGAGGCAAATGTTCGACGAATATTTCAACGTGCGCGTGATGCAAAACCATGCGTCATTTTCTTCGATGAACTCGACTCTGTGGCGCCAAAGCGAGGCAATCAAGGGGACTCGGGTGGTGTTATGGACCGTATCGTAAGTCAACTTCTTGCAGAACTGGATGGTATGTCTGCTGGAAGTGGAGGCGACGTCTTCGTCATCGGAGCTACCAATCGCCCCGACCTATTAGACCCAGCTCTTTTACGCCCCGGAAGGTTTGACGTCACGTTGTCTTATGAAACTAGCCTTACGTTCTTTCCTTAGGTTTGACCGAATGTTATATCTCGGGGTCAGCGAGACGCACGAAGCTCAACTTGATATCCTTCGTGCGCTCACAAGAAAATTCAAGCTCGATCGTGATCTTAGTCTCGCAGACATTGCTAAAGAGTGCCCGTTCCACTACACGGGAGCCGACTTCTATGCTTTATGCTCTGATGCAATGTTAAATGCACTAAACAGGAAGGTTGCTGAGCTGGATGGCAAAATAGGTCTGTCGGGACTCATGATATGTATGACATTCTAACGATACACTGAACAGCACAACTCAACAAACAGTCAGAATTTCGGCAGCATCAACTGACACCTCAGTACTATCTCACTGAAATAGCCGGATCAGGTGACTTACACATTTTGGTCACTCAGATGGACTTCATCCGTGCTCTGAATGAATTAGCCCCTAGTGTTAGTGCAGTAGAGATGCAGCACTATGCTACTATTCAGAAGAGATTCATGCAGGAGATAGTGGAAGATATGTAACTGATAATGCTGTCTGGATGCCATAAATACCTTTTTGCATGATGACCTATTGGAGGGGCTCAATTGACACTTGCAAGGTGATTGCAACCTCATTTAGGGATGTATTAGGGACATATTTTGCATCAGTAATTTCACCAAATCCTTATTTAGCCTTATCTTACTTAATGCTTGCAAATGAGATTCTTGAATTAACTTAAAGGTTGCTTTCCTGTCTTGGGACATGAGGGTATGGCAGCGAGGATTTGTCAGCGTGTGTCCTGGGATGTGATGGTAGGGCATGTGACGCAAAGACCCCATGCTCGTGTAGGAGAAGTCAATACGACGAATGTGGACAAAGTTTGGAGGGGTCGTTCTTGGCTCATCCATTGTAGTTTGTTGTTGTTGTTGTTGTTGTTGTTGTTGTTGTTGTTGTTGTTGTTGTTGTTGTTGTTGTTGTTTCATTGTTTCATTGTCTTCATATTGCAATAGTGTTATGACTGGGGTCGTTCTTCTTTACAATGACTGAATGGTCAAGCCCAGTGAAAAGTGGATATTGGGTGTACCCACGCAAAGCTTGGTAAGTATCGGTGTCACAAAATATTGTCAGAACTTGGCAGATCAACCGCTTTTTTGGGCCTTCGAGCTTCTAGGGAAAACGAGGCTAGTCACGCTATGCGACTATACTAGCTTAGCCAATATTTACCTAGTTTTTTTGGTTGTAGCACAAATCAAGTGAAATCGAGCGAGACAAGCTATGCGTGCAATTCAGCGTGGGTCGGATCATAATGTACATGCACATCTAGTATGAAAAAACAACGAGCAGAGCAACAAAACGACAGCAGGACTGAAGACAGCAATAATGACAGTGATAAAAGAAACAACAGCAACGAGAAAAATGATGGCGATTATTCCTGGGGGTGACTGTTATTGACCATGCTACCAGTAGCGCACTCGATAGCGCTTGCTTTAGCCTATATGAGAATATAGTTAGTGTCAGTGCCAGGTCAACAGTAGCATACAAAGGTATACCCGTTTAATTTGTTCAACTTGATCAACAAATGGCTGCCACAAGGCAAGTGAGGATGCGACTCAGTGCTAACATGAACATATATGCGAACCTTTCGCATCTCTTCGGACATATTGTCCCAGTATGCAGCAAATTCACCGACAGTAACAGCTCTCCCTTTGTTTTGTTCTTTGTATGCGATGGCACATAGGTTTCTATGGCAGCAGATAGTATTTAGATTATGAGCCATTATAATATATCATGCACACACCTAGCGGTATTTGATTTGGTGGGACGCAGCACAGCGTTCAGGTTTGATTCTTTTTTCTTCTTTGGAATGCCCATCAACGGTGGCATACTGGCAGCAGGTGGTTGCATTCCGAGTCCGACCGGATGTATTATGGGAATATCTGCAAGTGTCACATTAGCAAAAGCAGGGGTGATCGGTCCAGTAACAGGTGTTTTCAACGACGACGCAAGGTTCTCAAGAAGACTGTGGATTGAAGCAGAAGGTGGCGGCGATGTGGGTGCAAGCTCAGGCACAGAACAAATCATTTTCGAGTCGGTCGGAGATGTGTTGGATTCGAAAATGCTGTGAATATGAGTGTCGACGATGCCTTCATAGTTGTCCTCTTGTTCGACTATCGTAAGTGAATTTGGCTGTTCGAGGGGGATGATATCTGCATCAAGATCAGCCGACATGTGTTGATCTGCAGTCTGTCCGAGGGAGACAATATCTGCATTGAGATTAGTCGATGTGCTGTATTGATCTGCAGTATGCGCCAGTGGGCTGATGATCTATCAAAAATTTAGTAAGTGACGTGACAATGACAATGAACCTTACTTGGACGGCACAATTCTTTCCCTTGTTGACAAACAATGTTCCAGCTGCCACGAGAGGTCTGACAACAGCTGTTGATGATGATGGGAGAGATGGAACTCGTTGAATAGCTGAGCAAGGATCATCATTGTCGACTCATTTCTTCTTAGGTTGACTACCCAAGGTGAAAATCGTAAGGGAAGGTGGGCATTTGGATTTGGCAGAGCTCAACCTCTGTAATGGGGCTGTGCTACTGAAGTGTTCCATCTTGATGTCCAGAGCAGATTCGACCTTTACAGATTCTGTTTTGATACCAGGATCCTCTTCGGGCTTTCCACTCCAAGCAGGGAAATAGGTTGTTGCAAATTGACGTGCCTTCCAGTCATGCACACAGTACCGGAACTCGGAGAAATGTGCACGCATGTGACGATAAAAAAAAGTCTGACCAAATGTGTCGGTCTTCGTCCATGTTGTCCCACAGTGTCCATAAATTTTCATAGTTGTCCAAGCTGCGCGTGCTTCATTGCGCATTGTCTCTTGATCCTCTCCTGATGCAACACTGCGGTCCTTTTGAATCAAGTAGTGACATGGCCCTGGGCCTGAGATATCGTCCACATCGAGTGCGTCGAGGACACCGCGAGTCCTCTTCTTCTCATTGGTCCAGTCTGCCTTTCGATAGAATAACTTCTGCGGCTTGTCAATCATCTGTTCATCGAGCAGAGGGGATGGATCTATGCTCATGACAAGAGCAACAACTGGGTCATGCAAGGTACTATCATGTAGATTTGATGAGCCTGCATCAAGACGCTCAAGGAGTTGCTGATATGAGTCGCTAGCAGATCGTAGTTTGCCTTCGAGAGAAGTAACCTTGTCTTCTAACTTGCGTGATTTTTTTGTTAATGTGACTATACGTGCCTCGAGAGACTGTTTGTCTTCCATAAGAGATCGCATTCGAGTCTGCAGTATATTAAAGTCGTTGATAGAAACTGTTCAAGCCTGTTTTTATGGTTATATGCTGACTATATGCGCACCAATTGAAGTGTGATATTTACCTCTGGGCTTATGCTACTTTTAGAAGACAAGGGGGAGAACACATCAAGCAGGGAATCTCCACTAGAGACCGTTGAAGAGACATCCTAATAAAATCAGTCAATGTGGCATGGATCATAGTAACACCAGAAGATGTCACTGTATTTGAATGATCCCAAGTCCTACTTGCATCAAAAGGTCATTGTATATCATTTGTGGGTGTCTGGAATGGCGATTTCGATTCAAGTTCAGCAGATCCAGTGGTGGGTGACTTCAGATTGCCGGATGTATTGGAAATATTGGAGTATAAATCAAATCCTTGTAGCATAGGCAGGTTGGAAGACAAAGTTTCATGAGGTAGTAGTATGGAGTCTATAAGCAGTTCACCAGTAGAACAATCTAGCATGATATCAGACATAGTGACAGGACGACAAGGGGGACGAAGTTAAAGACACGATGACAGCATACAAATCTGGGGTGCTTAGTCAGCTCACCCAGACAAAATTATCGTATGTTGGGCACCCCTTTCTCGCAGCTACCACCATGTCTACCAATGCTATTGACAACAACCACAATGTCTCTGTTCTCCAGAATGTAATCGTTATGGATGTCGAAGAGCTCCACCCAGCATGGCCGACATACGTTATCAATGTAAACCCCCAGAATCCAGGTCCTTTTGTATGTCTTGTCATTTTCAGCAAGTTCAACAGAACGCACACTAACCAGCCTCCATGACAGAAACTCGTAATTCGCATCAAACCACAGGATTCTACTATTGCAACCAAGCACCTCCGCATGGACCCCGATGCTACCATGGTTGAGGAACGTCCGCTCAAGTAAGTTGGTTGTTTTTCCACTATGGTTTTGATGTGTATGCTTCAACTTTAGGCAAGTGAAGCTCGACTTGAACAATACAAACCCTGTCATTACCACTCCATGTCCTGTTCAAATTCTCAATTGTCGTATCAATGAAGACATGCTAGATGAGAAGCTTCGACTAAAGCCCGGCAAGTACTCCACTAATGTAGGATATAGGCTCTCTTCTGCACGTAGAGCTCATGCTGAGGCTGTGTCACGCTATAAGCACCAGAACGAAGATTGCGAGAAAGAGAATATGTCAGTTTAATCATGCATTTTCTGTTGTCTCTGTGCTGTACTTTACGATAGGTTGTATCATTATTGTTCATCTATTTGCATGCTCTCATCCCTGTACTGTACTTTATGATAGGGTGTATCATTACTGCTCGTCTATTTGCTTGTGCTCTTCTAAGTACCCACCAAGGCAAGTCACATCTCCGCCAGGTTTCTCAACCATATAGAACCGGTCCTTGTCGTCGAGTTTATGTGGGACCATTGCAACAACAGAATGGATTGAGTTGACATTCACAGCAATGGTGCCAGCATCCCCAAGATATTGGCAGGATGCAAAAGTCGTATGAGACCGTCGAAGGAGCTCTTGGTGAGGGAGAGAGAATAGTTTAATAACTGCGAGAGCTTCAATGGGCTTCATGCAGTCAATCCGACACTCAAAATAATATTGCACTTCGCCAACTCTAGGTTTGCCATCAAGCATGATCTAAATATAATGTGGTTACATGGGATTCATGAAACTGGAGATGATCCTACCTTTACGTTACATGACTGTCTGGCATTGAAACGTGTTTCTTTCCAAAGAGAATGGGCAATCTGTCCATTTGGGAGCTGTAGACGAGCCCATCGACAAACACGAATAGTGCCATCATTAGGGAACTGTTGAAGGATGGGTGAATTGGAGCAGGTGCATTCAATGTAGTCTTGAATAGCCCATCCTTCATGAACAGTAGTTGCATGACTTGTCTGATCTTGGCACTTCAATAATGCATATCCACTTCCAAGGTCTTTTGCAAAGCGGGGAAGACATTTTGTGTCACTGGTGTCAAGTGAGGGTATGATGGATTTCAGAGCGTTGATCTGTGCACGGCGGATTGCACGCTGACCAAGGTTCGCATATGGGTTAGAAGGTTGCTGAATTTCTTCAACAAGATTTCCAATAGTGCGTTCCATTGTCCATTGAGAAGCACAAATAAGAGGGCCCTTCGTTTCAACTTCATTTCCATAATGGTCAATAGCATGAACACTTTGCCGTACAAAGTGAATGCGAGTAGGGAGATGCTGATAATAGAGCAGCTCAAACTCTTTCGACCAGTCAAGGAATAGTGTGTTCGCTAGGCGGAGCTCATTGTGTGAGATTGAATGCTGGAAGATGATACGGACGGCATGAACAAGCCTGCAAAAATGTTCCCATATCTCGTCTGGCAAGTGCTTATACAACACAGCTGGTCCAAGTCTGTAGAGGAAGAGCCAGAACTCCCATGCCTTATACCCACTATTAATCTTCTCAGCAATGTTGCATGGGACATGGTCAAACGAGCCAGGAAGGTAGGGACGTGCATCTGCGACGTCTTTTCCAAGGGTTTTCCAGGTGTTACCCATCAAAGAGGCCCAGTACCACGATGCCTTTGTGTCTGGTGGCTCACATTCTATTGTCCCATGCCAGAGTTTGAGCAACAGATCAGGGAGGTTGAGCGAAAGAAGATGCATAATGTCAGAACCAAAACACTTCAGAATTCCAAGGGTTTGTCCAGGAGGAAAGCCAAGAAATATAGATGGTTTTGAGATGCCGGTCTCAAGTCGACGTTGTTTGTACTCCATTTCGTTGAATGATTGCAGGACATAGATCAGATTGTTCCAATACATCTCCGCAGAAGCACCCTGAATGTCATTGACATTGACATCAGGATGACTGCAGCCAGCGACATTGTAATCGTGCGGTTTCAGAAGCACAGGATAGTAGTGTGAGCAGCCCGGCTTGTGTCGTCCTCTGAGTCCACAGTATAGACGGCAACCATTTTTTCCATGGTGTCCGATGAAACCATTGAGATAAGCAAGTCCAGGTCCATCGGCCGTACCGAGTGCAAGGAATGGAAATGATAGATAATTGATGTTACGAGAAGCGTCCAATATCTTGAGGCCTTCCTTTTGAATTGCGGCCAAGTGGTGGAAGCCAGGGAATAAGAAGGAATCGAGATTTTGAGGTTTCTTGGGTCCAGGAATAACGACACCTGGAAGGACATGTTTCTTTTTGTAACGTGAATCAGGAGAGCAGTCAAATATAACCCAAATTGCGATCCAACAGTCCGATTCCTTGCATTGATAAAGCTGAGCACCGTCAATCGACATCATAAGAACAACATCTGTGTCCTTGATTTTGCCCTCCTGCACCACATTAATGTAGTTGGTTCCATCAAGAAAATCTTCATACACGTGGACCTTGCCCTCATTTTGTTCCAACTCCTCGAAAATTTTCTCGGTTTGAGCTGTGTGGTACCGCTGAAGGTTCAACGATACAGCGAGGCACGAACAATGCTCCTGACTGTATCTATAATTGTTGTAAGGTCACGTGTTGCCTAGTCTGCTATACTTGAGACGACAAGTGCGTTCGACCCTAAAGGGGAAGCGAGTGCAGCAAGGATCTAGAGGTATGCGCTGAAAGCGCTACTGGTTGGCCAATGCGAAGCGCGGGAAAGCGCAGGTGCGCGCAAGGCGCGGGAATGCGCGCGTGTATGGCGCGAAGCGCGGGAAAGCGTGCGCGTGTATACAGATATGAGAGAGAGTAAGAGTGAGTTTGCTTAAGTGATGATATGATGTAAGACAAGAGAAGAGAGATGCGAGGTGTAAACAAATAGATTTCTACTATGTTCTGCTAGGTGAATAGTGGGTAGTAACCAGTAAGTCCTCTGTTGTTCTGGTGGGAGAGTAAGTGAGTCAGTCATAGTATGTACTGCTGGCGCTTAAGTATGGCGCCTAAGCGCTGTCATGCGGAGCCGAAGCGCTACCGAGTAAGGTATGTAAAGATATATGTAAGTAAGGGTCCATGATAAAAATAAAGATGGAACGATAAGCAAATGTGAGAAATGGAAATATACGCACTAGGGAACTTGGTGGACAGTGGATGGATGCTTCCGGATGGCTGGCGCTATAGGGCGCTCAAGCGCGGGAAAGCGCGCGCGCATATACATCGTGAAGCGCGGGAAAGGTACGCGCGCATGGCGCGCGTTGCGCGGGAAAGCTGCGCCTCATATAGAGATAGCTGCGGGTAGCACACAGAGTGATGCTACAAGTTCGTGCCATGTACTCCCCAGTGAAAACTGCCATATTGCACAATGAGAGGCATGAGTCTCTACACCGCATCTCAACAGCACTCTGAGGATCACGAAACATAGCCTGGAGTTGTGGGCCGATGGGAATAGTTGGAAACTGCTTGCGTGTGACTTTCTTCTTGCCCTTACTTTGTGCAAGAATGACCTGGTCATAGCGCAAAGAGCCGCATATTGGACAGGACTTGAGGTGCACAAATTGACCTGTGAAACCAACACATGAATTGAAGCACATATCGTGCATGATACCAGAGACGCCACTCAGCTGTTTGACAGCTCATTTGGCTTGGTAGAGTGTCGGGAAATCATCGACATCTTTGGATTCCATCAGAACCTCGCGCACTGCTTCGTAGTCCTTCCCCGCATGCAACAATTTAAGATAGAGTTTAACAGCAGCCTTGAGATCAGGGTCATCATCAAGAGAAAGTTGAGGTTGGGGCGGATTTCGAATGTGTTCCACAGTTGCAGCATCAAGCCCAGATTCAGAGTCATCCAGGGAAGCATTTGCGAGTCCGAAAATAAAGGCTAAGGAAATACGCAAGTCATTGAGGGTGACATTTGAGTAGATGTCGTTTGCGAGGGTCTCCTCATCTGCGTCAAGGGGAGGTGGGACATCAACGTGTGGAAATGCAGGAGGTTCATCTTGATGATGAACAGTGTCATCCTCATCAGGGATTTCTTCCACAGTTGGCCTGTGTAGATGTTGGGGACTCAATGGTTGTGGTAAGGGTAGAGGCAACTCTGCAACATCCTGTCGACAAATATTTGGTCAGTCTAGGGTGAAAAAGGTACAATACCAGACACATGGACGGGGGGAGGGACCCACAAAGTGGCTCATGTCTTCATCATAGTGCATGACAGCTACACGGCTGGGAAGAGCACTCAGGGGAATGGCACTTACATGACTAATGCCCTCATCATTGGCTTGGGATGACTCGAGGTCATCACAAGCGTCTCCTTGGTCTATCTCTCCTTCTCCTTCATCAGAAGAGACTTGGTCATTGAGAGAATGAGCTGCACGAGCTGCCACAGCCTTTGGATTATTCTGCTTTGACCTGTGACAGAGCCATGTTGATTTACTGACACAAGTGAGAAGGTACTTGTGATCGACACAGTCGCAGTAGTAGTCTTTCTTGGAATGGGGCATTTTGCGAGTAATTTCTTGTCGGCATGAGAGCGTGTTCGTGTTTTATAGGCACAGATTGGCAATGGCACGATACAATACAATGGGAGATACGGATCAAGGAGAGGACAAGATACTCTAGATGCAAAGCCAATGATGCATGCTATATTGCATACATGACTTCGCATCTATTGTAGCGCTTCGTCGAAACACTGCGTTACATGCTTTACAGTTTGTTTTACATGTAACAGAATGTTGTTGTGGTCTTTACAGCGTTACAACAGCTGCTTACATCATATTACACTCTGGATTTGCCACGATTTCAGGTGGTGTCACGCTGGGCTAATATTCACGCAGGTACAGCCAATTGTCGATTTTGACTGGGGGTCAAGTCGAAGTGTAAAGCAGAGTCTGCCTATGAATATAGGGTCAAGGTTTCTGGCTAAGGACAGTGTCACTGACTGCCTTAGAATAGTGGTTCAAGACAGTAAGGTTGGAGACCTTACTGAAGGACTGGTTTCCAGGTAAAACCCAGTAGATTAAAGTAAGGAATACAGGTGGTAACTACTGTGCTTAAATAGTCTGTATGGAGCGCACAGACCAGGCCAAGAAAGGTAGGCATAAAGTGCATATCAAGATAGGAGCAAAGATAAGAGATAAGAGTCTTTATCAAGATAAGGGTTATGCATGATAGTGGTTGCTAGCACAATAGGAAGCTTTAGTGATCATATGAGTAAGGTACTGGAAGGTGATCCAACACTCAGTAGCAGAGATAGTCATAGACCATTATCTAGTAATGGGAGAATAAATGGGGGCATATTTTAATCATAACAAATAGTACTTGTTTGTTTGTTTGTTTGTTTGTCTCTGAGCTTGAGTCAGTCTGAGTTCTCTTTTGCATGCTGAAATGCTTGCACCCACAGCACCAACACAAACATTGATGGACATGTTCAACAGATCCATTTCAACTTTCAACACATTGGATGGTTTTTTTAGGTGTGTCATCACTAGGGATTAGCATGGGTATCCTCAACCCATGTGGGTCGTGGGTGTGGGTACCTCTGGGGTATGGGTGGGGGTCTGTACTTTGGGTACTCATACCTCTACCCATACTCCAGTGGTGGGTATGTAAGCAAACATGTCTTATTTTGAAATTTAGTAACACACATTAGACATGAACCTTAAACTCTAAACCTAAACACAGTGCTCTTATGATCATCACAGCATGCATCCCACATTTTTCTCAGGTGCTGCCAAGTGTATTACAAAACTAACAGACAAAGCTAAAGCTGCACTAGACAAGAAGTGGGAAGGCTCGTCAAACAAACAAAAGAATAATGAAAGTGCTGCTAGTAGTTAGGGATCAGCAGGGGTAAGGGTACTTGAGGGTAGGGGTAGGGGTTTGGATCTGAAGACCCCTGTACCCCTGGACAATTGGTAGGTACCCCTGGAAATATATCCCCAAATTGATTACCATAGGAGTGATGGATAAGTATAATATTTTGAAGTTGTACATTTGCCTTTCAATGGTGATATATGTGATTGTAAAAAGTGTTACCCTGGGGTATACCTACCATGGGTGTGGGTAGGGGTATCTATCTCTGGTACCTTTCAAAAAACCCACACCCACATAGTGGGTGGGGGTATATTGGTGGATAAGGGTAGGGGTATCACCTCAGATACTCTAGGGTATACCCATGCTAATCCGACTCATTACTACTTTTTTTTAGCCATTTTTGATTCTACTGATGCCATTTGTGCACCAGCCATCTTCACACTTGCATACTGATGCCAAGCGCTGCAGTCCCACCGTCTGACATCACCATACAAGCACTGAATGCTGCCAAGGGTGTTCAGCTGAAGTCCTGGATTGAGGAGGCCAATAGAGCTGTGGGGAAGAAGGCCTTGACGAAGACTGGCACCGTGAACATCCTCAGAATGAAGCTCACCAAGTTCTATGACCTTGACCTTGCAGCTACCCCCAAAAAACCTGCAGGACCCAACACCCATGGACACGACGTCCAGAAGTGGCAGTTTGCCTATCTGCACAAGCTCTGGAATGAGTGGATGGGGTGTGTGGCCTCAAACCAACCATTCCTGCTATTACAACATGTTACACGAGTCCCCTCTGCCACCATACACAGTTATAGATGATAGACAATACTTGGGCCTCTAGACCACAAATGATAGAAGAGAAGCGGCATATGCCAGCTTAGGTAAGTGGTCCGGACCACTATGACATATGCTAGGTCTAGAAGACCTATTGTTGTTATCAAGATAGAAGGCAAGCTTTGTGTTGCCTCATGTACTGATAGAAGGCCATCACATGGACCTTATCATAGATAGAAGCCCTACCTCATGGACGGTATCTCTGACTCATAGATAAGCAGATTAGAACCCAGCTTCAAGCTGAGCTTAGATATGATAGAGTAGCCTTATATAAGGTCGAAGATTAAAAGTAGATGTTCCTTATTTTAATCTTACTTGGTTTTCCCTTGAACTCCTTGTCCTGCTAAAGCTACTTGCTCAACATTGACTCACACCTTCAGAGACGCCTCTCTCTGTCTGTATTACTATTATCTCTGCATAATCCCTTGCTTACCTAGCAAGCTACGTTTGAGTATGCAACCTCTGCTCTTCTGTAGAGGCTGACGACTCTCAGCACTCAGTATCACTGTCATGGTTGTCGCTGTTAGAACTATCCAAGTCGCACATGACCTTGCGTTGTAACACCTGCTCTGCTCGATGTCTGCTGGTGAGTTTTCTGTGTTCCTTGCTCTGAAAACTGACATATCTACCTATCTAAATATACCAAATCCACTCGATGTGCAGCTCCTCAAACTTGCAATCACCTCCATTCCCACCCAGCTTAGCTTTGCACTGCCAAATCCCCTTCCTGAATCTCCTCTGCTGCCTGCTGTCACAAATGACAGTGTGTATGCACTGTCACACCTTGCGTGATCAGGGAACCATGATGCCTTCATCATGCTGCTTCGATTTCATGCTGTCATGCAAGCATGTGCAAGTTCCATCATCCACCTTGTAAGTCAATTGTCTAATTTTGTGTTTCATTCATCATCTCTGACTTTTGATGGTTCAACATTGCAGGGAATCTCTTGCAGCTCTGATACACCACCACAGCTACTGCTTCCTGCACTCAACCCATCACCATCTCTCTCGAGCCTGCCACCCCATCAAGCAGCCTCATGCATATCGACAGAGGCTTCTCCTGCTGCCACACCACTGCTATCGACTGTCATATCCTGTGTTCCGGACCTGGACCAATCACGCAATCATCTCTGGACTTCTGGACTTCCGGATCCGGTTAGCTTCTATCCTCTGTGCCTTTTCCCTTTAGTATTTCCCTTATCAGTTAGTGTGCTTTATTTTCCGTCCCTTATTCATTTCCGTCTTCATTTTACTAAGTTCCAATAGACTAGTGTTAGGTGTTCCACATGCTCCGTCCATAGCCTCGCATAGCCTCGCACTGCACTGACTGATTCTCCATTATGTCCTTCATAGTATATATACCCTGTAAAGTCTCTGTATTTCCTCAGTTCGAATATTATCTTAGACTCTGCTCATTCCCTCCTCCATTCGACTTGAGTCTCTTCTCGTCATCTCCGACAGTCTTAGGATTGACTCCTATTGACTTACCACCTCCGCCTCTACCTTAGGTAGTCCTCCGCTGTTTCCTTTCTAGTTCGGACTTCGTCCGGATTAGTCTCATCACTTGTTTCCGAACGTCTGCCAGAATTCCCGCACATTGGACTCCAGACTCCGGACATCGTCCGTTAGCCCTCAGAAGTTAGGGGCACGTACTCAGGTAAGGGGTGCAGCACACGAGCTGAAGCCAAGCCCTTCAGATACGACCCTTGAGCACATTCTTAACATTGACACTCTCATCACAGCCACCATTGCCCATGTCACCTGTCACTGTCTTCTTAGATAGATGATCTATAGATAAACACCTACAAAATCAAATACCTCTACAATCAGCGATTCAGACAAATACCAATGACTGATAACGTGGTTGTTCATGGGTGGCTGTTTACACTTCCCCAAGCTATGTTCAGACAAAAGTACTTTTGTGAGGTCAATAAAAATACCAGTCAATCCAACAGTATGGATGCAATAGAAAATAAACGGAATATAGTCAGCCCAACAGTATGGTGATGACAAAAGAAAATGAATCACTCCAATGGTATGGCAGTGATTAGAGAACAAAGAAAAGTCAGCCCAACAGTATGGTACTGATAAAAAAAATAGAATGATAATAGAAACCCTTCCTTCAGTAACAATGCTTCTCGTAATAAATTTACTACAGAAAATTGTGCAAAATTATAACAATCACCCCCTCAGCACAAACAGGTAGAATCAAAGGTCAAGACTAATCAATGCTCAGTAGAACTCTTAGTTCACTATTGAACCTGCTGCCAAGGAACTCATGATGAGTATTAAACAGAATCAGGAACAGATGTCCTTGGATTTCAGTACCAAGTCCCCTATTCAACAACTAAAGTCTAGCAGACAAAGAAAACCCTGGCTCAGTATCACTACTCAGATGAGTGAGGTCAAGTGTCACTATCAACTTCTGAAGTCTTCCCACTAAGCCTGTGCTTAGATGGATGTAAAGACAACACAAAGATCCTGGAACAAATTCAGAACAATGACACTAAGACGTGAATGAACTGAAAAAAAAAAGACAAATGAAAAAAAAAAAAAGACAAAAAGAAACAGAAAAAGAAAAAGAAAGAAAAGAGAAGAAAGAAAAGAAAAGAAAGAAGCTAGAGGTTCACCAGTAGAAAATCAAAGAAAAAGTTTGCTCACTGTTGAGCACAGTGAGCTCAAGATATTTCACAGTTGTTGATGATGAGCTAAAGGCGATGCTGGATGTTGCTCACAATAACCTCTCAGTTAGTTGCTTAACAGCTCTTGTCACTGTTGTTGGTACTGATCACACTTCACACTCAATTTCATTTTGTGGGGCTTAAATGTTCCCTTTTTGCATATTTTTATTGGCAAAAAGTGGGGTCTTATATAGATAAACTATGGTGGCTGTGCTACTATTTCCCACATTCTAAGGGAGATAGGCTTAGTCAGATTGTACCAATAACTATTTACTGTTGGTCATGTGCATTATAATTTATGTCATCAGGCTTTAGTCATCTCAAGAGGTTGCTTTGTCACGATTTGGTTTAGGGTCATAGGTCACCTGACTGTTAGAGTCATATGACTTAGTATCATGTGACTAATATTAAATAACAAACTGATTATGTTATGTAAGAGAAATATTCATGATTTGTTGGTGTCTTGTTATGATGTTACTTTATTAACCGTAGAAATGACGTGAGCTGTGTATTTAGGGTTTTTAAGGAAGTTCCCACAAGGCAACTCATGCAAGAACTATTTTTCACAGTTACCTGACATGTGTGGGATTCAGTCTGAGTCATCATTGTTGCTGACTAAGCAGAATTTATCGCAAAATTAAAAAATATTTAGCCTATCCGAGTCCATCTGAGAAATGAAATGAAAATCTTATCTGCAGTCTAAACCATAAAGTAAAGGAAGATTGTTTCATAATGATTTATAGGGCATCAGGCTCATGGGAGAGGATTAGTCATCCATGCACCAAACCAGTTTGGTGCAAGTCATTGCCACCAGCACTCCACCAACTGTAGCTGCACCTGCTCAGTCTGATGAAGCAGTGCTGTTGGCAGCCTGCAAAGCTGACATTGTAGTGCTCAATTGTGCAACTTCACTGCATGATGTCATTGCACAGGTTGAAGCTGGAGATGTTGCTCGCATTCAGCAGCTATATGGGCCATGCACAGGACATGCAGCCATCTCACTTTGGCAGTCCATCAAGTGTACTGTCTGTCATCAAGAGCGGCTGTACTTGCAGCTTCAGGATGAGTTCTGTGGTAACAAGGATTGCTTTTTTGGGTTTTTTAGAATCCAAATAACATCAGAGGTAAATGGCAAGTTGTTGAAATGGAAGGCTAAGCACAATGCACCTGTCGAGCACCTGCAGCCCTTGCAGAAAGTTGATGAAGCCATCAGTCGGAGGGATAAGAACCTTGCTGAGCTCATGGTAAGTGATAAGTACAGTGATGAGGGTAGGTTCTGTAGTCAAAAGTGGGAAGCAAAGTGGTCGGGCATGAATTGGTGGGAGATATGGAGGGCAATTGAAAAGGAGATATACTGAGGACATTGAATTATTTACACATACACTATAATCACATTTGTTGCCTACTTCACTAGCAGACCCATTGATCCTTGGTGTACCCGCTTTCCATCATTGCGGTCAAAATCAATCATGTGTTCATGATTGTCATTGTGGAAGTAGAGAAATATCTGAACATGGTGACTGCTTCAACCTGTGATCAGCCACCCCATGCAGCTACCATACCAGGGGACCAGCCTTGATCTCAAAGGTGGTGTTGACACCCCCCTTGGCGGAATGGGTGTGTCCTATATAATGCCTAGGACTTATATCTAAGGCCCTGTAGGTCTTTTGCAAGTGCTCAGCTAATGGTAGTGGAAGACTAGTAAGGGAGTCCTCAGCCACCTATCATTTGGCAAGTGGAAGGAGCTTACCAGTGGTTGAGTGGTCACTGTACCATTCATGTTAATCACCAGGAACAAGAGTCCAGTGCAGTCATGGTTTTCTCCATACAGAGCTACAAGTCTGATCAAGGCCCGCTTGGGGCATATCTTTGAATCTTTGTCATTTGCACAGAGATGCATCCGCTGAGAGACATCAGTCTGTGCATTTTTATGTATGCCAAGGTCAACATCAAAGTATGCTCCTGAAGGAGGTTGTCAGTATCCCTTACTCATGTTATGAAAAAAAAAATCATACTTTCATTAGGGAGAGCATCAATGATCTCAAATGTCAGGCTCAATGCTTCCTCAACTCGAAACACAAGGAGCCATGCAAAGAGAAAGACCATCTGGCTAGTGTGTCAGTGGAAGAAACATGACCAGAACACCAGACATACATATTGGACAATCCCACATTGTCGATCAGCATTGTTCAGACTATGGTGCATCATGCAATAGTCATGGAGGCAGTACATATCATCCAGCAAAAGCGCCTGTGCTGACTGGGAGACCTCGCCCTGCCTTGCCTTGGTCTTTTCAAGACCAATTATGAACTTAGACACAGCATGAAATCTTGTTGGAAGGCCAGAACTGATCAGGAAGTCAGACAGTGGACAGCAAGAAAAGGGAGATCCTCACCACTGCCCTGTCTTATGGACTCGCCACTCCACCATACTCTCTGATGGTCAGACAGAGTGATACCACAGTGTAAGGGCTACTCGAGTTGAAATTGCAGTGGAGAACTGCAACAAATATGTAGATGAGCTCATCACCACTGGTAGTTAAGGAGACAGAGACAGGGGCCACTGACCTTGTGTCCTTCATAGCCATCAGCCTTTGGTCTATATTTTTGAGTGATGAACATTCACACATCATATGGTGTGTTCCTTGTCACCACTTTGGGATCCCAGTTTGGTGTCTGTTTCATATGAAATATAATATATGCCTTAATGATCCTAGCCCAGCAGTCAGAATTACTCGAAGCAAAGCACAGATTAGTATGTCACCTAACATGCTTTGTACAGGTTTGATCAGTAATGCTGTTTTGTACAATGTTAGAAGCATATTGAGCTATCTTGGACTCATCATTATCTGGAAAATCATTGAGGCCCTCATTCAAAAGAATGTCAAGCTTGGCTTCAACTTCAGAAGCTTCCTCCAGCTCGAGGTGGAGCATCTCATCTGAAACCTATATTTGAATCAGCTCAGAACTATACCAGCATGCTTGCAGTGTGAGGAAAGACCTGTTGTTCAATCACAGCTTCCTCATTGACATTTTGCAAGGGTGGTACAGGCTGCACAGTGGTCTCAGACATGGTGGTGGAAGCTGATCATATTGCAGATTGATAACATGAGACAGAAACAAATACATTACATAAGCGACCTCTGAAACAAAAAAGATATGGTGAGTAACAACTGCAAAGAATAGAGCCTATGGAGAGTGAAAAAAGTCCAAAGTCAACAATATAAGGGCTGGTAAGCAGAGAGAGCAGAGGGTACCAAAGACAAGTAATGAGCATAGCAGGTTGATGGCAGATGACTAGAATAATCAGGAGAGGGAGATGGACAACCAGATGGGAAGAATAGGCTCTCAAGAGGGAGACAGATAACCAGATGGGAGGAATGGGCTCTCGAGAGGGAGATGGACAACCAGATGGAAAGAATGGGCTCTTGAGAGGGAGATGGATGACTGGATGGAAAGAGTGAGAGGGAGATAGATGACCAGATGGGAAGAATGGACTTTCGAGAGGGCAGATGGAAGAATGGAGGGTGATATGCTATAGAGAAGGACTGATCAGCAAGACCACAGATAGAATTGAAAGGATATAGAACCTCTTGAGGAATGAAACACAGTGTGTGACTTGTCGATAAGCTTTACAGCTCCCAGGCTTGCTTGGGCCAGGGTGGATGAGGGTGCACAGGGTGCACATTGCATTCTGTTCCACAGGAGGATGAAGTGTTTTGGTAGCAGGCATCTGAGAGGTTATGACCATTGTTGGTTGGCAGAGGGCAGGAAACAATAGGCAGAGCGTCATTTTCCAGTAAGGAGCTGTTGTAAGCTTATGAAACACTTATTTTAAAATGATGAGGAAAGACGTTGTAGGTATACAACACAGAGTGGGGCTATACAAAGATGGCTCCAAACTGATATCTTTATGTTGTGGTCTTACACTGCCTATCTGCTATACTTGCGGGACAAGTACATTCGACCCAGAGGTCTGCGGTCTGGGAATAGTTTTTGGGGTCAGTGAGTGATGTGAGGTCAATAATCCGAGCGTGGGAAACAATGTCTGAAGCTATAATTACGATGTCTGATGCAAAAGCATCAGGTCCAATGTTTTTGGGTTTTTGGGTTCGGGTTCGGTGTATCAAAAACTAATAGTGAGCATCAGGAAAGCAAGCGGTGTGCGCAATAATAACGATGACAGATACAGACAGTGAAGGAACAATGATATTTGCAATGTCAACTAAGAACTACGAAATATTGGGTTTGACCCTAAGCATCAGAGACAATTCTCCTCTACTCAGATGATGATGATGCTATGGGGAGTCCAATATTTATGTAGATACGTAGAAATACGGAACTTTATAGGCAAAAGTAGTAGGGCAATATTTCAGGTCTGATGTCCTATGTAACAAGACATGATGTACTGCGGACTATGGGAATACATGTAATAATGTGGTCAACAATGTTAGGGATGTGAAAACAAGTAACTATGCACCTAGTGGGGCTAGCGCAATGAGACTGGACATAGGTAGGACGAGTGCACGCGATATCTGATAGTCCAATGTCCGATGTCCGATGTTTTTGGGTTTGGTGCGTATTGAGTTGGATATGATAGGGAATGATTTGGATAATGATTAGCATTTCAACATGCATTGAAAAATAGACCTCTACGAGGCCACAAGGACTCCAAGTCCTACAACATACCATCATAAGTGAGAGCTGCATGTCCCATGAATGCAAAAAAATCAACTTTTGCCTGGGACACACAGCAAAGGGAGGCTCCAGCCAAAAAATGCATGTCCCATGAAGCAACAAATTGCTCAACTTAGCATGGGACATGTGGAATGCGCCAAGACGGACCTGCAAGCCCAGGACAATGTAAGTTTTGACAAAAATAGTGTGGACAGACTTACTAAGCTTCAATAACTTGAAACAGTGGCAGGATGTCCTTCTTGCAGCAACTTAGAAGGGAGAGGCTAGCAAATAGCATCAGAAAGTAACTGCTGTTGATCCATCAGCACACACATTCAAATGACACCGAACACACACTTCTCTGCCCTTCATTCCAAATCATTTATTGTCGAATCGTTAGTGGTTGCTTAGAGGCCCAGCATTTTTTGGGGTACTTGTTTGGTTGTGGGTGCACAGAACTCATATGACTTACCTCTGCATGTCCCAGAGCAATGTAAAGGTTGCTTTTTCTACTTATCAGAAAGTGGTTCAAGTGTGCAAAAAAGTTTAATTCAAGTACAATAAGTAAGGACCACATAAAAAAGTACTAAATTATGATTTCACTGATTTTGTGGACAATTGGGTTGTATTGTGCATCTATCTCCTAAGATAAGCCAGGCCAGAGGGAGACTAATAATGCAGGGTAGGACATAGTGGTTTTGAGCTTGCAAAAGCTGTTCTGGCTAAGGCAAGTGGCAGCAGCTTCCTTAGAACAGTGGTTTCTTAGATAGCAAGGTTGGAGGCCTTGCTAAAGGGTATTCCAGGTAAAACCTAGTAGATTTAAGTAAGAAATACAAGCAGTATCTGAGTGGTATATAAGCAAACTAGGGAGACTGTTTAGGTGGAGCTTGTAACTGCTTTATCAAAATAAGGGTCAGGAAGTGATATCAGAGATACATCAGCAAAACCCTAAATTTATCACAGCTGCCTCAGCCACTAACAGTATCTTACAGCATCTCACAGTAGCACAGGTACCTGTAGCAATGTGTAGTGATATATTTATAGCAACTTACAGCATCTTGTAGTGTATTACAGATGGTACAGTGTTACATGATCGAGGTAGTACTACATAGCATACTACAGCAAGCTGGTGTAGGTGAGGAATGTAGAATGATGGAAAGTGGGTGGTATGAGATATACTCAGAGGGTCCTCTGTGCATGAACTAATGTCGGCCCAAGGGGATTGCTACTGAGAAGGTTCCTCTATGTATAATAGTGAAGGGAAACACTGAACCGGTGGAGGGACTGATTCCTGGCTAGGCTTGTAGAGACTGTTCTTACCTTAGTGTTATGTTGGCACTTTTGTAGCTTACATAAGCAAGTGACCTTTTCACCAGTTACCAGTATGAGTCTGAGTCTTCAGCAGTTTTCTATCATATTTCCTCTCCTCTGAGCCTTGAGCCTGGTCTAGAAACCCTTTAGGGTCAAATAGCAGCTAGGTTCTGCAAGACCCAACACATTGTTCTGAATCACCATCAGAATTGTTGTACCCACACCAGGCTGTCGGATAAGCCTGGTGAGGCACACAACGACGAGCGAAGCATGAGAAGCAAAAGTGCTACAAAGCACTACTGAGTGACAAGTGCAGTAATGTGCACTGAGTGAATGCGAGGCGCGTGTGCAGGTGGTGGAGCGCAGCGACTCTAAGTGAGTCGGGAGATGGATAAGACAATGTTTATTATGTGAGAATACGAAGACCAGCGCTCATGTGCATTTGGGTGCTTAATGTCAGTTGGCGGATATGACGGAGATTTTGACTTAGAGTCCAACAATGTGTCGGAAGAAGAAGATATCATTATACAGAGAGGCAGGAGTATATATATTCTAAGTAGCATTCAAGTGCTGTCAATGTTAAGAACGTGCTCAAGGGTCGGATCCGAAGGGCTTGGCTTCAGCTCATGCACTGCGCCCCTTACCTGAGTACGTGCCCCTAACTTCTGAGGGCTGTTGGACAATGTCCGAAGGTTGTCGGACAAGTCCGGAGTCCAATGTCCGATGCGCGGGAATTCCGGCGGACGTTCGGGAACGAGGGATAAGACTAATCCGGATGATGTCCGAACTAGAAAGGAAACAGCGGAGGACTACCAGAGGTAGAGGCGGAGGTGAGAAGTCTATAGGAGTCGATCCTAAGACTAGTGGAGGACGACGAGAGGAGAAACTCAAGTTGGATGGAGGAGGGAATGAGCAGAGTCTAAGATAATATTTGAACTGAGGAAGTACAAAGATTCTACAGGGTTTATATACTACTGAGGACTTAATGGAGAATCAGTCAGCGCAGTCTGAGGCTATGCGAGGCTGTGGATGGAGTGTATAGAAAAGTCAAACACTAGTCTATCGGAAAACAGTAAATGAAGACGGAGATGAGAACATAGGAAAATAAAGGCGGAAATGAAACGAGGTATGGAAAATGAGTATAGTCTAATTGGAGAAGGAATGTACAAAGGGATAAGGCACGGAAGATAGACGTCGGTCGGATCTGGACGATAGATAGAAGTCAGCCAGATCTGGAAGTCTGGAAATGATGTGTGTGATAGGTCCGGGTCCAGAACGCGGGATATGACAGTCAAGCGCTAAAGCGAGCTGGAAAGAGAAGTGAGTATGTGATAACATGTAATAAGGGTTTGTGATGAAACATATGGAATGTGTGCGCAAGCGCCAGAGATATGTCAGAATACATGAGAATAAGATAGGAATACACACCAATGGACTGAACGGACATGGAATGGATGGACAGAGGACGAATGATGGAACCAAGGATGCATGCGCCGATGCGCGACCGAAGCGCCTGTGTGCACGAGCGGCTGATGAAGCACTAAGTGCATGGAAATGAGATATGGGTTGCGCTGTGTTTGGGAGGTGATTAGGGTGCTGGAGAATTAGCCCTCTATGAGGCCACAGAGATGTCAGTCTCTACATCTCATAGGAACTTAGCTTCTGACTGTCCCCAGTCAGCATACATAGGGGTGGATGGACTTAGTGAATTTTTGATGAGAAAAGTCATGTGATTGTGGGCAGAACACGCCAAATCGGATGTGGAGCAGGTCCACTGTGGTCACATGAATTGTGGTGAGCGGGCAGAATTGTGCTGACATAATGTGGTTCATTTCCAGCATAAAAGCTGGCCACGTGTCGCGCTTCTCTTCTTCAATTCAATACTCTATTGCAGCTTCGTGATTATCTGTTCTTCTATCGTGTGTGGGCCACCGTGCTCCACACTATGCACGTCTGCATGGAAACATCGCCTCCCTCCAAGCCTGAGCTCTTGGAGGAGCAGGGCTTGCGCTTGGTACTTTCCTCTCATGTTCATTTACTAATGCTGGTTGATTTAGTCGTGACTAAGAACAAGGGATGTGCGCCGGCTGCGCCAAAGTGCAAGGCACCTCCCTCCACGCAAACGACTGCACCGGATGCTGGAGAATCTGAGGTGGAGGTCGTGGGTGAGACTACGGTTGATGAACCCATCACCACTACTTCAAAGGAAATTGTCATGCAGCGACCAAAGCGTCCACTCGCCTCTGGTGCTGTACCTGCACCAAAGTGTCCTCGCCTGGATGCTGATACTGAGTTGGAGGAGGCATGTGCTGAGTCCACTCGACTTCGTGCTGAGAATGCTGAGCTTTGTGCTCAGAATGACAAGTATCAGGTCGCGCTGACCGATAGGCGTCAGCACTCCTGAATGCAGGAGTCTGAGTTGCTCCATATGAGCAACTGGCTTTACATTTTGATGTGCAATTGGGGCAATTGGGAAAAGGAGCTCAGTGAAATCCTAGAGGAGTAGATAGTTTTTAGGATAGTTTTTAGATTAGAATCGCTTGTTAGCGCCAAAGAGTGTCTTGTACTATAGTGTCTCCAGTTTCTCTGGCACCTGGTGCACTTAATGTGATAGTGCTTTCATGTCCAGTCTGATGTCCATGTCTGTGTCCAATTCCACTGTCCAAATCGATTCGCCGGCCTGATTAAGTAAGAGAAAGTCATGAGTAAGCGCATGTAAGTAATATAGAGTCATAAGGAAATACGGCGATTGCACAAGCAGCGCACTTGTCTTGTCTTCTTCAGGCATTTTTTCGCATCTATTCCTTCACATTTCCCTGTGTGTTGCTTGATATTAGATGCTGTCAGCGTATAGTCTATGAGTAAAAATGGGTGCAGCACAGCTGCGTGTGTTAGAAATGGAAAGTCTATGGGGTGGTAGTGCGTGTGCTTCTAGCTAACTTATCTTAGTATGTATTTGACAGTTTATTATCGCCTGATCAATGGTATAGAATAGAGTCTGTTGGATGTATGTTCAATGCAATGTGCGTGTTATGAGACATGATAAGAGAGAAACTGAGGTCACCGGCCGAAACCCAAGGTAAAACGGAGAGAATAGAAATTGATGGTATGTTTTTGTGATTGTTTTGTTGTTATATATTGTTTTTGTTTTTGGTGTGTGATGCGGGAAGCAGGAATATACAGTTAGAATGTCGGGTGATATGCGGGAAGTGGATGCATGCTATGCGTCGGGTGTGTGCTCTGGTTCATCTTCATCGGGTTCTTCGACATCTTCATCAGCTAAATGATCAAGAGTCTCATCAAGAAGGCTGCATAGTGCAGTTTAGAGATAGCGCTGTCCAACTCGGCCAGCAGATATGAGCCTCCTTTCATGCAGCGCACTACAATCATAGGTCCCAAGTATCATGGCTTTGTCTTTTTGCTTAACTCATATTCAACCTTTGAGTTGTGCACCAGCACCAAGGTGCCAGGCTCGTGGTTGTAATTGCAGATCATCGTGCGAAAGCACATCTCGAAATCGCGGATAGATGTGTAACGCGCTTTTATTATCTTGTCCCTGATAGCGGTGAGATCCTCTATGCGCTTTTGCAACTGCCGTGCACGCCATGCGATAAGTTCTGCTGTTGTAAACGGTGTGTGTGCAGGCATCGGCGCTAAGAACGTAGCTTCTGCAAGGTCAAAAGGAAAGATAGGCTTGACACCATGCACCATAAAATAGGGTGATAAACCTGTCGACTTGTGCACGGTGATGTGCTCAGCCCAGAATACGGAATGAACAACTTGATACCAATGAGTATCATCTCCATCGCAAGTTTTAATGATGGCCTCCCAGACATCATGGTGTTGGCGCTCAACTATACCATTCACTTGAGAATTATAAGGTGATATGCAGATTGGATGGATATTGTATCTTTCCATGAGCATGTCCGCAGTGAGTCTATAAGTGGGCGTGTTGTCAGTAATGATCTCGGTGATAGGACCCCATCTGCATAGGAGCTCTTCATATATGAAGGCCATGAGTGGCTTGGTATTCTCCTTGCGCAACATGCACCATTCGGGATACAACATGAGCGCGCAACGTGCTTGCACTAGATACTCATATCCGCCTGCTTTGGGCATCTTCATCATGTCGATGTGTACTCTGCGAAACAAACCTCCGGGTGTCAGTACCATCAGCGGTACTTGGAGCTTTAGCGTCTGCCTGATTTGGCATTCATGACAAGTGCGCGTATACCATTTGATATTGTCGTCGATGTGCAGCTACCAAAAGTGCAACAGCAGCCGTGAGCAAACAGCATATATGCCCTTATGACCTAGGTCATCGTGTGCTTGTTTTAGCATCTGATATTGCTTATGCAGCTTCACCACGAGCTGGTGTTTACCATTCGCTTTGTGGCGCCAAAGGTTGCCTTTGAGTACGAAGAAGTGTGCCACATGATTGATGAACACGGTAAATGTATAATCTGTAACGTCAGCAGGTCTTTTGCAGTTGAGAAGGAATTGCTCTATCATGGTCATACACTCGTCTAGTGCTTGCGCTTTCTCGGAGCGCGGGACTTGCGGATCATCTGGTATTGGTTCTGTAACGTCAAGAGAAGTGCATAAGACTGGTAAGCGCCTCGGCAGCTGCGTAAACGGCACTAAGTATGCAGAAAGATCATATTTGGTGCTGGCTGACTCTACTTGGAGTGTCCTCTTGTTTAGGATCGCAACTCTGAATGAGTACGCGTGGTTAATCCAATCCTCGTCATCATTGGCTTCCTCTGGATCCTCATCTGCATGTGGTCTCCTTGAGAGACCATCAATGCCTGCATGTTTTGTGGCAGGTACGTGAATGAGATTAAATTGGAATAGAAGAATACCTGTGATCCACTGATTGATGGTCACGTTGGGTTGCAAATTGGGATTATTGATCATACCTTTGATATATTTCGCATCAACTTCAACCGTCAAGTTGATGACACCGAATATATATACGTGCACTGCGTGCAGCATGCGATACAAGCCATAGAGTTTTAGCTTCGCTTGTGAATAGCGGCTCTCCACTTCATTGAGTGCGATTGATCTGAAGCGGTTTGGGTAGCACTTGCCATCTTCGCCAACTTGTAGCAGGATATACCCGATCGCAACACATGATGTGTCTACTGCTAAGATGACTTTGTGGCCGCTTTCATAGTCTATCCGCCGAAGCGTGGGCAAATCTAGTATGGAGTCCTTGAGCATTTGCATCGCTTGACGCTGCTCTTTGCTGAACTCGAATGGAACATCTTTCTTGGTCAAGTTGATCAGCAGGCACGCGATGTGCGAGAAATTATGAATAAAAATGCACAGGACGCTGCATGTGCCTAGGAACCCGTGCACATGCGACTGGTTTTTCAGCTTGGGCCAATCCCTGATCTTTTGTACCTTAGATTTGTCGGGCATGTGCCCTTTGAAGGTACACTTGTGACTGACAATGGTCGCAGATGGTGCAGCTCACACAAACTTGGTCGCAGATACTGTTGCGCCTATGTTCTCTAAGCGCTGCAAGATGTGATTGATGACGATGCAATGTTCCCATATAAAGCGCCTAATACCCGGATTGTTGGGTATGGTCTCATAAGAGCCATCCACGTTCTGGTATCAGGTTTTTACTGATTTAATCGGCATGTCATCTATGAATGGCGACATGAATTCAGGGATTTCATGCTGCAATATGAATGCGGTATCGCCTTGATAAACCTGTACGCATTAGTGTGCCCTTGCAGAAGCGTCATTGAATGATGCGACCCTAGGGGCATTCCGAATGTAGTCATGTTGCGTGAATCAACATCAAGTGCATGCTGATCATAACCGGCATACAAATTCAACATAGCATATACCGTGTACCTGGCGAACATTTTTGCTAGAAAGTCAGGGAAGGGCAGAACCGACGCATGGCGAATAGTAACTTCATTGAGCAGTTGTAGGTTGTGAACTAAGCGCAATGAATGGCCGTCCTTCTTGATGACACAAAACCAGCGCGAACAATAAGCGGCTGTCAATGGCTCATATATGCTGGATGAAATCTTTTCCTTGATAATGCGAACAACTTTGCCAGTGATTGCAGGTGGGATTGGGATGTTGTGCTGTGACCATGGGGTGTGCAGTACCATTGGAATCTTATACGGCGGGAAATATGTTTTATTGAGGCAGCCCCATTCTGAGGCGCCCCAAGCGAACACGAGTTTGTGAACCCTAACGAGCCAGTGTACTAGCTTGAGCTCTTCAGGCCATAGCCAATTGGCTGGATCTAGATCTAACTTTTCAGCACGTTTGCGTGTGAAGCAGGTACCTGGTTCAAATTCTGGGGGGTGAGTTGGTAAGTCTGGTAAGCCGGCGAGTGGGTTTTCGGGTAACTGGCGCACTATCCTATACTCTGGTGGCATAGTGGTAGGCACTGTATGCACTTTCTTCACGACTGGCTTATAAACCAGCATGTGAAGTGCGCAATCATAATAATAATAGGAATTAAAGGTCTTTATGGACCCCTGATCAATAACAGAATGGGTTGACGATAAATGCACGTAATGTGCTGATGGTTGCGATGCAATGTGAGACAAAAAAAAAGAAACAGAACTTTGCGTGAATTCAGAAAATGATGTGGGGATGCTCCTTAAGAGTGATAATTGGGCACTTGAAGCATGCACGCTTTGCGGCGCTTCAGGAAGCATGCGAGAATGATTGAGACAAGACAGAGGAAAATACCGGTGTTGGGGGATATGTGGGGTACTGTCTCCCTGTGGATAATGCAGATCATCGAAAATTAAAAACCCTTTTCTTCTTTAACCTTTGACAGATGTTCCTGGCATGGAACACTGCTCGTGCAGTGCTCGTGGCGCTTTACCCAAGGCAGCGTTGGAATGTGTAGCTCCTTGTGTGTGTTAGGATCCATAACCAAAATATCCTGTTCCCTGTCGGGGAGATCAAACACGCGACAGGTTGTTAGCTTGAAGAACAGGCGACCGAGAAGGATCTCGAAACTTGTGCAAGGTATGACTTGTACTTGGAAGTACAGTGGTCCTCCTCTGAAATTGAGCGGTACATTCTCGATAACACCCAGCATCACGACCTTGTTTGTGTTAACTGATTCCATGTTTGAGCGATGGTTTGACCGCAGACCAACGCCAAGCGACTTCCATACTGTGGCCGGCATTACAACCACATTGGCGCCTTGATCTAGGATGCAGGTGACTACCCGCCCTCCGATCATGGTCACGCAAATGCAGCACAATGGTGCAAAATGGTCCGTGACTACTTGACCATCGTTGCTTTGCAAGTGTTTAGTGTCGTAGTTGCACATCCACTCATCTGAAACTGGGTGTCCTGTTAGCTCATTGACCGATACGGTGCCAACCATGATGCGCTTGGTGGTGGTGAGGTCACAGAATTGTTTGTGGATGTCGGGCAATATCGCAAATAATTCCCTTGTCGAGATGCTGATGCTGGTATCCAGGAGGCGCTCAAGGATGCATTTGTCGGTGTCTTTGTCTTCTAGTCTATGTGAATACTGATATGATGCCATCTTTGCCGTTGGTGGTGTCGTTGATGAGGGTGTCGAATCTGCGAGGTCAGTATGTGTTAAACCAGGTGAGGATGAAGATGAAGTTGCGGGAGCAGCAGTTGCTTTTCGCACATCCTTCATTTGCGATGCAGTTGTCATAGGCGTGGTTATTGCCTTTACAGCTTCTGGTGCCTTGCCCTTGTTCAATGAAGCTTGGATGGCAGGAGAGACAATCTCCTCCGCTTCAGTGGCTTGCCTAGATGCGGGCACTGGCTTCGCGCAATATTTGCTGACGAGTTCTACGCCATCAAACTGGATGTTCTTTCCCTTACCTTTGCCTTTCACTGTGCCTTGCTTAGTGTCGCATCTAGCAGTTGCAAGTGCAAGTGCTTGCGCCATGCGTAGCACGTCTACTTCCTCCTTGTCTATATCAGACTTGGGATCCACAATGGTGTGGATGAATGCAGATGGATCTATGTCCAACACTACATCAACTTTGGATGATACACGAACATATAGCGCTGCAGTTACGCTTGCGCTAGGAAGCGCTTTGTTCATCTGTTTGTTAGTGTGATACCTATCAAGACGCTCCTTCAGGGTGCTGTCACTTGCGCGGATGGGAATCCAATCTCCACTTGTCAACACAAGCTTCATAGAGGTCTCATGTACCTTACACTTGCCAGCGCTGATATATGCGTTTTTCTCTTGGCAGTGACTCAAGAAATGATTGTTCTTTCTGCAGAACATGCACCCATTTGGGAGGGAGTTGCCAGACCGGCGCGCCTGATACTCCTGCTTAACAACAGTTCCTGGCACAGCTGGCTGCAGCATTGGTACCGAGGGCGTGACTGCGCTTGGGTACAGCATTAGTACTGGTGCACTGATTGTTCTGGAGGCTTTCACCCCTGATCACAGAATCAAGAATTCACCCGCTGCTAGAACATCTGTGAAGGGGTAAGGGTCTAAATGGTGGTGGTCCGGAAATTTGATCATCAACCACATCAGTATATGTCCTTGCACATCGCTTGGAAAACCTTCTAAGAATAGTCAGTCCCTTTCAGACTTCCCGATGTGATCCTTCTTTAAGAGCACATACGTGACCTTGTTAAAAATGTGGTGGTAGTCACTGAATTCTTTCCAAGATGGCATCAGAGATTTCACCTGCCTTTGCATTATCACCTGCAGGTTGGCTACTGTGTAGCGCATTTCACCTTCGCATACTGGGTACATTACCTTAATTGCTTTAATAAAAACATCATAGTCGCTTTTTTTGGCTTTGGGAATTCTGGACCAAAGCTTGCGCTCATCGGCCGGAAAATAGAGGGCAATGCCTTTGATGTGGTCGCCTGCAAGCCGACCTGCATCATCAACACATGCTTCATAATCCTCGATGAAAGCGAGGAGGTTCTCTGCTGTGCCATCAAACTTGGGTGCTTTGTCCGAGCTGCAGGTTGGCATTCTAATAGTCATTAACATTTTTGCATGCTGGGGGTTTTTGGTGATAGGTGTGGTTTGAAGGACTGGGGGAATATATATAGCTGTGCGGTTCTGGATTGAGTTTGGCATGATAAGGGGCTCCATTTCCTCCTTCTTGATGGCTGGTGCTTTGGTCAATAAGGGTGTGTGTGATCGCGATAAGGGTTCTTCTTTGATGGTTGCGCTGAAACGGCTAGTGGGGTAAGCGGAGAGAGATGAATAAAATTAGGATCTGATTGATTTCTTGGTGTTTCTACAAATGCGCCTGGTGGTAAGTTGTGGGGGTTGTCATGTGATTCAAAGTTGTCCGAGGATTCACCGTGTACTGATTCCTTGGGTGAAGGCGTGACTGGCGATGCGGGCATGAATGGATTCGGTGAAAATAGAGATAGATCTGGGTGCGTGGGCTCCGAAAAGTTCCAAGGACGGTTGCGCTTAACCAGAGTCAAAATTACCTGAATGGTTGATAAGCATGAAGAGGCGACCGCTCTTCTAAATTCTTCTAAGGCTTCATTTCTTGCGACACGGTCTTTGGTAGGCCTGAGTACCCTACCAGCTTTCTCAGATGATCCCCTCATGGTGGGCTCCAGTTGTAAGTGAGGAATGTAGAATGATGGAAAGTGGGTGGTATGAGATATACTCAGAGGGTCCTCTGTGCGCGAACTAATGTTGGCCCAAGGGGATTGCTACTGAGAAGGTTCCTCTATGTATAATAGTGGAGGGAAACACTGAACCGGGCTGTCGGATAAGCCTGATGAGGCACACGATGACAAGTGAAGCACAAGAAGCGAAAGCGCTACTGAGCGACAAGTGCAGTAACGTGCGCTGAGTGAACGTGAGGTGCACGTGCAGGTGGTGGAGCGCAGCGACTCTAAGTAAGTTGGGAGACAGATAAGACAATGTTTATTATGTGAGAATATGAAGACCAGTGCTCGTGTGCGTTCAGGTGCTTAATGTCGGTCAGCGGATATGACGGAGATTCTGACTTAGAGTCCAATGATGTGCAGGAAGAAGAAGATATCATTATACAGAGAGGCAGGAGAATATATATTCTAAGTAGCATTTAAGTGCTGTCAAGCGCTAAAGCGAGCTGTCAAGCAAAGCGAGTATGTGATAACATGTAATAAGGGTTCATGATGAAACATACAGAATGTGTGTGCAAGTGCCAGAGATATGTCAGAATACATGAGAATAAGATAGGAATATGCACCGACGAACCAAATGGACATGGAATGGATGGACGGAGGACAAACAACAGAACCGAGGATGCATGCGCCGATGCACGACCGAAGCGCCTGTAGGATCAGACAAGGAGGCCAATGTAGTAGGATCAGATGAGATGGAGGTGGTGGTATTCTGATCACCAGTGCTCAAGGATTGGGCAGTCTGTGAGATGCACCAATCCAAGTAACAGCAGTATGCTGTAAGATATATGGCGGAAGATATTTGATTGACAGCAGCCCCCCAAATGGGCTCGAAAGAGGGATTGTATTTATGCACAAGCTGGATTGCAGACTTCTCTAAACTCATCCCTTCCATCAGTGAAATGATGTAATCCTTCAACATGTTGGCACCATCCCTCAGCATGTGTTTGACATCAGACATCTCTACTGTTGGGTAAAGAGTCTGCAGGGAGCAAGCTGGGATCAGAATATAGAAGACTCAGATAGTAATTGTGTAAATGTACCCCCCCTGCAAATGTGTCTGGATTCCTGCTGCTAGCTAACGTCGATCCATACATGTGAGTGGAGGGTGACTGGACCAAACTTGAGATTCTTCTTGATGCATGCAGGGATGAATTCTTCGTATTCTAATATGGACTCGTACAAAGGGTTTGAGCGGCAATACTCGTCTCCTTGGGCTGTTGCCATCTAACCTGCTCTTTGAAGGACATGATCAGAGCAAGATCAATGTTGTGATGGCCATCACACATGATTCTCAACTTCTGCACCATGAAGTCATAGTCTGACAAAAGTCCACATTCTTCAATCCATTTAGAGACAGGCTTCGAAATCTCCATGTCATCTGAACTGTCATCCTCTGGCAGTTGTATCATGACAATGAGGTGTAAATCTGGAATATTTGTTGTGACCTTGTTTTGGATGTGGTGGTTGAGGTGTATGGTCACATGTACTAAGAGTTTGTTGTATGGAAGAGCATCCATGAATTTGTTGATGGCCTTGGAAAGGTGGGCAGCTGGTTGTTCATGGACAGGGAGGGGAGGCATGATTTGAAGTTCTTGTGTGTCCTTAAAATAGGCGAATCTGTAAACATGTTATGAGTACCATAAGTAGCAAGGGATAGTTGATGACAGCACACACTTTGCCTGAACTTCAAAATCTCTCTCTTCAGATGTAAACACTAATACTGCTGCATACTCTGCAGGTGTGATGCCAGAGATGACCTTGAAAAGTTCCCAAGTCAGATATTGACAATGACAATGACAATGATAAGACAACCTACAATAGTATTTGATTGCAGGTTTTGAAGGGCTTCAAGAATAATTGCACAATGCTCTGTAAGATGATGAAGATGATGGATGGTCAGGAAGAAGATTGAGATAAGCGATCTGAGAAATATTAACCTAAGCTTAAGCTGGCTTGATCATTATCTGCAATGTTACATAATTCAGTAAATACTTTCCCTATTACATGGACACCCGAAGTTGAGATTCTTCCGTGTAAGATGGGTCATCCAAGCCAGGCCCAAATGCAGGTTGTGCCTGGTATAATCAATGGGCCCACATGAATATGGCTATACAATGCTGACAGATGGGCTGGAATGCATACAAGATTGGAATGTCAGTATATATGGATGGGCTGGAATGACTGTCGAAATTATATATCAATAAATGTGGATAGGCCAAAATGAGGACAGGAGTAACATGTGGGTATTTATAGATGGGCTGGAATGGGGATACAAATGGCCTTTCAGTATACATGGGCAGGCCAGAATGAATGAGAATAACATCTCAGGATGTACGGATGAGTCAGAATGAGTGTTCAAAATTGTATACTGGTAGATGTGGATAGGCCATAATGGGCATCTAAATGGTATAGAGGAAGCCACAGATCTGTTTGACAAATATGTCAGTATATGCTGACGGGCCGGACTGGATTTGTAAAAGGTTTTCTGTGGGTATAGATCTGCCGGATTGTATGAAAGCGACATCTTGGTATATATGGGCAGATATCCAAATATTATCAACCTTGAAAGCCCAGTATATATGTATTGGTGTATCCAGGTGAGCTTCAATCAATATGCGAATGGTATCTCAAACAAACACAGGTCAGTCTGGTATATTGCATGGAATAAATTTCAGGAAGTGACAATGGCCGAGAAAACTGTATACATGCTATTGTCTGGTGGGTAACATGGCCAATGCAAATGGTCCAACATTAAGGTCATCGGAAGTGGATCATTCAAATATGGGGGAAGATGCTGACTTATGGCACCATTCTCTCAGTGGGATGGTGGATATTGAATCTGAACCCTCTGTGGGACATTGAAATCCAAATGTACATGGTAATATCTACATGGGAAGCTCAAGCAACTATAAGTACATTGTATGAAGCATCCATAACTATTCTAACTATTGATGGGCACCAAAGAGATTCGCCCAAGGTAAACTATGAAACAGTATGACTGAGCTGTGGTGGCTCGCTGGATGCCCGAAGTGGTGAGACAGACCAGGTCTCTGGAGTAGGCCATGGGCCTTGTGAAAGGTCCCAAGCAGTGGTAAATTCCTTTCCCACTGCCGAAACACTGATCCGCTGTAGAGATACAACAATTGCTGGACACTACACGAAGTAAGTGTTTAGCAATATAATAGTGTTGGTCTTGCACAGCCTAGTCTGCTATACTTGTGAGACAAGTGTGTTCGACCCGAGGGGCTTGCTGTTTGGTATTAGAATAATCAGTTATACGAAAAGAAAGATAGTCCGAAGTGTGGGAAACAAAGTCCAAAGGTATAATTACCAGTCCGATGTCAAAAATGTCAGGTCCGATGTTTTTTGGGTTTGGGGTTAGCGGGTTTCATCGGGTTTGTGTCGGGTTTGCATTGGGAATATAGTGAATGTCGGGGATAGCGAATGTCAGATGTTTCAGAGTGTTTCATATAAAGAATGGATGATATTGTGCAATTCAGCTAAGAACTACTAATATTGGATGACCTCCTACTCAGAGGTAGAAAGATCAGTAAAATAGGTAGGAGGTATGCTAAATATATAGTGTCTATGTAGAAACTCAGAGTGCTATAGGCGAAAGTAGTAGCGCTGATTTTCGGGTCCGATGTCCTATGTAATAAAACACGATGTACTGCGGACATGTAATAAAGTGTTCTACAATGTTAGCAATATGAAAACAAGTAACTGCGCACCTAGTGGGGATAGATACGACAGGACAGGACATAGGGAGGATAAGTGCACGGGAGAATATCGGGTCCGATGCAGCTGAAACATTGGGTTCATTGGACTAGCATCGGGTTTCATTGGATTAGCATCAGGTTTAGCAGATAAACATTGGATTAAGCAGGTAAGTGTTGGATAACATTGGAAGTGATTCGTGTGCAATGGGTGTTTGACATGCATGGGAAAATAGCTGAATATGAGCCTAGCACGAGCTCGAGTGCTACATCTCCTAGGGGCTTTGAATACTGACTGTCCTCAGTCATAAACTTCATAAATGACCTGAAATGTCGGGTGCATGAAAATTCATTGGAAATCATAAGAATGTGTTGGATTAGATAGGGGACATTTTGGAGGGAATGATGTTCTTGTTCGAACAAATGTGTTTCTGAATGTCCAAAATCTTCGGCCAATGCACAGGAAAATTGGGTAAAACAGCAGGGATGCATGATTGTTTTGGTGTTTCGCAATGCAAGTGCTGTGGATGATGAATCTGATGGAATGTGAGGTATCTCAAGCATAGGGGAAGTGATGTGAGGGTATGCGAAGTGCGGGAATGTATCCAAGCGGCCGATGTGGCCGATGTTAGCATGGGAACTCTCTGAGTGCAAGTCCGAAAATGCACCAATATGTGTCTGCTCATGTTCTGTCATCTTTTCGACTTCTCTGCATCATCTATCACTGCTCTTCATCTGTGCAAGTATGTCTGGGGTGAACAACTCAATGTCCAAGTGTCCAAATGCAATGTCCGAAAATTCCAAGGGTCGGGTCTGATGTTTTCTGAATGTCCAATGTCCGAATGTCCAATTTCCCTATGTCCGAGTCTCGGGTTCGTACTATATGTCCCCCACTAGGGTGCTAACAAAAAACAAGAAAAAAATAATTGTAAGTGCAAGCAAAACACAAATTTTCGGACATCAAGTGCAGAGTACCGTCTGACTTGGTTTCTTTGAGCAACTTTCTTTTTTCTTCTTGTCCGGTTTTCCGATTGTCCAAATTTCTACATAGATAATGGCGCAGGTGCGAGGCTGCGGTGCGAAGGTGAAATGCTAAATAATTGGCTGAGTCTGCACAATGTCCGAAAATGTCTGTCCAAAATTCTTGTCCTTTGACAGGTATATGAGGGGGGTACGTGCGAGGAATCTCCGGCCTAATCCTGGGGTAAAACAAGTGATATTGTATGTGCAAAATACCATATGTATATGTCCGAATTTTCAGGTTTTGGACTACAGTTTCTTCCTGATATATGATCTTCGTCGGCTTTCATACAGGTCAAATGCGATCTGGGAGTGCGAGGGTTGGCGATACTGGTAGGAGTGATTGATGGGATACTTGTGACGGAATTTTTGGACCTGGTATGAAAAACATTGGGTTAGCGAAACTGTAGCATAAATTTTCGGAAAGTTGTCGGATATCTTTGGAGTGCTTCGGGGAGGTCTTCCAGGGGTTTTGGATGGTGACTGAGGTGTTTCTTTTCCTGACTGGTGCGATACGATCCTACAAAAATAAACATAACCTGTGAATGCTAAGGTGGCAAATGCTGCAAGAACAAAATTGTCAGTGGTGTCTGATTGACATACTACCTGTCCGAGTTTGTAATCCGATGCTCCAATATCAACATCTCTTATTTCTGAATGATCTGATCTGAAATTTTAGGGTATTTCATGTCCTAGGGGCTTTAGCTCTATACTCTGTGTTTCGGGTGTCAGTACATTAGTTTCAATTGTCTCAACAAAGGTTTCCAGATTTTCCGAAGTTGAATTGGCATGTCCAAAGATCATGTCCGAAATTTCAGGTGTGTCGGATCCAAAAATTGGGGTGTCGGAAACTGCAACGGAGTATACTGCTTCGGATACTTCATGTTCTTCAGATTTGGTGCGGGTTTCAGAGATGGTTGCAGATTCAGAGATCTTCTCATGAATTTCGGATGCTTCAGGTTCTGGGGTACTGTGCATCAGGTCGGACATTGGGTTTGGACTTTCAGGTCAGACATATCATCGGCCTAGTTCTGGGTACAAGTCCAAAATTGTGTTAGCAAAATATTCATAGCTGTTACCAGTGCATTCTTCGCAAGTTTGCCATAGTTCTCTTTCGTCGTAGTCCATATACTTCAAGGCATGCTTGATCCGAAAATTTTTGGGTAAATCAGCATGTTGTCCGAGCTGATCTACTGTCTTCAAGAAGTCTAGGACTTCATACAGGTTGCCTGAAAAATGTGGGGCTAATCAGGAACTGGCTATTGGCATACTGTGCGTGTTTCGGGTTGTGTCCATGGTGCAGGAAATGTCATAGTCAAAATACAAAAATGTTGGATGTGTCAGATCCGAAAATAGGGGCTTCGGGTTTTGGGTTTTGGAGTGTTGGAAACAGTGGAATGACCTAGATAACAAAAATCAAACTAAACCAAAGAAACCCCTCGCAGTGGGCTCCAGTTGTAGAGATACAACAATTGCTGGACACTACATGAAGTAAGTGTTTAGCAATATAATAGTGTTGGTCTTGCACAGCCTAGTCTGCTATACTTGCGAGACAAGTGCGTTCGACCCGAGGGGCTTGCTGTTTTTGGAAACAAAGTCCGAAGGTATAATTATGAGTCTGATGTCAAAACATTAGGTCCAATGTTTTTCAGGTTTCAGGTTTCAGGTTAGTGGGTTTTGTCAGATTAGTGTTGGGTTTAGTGGATAAACATTGGATTGAGCGGGTAAGTGTCGGATAACATTGGAAGTGATTTGTGTGCAATGGGTGTTTGACATGCAAGGGAAAATAGCTGAATACGAGCCTAGCACAAGCTCAAGTGCTACACTGCAAGCTCTGGAGCGTTTGGGAACCAAGAGCTGGGGATTTGGCCGAACAGGTAACCTTGCATCAATGGGCCAGTGGGAGGGTCGAAAGAGCTTGGCATTCTGGTCTGATGAAACATGCTCATGGCATTGGCCATGTGTCCAATGGATGCCATGTTGCCTGAATTCTTCAATTTGACATCCCAGATTTTGGCTTCCATGGTGGCAAACCGCCTGTTCCACTCCTCATCCAAGGTGCTCATCCAACCCACCATATCCTCATGCAAGGCCTCTGTGCGATCATTTGAGCATGTGACCATGCCTTCAAACCTGGTCCCGAGGGCCTCAATTGTCCAGATAGCATCAAATAGGGTGGGGTGTGGAACCTGCAGAGCATCGGGTACTGTGATGCCCATTAGTGCATCATTGCCAGGAGCCAAAGACATGTTGACATCATTGTTGATGGGGGCTGCTGGTGCAACAACCTCTGGCACAACATCTATGGGTGCTGCAGTTGCCTTCAGCACATCTATTTGCGGTACAATGAATTAGCATCTACCAATTTAGGAACAGCAAATGACATACCAGATTGTGGGTCATTGTCACCCTCTGCATCTTCATTGGCAGAATCCTCGGTGTTTGAGGCCATGCGTGGAACAGGGGATGCTTGACGTGCACGCAAGGTTGCATGTATTGCATGCTCACCAGGTGGGCCCTTTGACCAAGTTTTGAATTGGGTTTGGAACAATGAACCATTTGCTTTCCAGTCCACAGCAAGTCTTGATGTCTTTTTCAGAGGCAGTGGCAGCCTTCACTTTCTTCAATGTGATATGCCCGTGCAGAAGTTCGGCCACATCAGAATCCAGCTGGATGCACTTTGTCTTCTTCTCGTCACAAGTGCGGCAGCACTTCCAGACTTCACCTGCCTTCTTCACAGCGACAACAATGCAGGTGACATCATACTTGATGCATCACTCACATTTGTCACTGAAGAGGTGCTCCGAAGATATGGTCATCTTCGAAGTTCCAACTCCAGGCTAGAAAATTGGTTAGCATCAAATTGACATGTGTAAAATTCAACACACCTTTGCGGCTACTGGTGGCACAACCATAGGGCTGGCGTTGTTCACTGTTTGATTTTTGTTCTTAAAGGAGCCATCAATATGGCTGGAATACTCGGAGACATGAGAGAACATACCTTCATAAATATTACTTCCATTGGAAGCACTTCATCATCCTCATCATCGCTGATGATCCTTTTCAACTTTACCCTCTTCCGGGGTCAACTGTGCTCCCAAGGAGCAGCTTGCCAAACCTCATGCCAGGATTTGGACATTGGCCATTTGGCCAGTCTTGGCATAGGCTCTTCAACATCATCTTCCAGCTCAGATGTCAGTGCCTTGTGTTTATTTCCCGGAACAACCAAGTTGAACCATTTGGCAGTCGGTTCCGGAGGTGGAGGAGCAGGAATGGGAAAAAGGGTTGATGCCACTGCTGCATGAGTCGAGTTGCTGGCCAGGGCTGCTGGTGCAATGGCAGGTGTAGGAGGGGTAGGAAGAGGTGCAGTGACCAGAGGAGGTGACACTGGAGGGTCTGGACGCCTGTATCTGATTGTCTTACCAAAAAGCAGGTGGCTGCAGATGCAAGTGTTGTCATCCAATATTGTAGACCAGTCCGGCAAACCCTTGAGTTTTCCATTTGGTGCGCTCTTATCCCAGAGTTCTGCAGCGCAGGACAAGAGCATGGGTAGCACTGAGATTGTGGCATGCCTGTGCTGGGCAAAGGCACTTGACTGTCAAACAGATCGTTCCTGTTAGTGAAACTAACTATCATTTAAAGGAAGCACTTACCAAAGTAACAGCAATCTCATGTGCCAAAGTCCTTGCACCCGAGTCTCCCATTGGGAGCTTCTCGTATTTCTTGATGATCCATTGAATCTTGTCACCAACAAGATTCAAAGCTTTGTGAGCATGTTCAGATAAAGACATTGAGTAAAAAACAGTAGATGAATGTACAAAGTTGAAGTTAATGTGGAAATTAAGTATGGGTGTGCAAATTCAGGAAGAAAAGTCAGAGCCCAAGTTGTAATGTATATATAGAGACAAGCAATTGTGGTCACAGTGCAGCTATGGCATTTTCCAGTGCCACATGTCTATTGTGCCTTGACCCACAATTAATCACATTACACTAAATATTCGGGTGTTACCACGGTGCATAACAACCGCTATTGTGGAGAAGGTCCACATGTCATCGACCACATCTGTTGCACCACAAGACTCGTGAGTGGACCATTCAGTGTTCACTATTTAATCCAGTATCCCTCAACCCAACAACAAAACATATTCATCTTTCCTGAGCACTGTTAAAGACGTGCTTGGAGGGTTGACAGATCCGAAAGGGCTTTGGCCTCAGCTCGTGCGCTGTGCCCCTTACCCAAGTATGTGCCCTTTAATTTCGGATGAAGTCTGAAGGGGAGTTCCAGTGAAGTCCAGAGAGAAACTCCAGATGAACTCTTGGGCTGGACTGCTCAATAGAGCACCGATGGACTTCCGGATGAGTGTGGGAAAGCACACTGGAACTACTTTCAGAGTGAGGGGAATAATGGTAAGACTACTGGAACAAGTTCCAAGTAGAATGGATGGAGGAGCTGACCACTAAACAAAGTCCAGGGCAGGATAAGAGCAAAGCTCTGGAGGGAAAGGACATGACAGGATAGATCCAAAGGAACAGAGGTCTGAAGGTAGGAGGAGCGGAGTAGTGGAGGATCAGATGAGCAGACAAGTGGATAAGTGGATGAGTGGACAAGTAGACAAGCAGATGGACAGATGGACAGATGGAGGAGCAGAGCTCTGTAGATCTAAGGGGTAGTGTGAACTACTATAGTAGAGTAGGTCTGGAGGTTATGTAAGGATAGTGTAGACTACTCCAGACAAGATCTGGAATAGAAACAAACAGGATAAGACTACCATACGTAGAGTCAGAGGTGAAACAGAACAAAGTCTGAAAATGATTAGAGGACGAAGGATCAAGGCTCCGGACTAGGGAATGATCCCATAGCCCAGAGCCAAAGGCTTACAAGGGCCAAAGCCCAAGTGCAAGAACGGAAACAGAGTTATATAGACAGGAGGTAAGGAAGATACAAGATAATAAGTAACAGGATAAACAGAAACAAAAGCAAAAGTAATGATCAGACTGAGGTCTGCAGGAGTTGTACTACAAGTTTATATACTGTAGGTAGCATAACGGAAGATCAGTAAGCATAGTCCAAGGCTATGTATGTAGCACATGGAAACACATTAGTAAGTACAATGGAACATAGGTATAATGAACTCGGAGATGAAACTCATACGGAATACATTATCAAGACGGAAGCAGAGATAACCGAGAGCCAGAAACACAGGTATATCCTAAATGGGGTAATGTGCAGGTGCACAGGAATAGTTTTGGATATGACCACGGACAAGATCCGAAGGTCAGAAAGCCAGGGGTTCAGATAGGATATGGATGAGGTTTGGATGAGGGTTGGGTGTGGATTGGATGTGTGAACTGGATTGGGTGGGGATCATATGGATGTCCGGATATATGAGGATTTGGACAAGATATCATAGTGGAAGTGAGGTGTAGAATCTGGTATATGACAAGCACCCGTAAAATGTCCAACCGAAAGGTTCATTTTTCATCTCCTTTGGTAAGTGGCCAGGAGCGCAGCGCTGCTAACACTGGTAAGTCATATTCCGAAGACGAATATCAAACTGCCTTGAAAGAATGGTTGGGTGGTTTTGTTCCCATAGACCAGTGAACGCCCCAAATGGTAAGCCGCTGCTTCGGCAATGGGAAATTTCGAAGCAAGTTCTCTCTTTTCGGTCAAGCTTCTTCAGTTGTCAAGTACTAAATATATTACAGAATACAACATGAGTCCAGAGAAGTGGATCAGCGACCTGGACATGTTCATTGGACACTCCACCTCTGATCACTTTGACAGGTGCTTTGCCGGAGTGGACAACAGCATCCAAGAGCTATCTGGTAAGTACTCCCAGTATTCCATCCGGCATATAATTGACTTTGCAACATCCACAGCTATGTTTCACAACAACTAGGCAAAATTGGATGTGCCAACATCTCTAGAGTCCCAACAAACAGACTCCATCATGCAAGATGATGTGGACGAGCTCGTTGAAGATGGCCCATCATACAATCTTGGGTGGGCAGATATTCTGGCCAAATCTGCAACTGCTGTCTCCACGTCAGTGGATGATTTCTCTACTGGTAAGTTTGTTCCAAGTTAATATGTCAATGACATACTAAATACCGCACAGGGCCTTCATATGATCTCAGATGGGGTGCCACTAAAACATCCAACATCGCAGCAGAGAACATGTCGGAGTTGATCGATCCGGAAGAGGGACTGGTGTACAATTTAGGGTGGGGTGTTTCTGACATTTCATCCAGATATCGGATTGATGGCCGCATGGAGGTGTTGGATGGTGGAGATGATGGACCAATGTACGATCTTGGGTGGGGTATGGGCCTTGCCATTGAATCTTCTCCCGGTGATGTACAAGAGACATCAAGTATTGCGGGCGATGATGACAGTCTGGTATACGATCTTGGATGGGCCCAGATCCACGAAGAGCCCTTCGATTGCAAGAATGAAGATGGTTGACAAACTGACAAACCAACGACCAGACCGGACAACATCATCGATCTTTGTGGTGATGACAGACCTGTTTATAATCTCGGATGGGGATATGGACAGCAAGAGGTTATTGAGCTGTCGGATGACCAACCCAATGATGACAGAAATGTCAATGAAGGTATGTCTCCAGATTATGGCAAGACATCCTATTGATATCTTTAAGGCATATCATCAGGGTTCAGAAATCCGGTACATGGAGATATGGACATCAACCAAGATTCCAAGGAAAGCTCAGCCATCAGTATGTGTTGGATTGTATCTCTATAGAACACAAGCTAAGGTTAATTATTTGCAGAAATCATAGAAGATGATTATGAAGGCACCCAAACTATTCTTAGGGTGAATTGCCGACTGAAGACATTTGGTAACACCTTGAGTGAGTGTATTCTCTGAATTATTTCTGGACAACACTGATGCTTCCAAGCTGACGAGCACATGCATGCTATGATAGAGAACACCACAAATGGCTTGACAGCATCTCACGCACCAGCTGAGATTCTGTTAGAGAATAGGGACGTTCTCAGAGGTTATGTGGATGCCCAAAAACAGGTGACCAATGCTGAGAGGGATATTTGCAGGCTGCACTAGCTCATTCAACTTCAATGCCATGCATTCAAATCAGTTGACTGAGTCATCAAGTTCTTAGAAAATGCATAGTAAAATCCATCATGTAGTTGGTTCTCATAGTCATTATATACTATTATACAAAATATGAAATATGGACCATAAAAACATGCACTGGATTCCTGAACTTCAACACCCAACAAAGTTGGTTACATATCTGGAGTTCGGTTTCTTCAATCGTTTCGGAGGCACATTGACCGTTTGGCTCCTTGTACATTTGGCTGGAGAGTCCTGCAATTCATCCACTGCAGGTCATTTTTTTCCCCTCGGTTCAACACAACCACTGTCCTCCAGCACATTCTTCTTCATGGCAGGTGTCTTGACCGAATTTAAACATCCACCCAATGCCATCTTTAGTCTACCAGCGGGATGGGATGCCGGTGTAGGACTTGGAGTCCTTGTGGCCTTGTAGAGGTCTATTTTCCAATGCATGTTGAAATGCTAATCATTACCCAAATCATTCCCTATCATATCCGACTCAATACGCACCAAACCCAAAAACATCGGACATTGGACATTGGACTATTGGATATTGCATGCACTCATCCTTCCTATGTCCAGTCTCATTGTGCTAGCCCCACTAGGTGCGTAGTTACTTGTTTTCACATCCCTAACATTGTTGGCCACATTATTACATGTATTCCCATAGTCTGCAGTACATCATGTCTTATTACATAGGACATCAGACCCGAAATATTGCCCTACTACTTTCGCCTATAGGGTTCCGTATTTCTACGTATCTACATAAATATTGGACTCCCCATAGCATCATCATCATCCAAGTAGAGGAGAATCATCTCCAATGCTTAGGGGTCAAACCCAATATTTCATAGTTCTTAGTTGACATTGCGAATATCATCATTCCTTCACTGTCTGTATCCATCATCAGAATTATTGCGCATACCACTCGCTTCCCCAATGCTCACTATCACATTACTATTAGTTTCTGATACACTAAACCCAAACCCGAAAACCTGAAAACATCGGACCCAACACTTTTGCATCAGACATCATAATTATAGCTTCGGACATTGTTTCCCACGCTTGGATTATTGACCCCACATCACTCACTGACCCCCCAAACTATTCCCAGACTGCAGACCCCTGGGTCAAACACACTTGTCTCACCAAGCATAGCAGACTAGGCAGTGCAAGACCACAACATAAAGATATCAGTTTGGAGCCATCTTTGTATAGCCCCACTCTGTGTAGTATACCTACACCAGTCCCACTCTCCTGGGATTGTCGACATGAGGTTGTGGGTATTGGAAAGCTGATGGCTCTGTCATTCTGGTTGCATCAGGCACAGCAGAGCGCTCATCCATCTGGGACCTTCTGGTTGGATGTCCATGATCTGGTTGTTTGACCAGCGTGGGCCTTGTGTTGTTCTGGATGACCATTTTTTGATGAGGCCATGGTTTCTCTGTCTGGACCCGATCTTCATGTTCCTTGTCCATGCAGTGCAGTGGGTCTTCTTCTGTATATTCTGTGGTGGTGGTAGGAGTGAGCCTCCCTTGCCTGATGTCCTTCCATGCATATTCACCAGGGCTGTCATCTCGATTTCATCGGAAGATGACTCGCTGGCATGATCTGATTCAGCAACGTCCATTGACATTCTGACTTTCTTGCTTAGACAAGTCTTTCCTACCTGCCATTTGTCAGTCTTGATTATATGCCCCTGAATTTGAGCATCTGCATCTTCAGAACTATCTGACTGAGCAGTCGCCTGCACCATTGACTTTTTCCGAGATTTCATCTGAGCCCCACTTTTCACTTGCTTGCCCTTTGTTGGCAGTTGGGCCATTTTGGCGACAACTTCCCGCTTGCTGTGCCATCTCACCAGAGGTCTGACTTCCTTTTTGGCTTTGCTCCACCACCTGTGGAATTCAAATATGGTGTCCCAGCCATTTTCCTGTCGGTCATACCAGAACTCCAAGAGCTTAGTAGCTTCATGTCAAGTCATCCGGGATTGTTCCTGGAGTTTCCTCCCCTCCGGTAGGTATGGAGGAGGGATTCACTCATCCTGTCTTGATATCACTTCCTTCCAGGGCACTGGTTCCTTTGGGTCATTGCTGCAATCCTCTGCAGATGCAAGTTAGATAGACATAAGGCTCAGATGTGTTCCACTGACAATAATGCCAATTCAAGAAAGCTCAGACAACTGCTTTCCAGGTCTCAGAATCCATTTCAGAGAAGTCTGGAAGGACCAGAAATTTGTCATCCCCTATTTGTAATATATAAATCTTGTCCTTCCTGCCCTTTTGAATGACGCCATCAGATTCGATTTCCTTGTCTTCCTCACCTAATGCCGGTGAGCTTGGCCTTCTTCCAAGAATGTCTGCTGATGCTCACAAAACTGTTTGGATACATATGACTTCTACTCCGGCATGATCTCCTTCCAATCATGGATCCTCTCGAAAATTTCCCTGTGGCTGATCTCCTCATTGTGATTATGACTATGGATTTGCATGACCCATGATTCTCTCTACTAAACCGATATATCTGACTTACCTTGAAACCATCAATTTCCCCTCCTCATCCTTCCAAGCTGACAGGATGAACAGCCACATTCCGGCTTTCTTAAACATTTTGCTTGCTACATACTGGAGCAAGTCCTCACTATTCCACCTTGCAGTATCTGCTTGGACATCCAGAGGGACTCCCTGCATATTCCATTGCCTGGCCATAACGGTAGCATCTTCTATCTCCTTCTCGGTGAGAGAATTTACCATGTCCATCAGATACCTTGAGTAATGTTTCATCATCTCTGGTTCACTGGGATTTACTCTAGTGTCATTCTGAATCTTCTTCAGAAGCTCCTTCTTCGGGAGAGCTCCCACCACCATACGGTACATCCACTTCCTCCCGAGATTGATAGAAGCTTGTAGTATCCTTCTTTTTTTCTCTATGATTCTGCAGCCATTTTCGGTAGACCTGGATATTAATAATGTCAACAATTATCTACAATTCATGGCATGACAAGCTCACCATCTTTCGGGACCTCAAGAGATTTTTATCCATCTTGGGCGCCTTCAGCCGAGCTTCTGTTGTGGCATCCTTCCAGATCACATTTCTCTCTTGACTTGAAGCCAAGTCCCATTGCTCCAAATATGACTCCAGAACAGCAACCTCTTCTTCATTTAATGGCACTTGCTTCAGAGGCTCTTCATCTGACTCTAAGTTGCTCCCTGTTATGACTGAAATGTGTGAATATGAACAAGATAGAAGTGTGAGAGAAGGTTCAAAGAAAAGTTTAATTTGAGCAAGGTTGTTTACAGTTTAGATTATTAATATCCATGGGACACACAATTACATGAAACCGGGCCTGGACAAACTAGACTAGCATTGCCTGGTGCAAGGACATTTAGCAAACATCCCAAGCCTTACCTTACAATACATTTGATTGACTTGATACATATAGGATCCATCCTACTGTTGTATTAACATCCTTACAATGTCTGAGCCAATGTAGCATAACAAGTCAAACAGGAGCCAATTGAGGAAAGTTCATAACAGGCATTTATGAAAATCCCAGATCAAATATCAACCATCACATCACTTTAACAGACCTCAACATGGGCAAATCAAAGGCAAAGGAAGTTACACCTCCTGGAACTGTACATGTGGTGAAATGGAGTAGGAAAGGAATAACTCGTGGCATCAATGGTCAGTGGGTACCAGTGGAGTATATGAAGCCAAGCAAATCAGTGCAGTCATCATTCACTAAGTTACCCACCAAACAATCTTCGGATGGATTGATGCATAGGTTCTCTGAAGACTTTCATGGAGGATATGATGACTAAGGAAGCATCAATCCCATCTGATTTCCAAAGGGCTCAAGAAAGAAAAAAGAAAAACCTTGGCAAGTCAAAGTTTACCAAATTTCATTGATATCAGGCTCATCCCACTTGAAAATACTAGACTCCAAACGAGTATCTTCGGCAGTGGACTTTGAGGACACATGATTATCTGAAGATCCTACTAGAATGTGAGGCACCACCTCCGAACAGGATGTGCTGCTTGTGTGATGGAGATGGAACACAAAAGTGCCATGACTGTCTAGCTGAGCCCATATTCTGCATGAGGTGCTGCCAGACTCAGCATTCCTTGCTTCCTTTCCACCAGATAAGTCAATGGAACAGAGATTTCTTTGAGGAGACGACTCTTACCAAGTTAGGGGTGAAGATTCACATTGGCCACAGAGGACAACAATGCCCCCACCACTGTTGGGAATGGGAAGACACTGATGATGAGGTAAGATCAGCTGCATCCTTGGCCTTCGGAACTCTGGGAATGAGTGAGGTAGGAGACACCAAAGGAGATAAGATTTTCTGGGAATTTTATATAGAAGTGCTGGAAGAGATTGATGATATGGAGGATGTATTTACTGGGTCCAGAGATCCAACTATCCACAAAGGACCACTGGAAGTGAACATACTGACGTCAGGCAGATGTCAGATGACAGTAGTCGACACTTCGGGGATTATGTTATGTCAATCTGTTTTTGCTAATACCCCAATGTATTTATGATGGACAAGCAGTTATTCGAAATGGGCCTATTTCCAGCATCTTTTACTCACCCAAAGACTGTGTTCACTTTTGCATTGCTAGACAATTTTATTCGGGGCAACCTGGAGTGCAGAATGGGTATGAACTATTACAGCAAACTCAGGCAAATCACATCCAACATGTTCCCTCATTTAGTGCCAGTAAATTCTGTTCCATTAGGGTTATTGCTGACTCAAAAATATTTCAGTAGGACCAGTATGGGGAGTTATTGAGAGTTGCCAGACAGTGGCACCAGCTAAAGCTATTAAAGTGGAACAGATTCAGCCACAAGCAGAGAGACCTGAATGATGGTGAGCTGGCTTTGTTCTGCCTAGCATGTTTGCAGCCAGGAATCAATGTCACTTTGTCCAATGAATACAACACTACCTCAAAGTGGCTATACTCCCATTCCCTCATGATGGATGGAAATTTCAAAGATGAGCATCTACACCCAACCAACCTGGAAGATGAAGTGTGGTTAATAGAGGAAAAAGGCTTTATGGTGGTGAGGGTCAGATACTAGGCTCATTGGGCCATTGCTGAGGATTCACACATCTTTCAGTCATATGGTACTGTAAAACCTGGTCTACTGGACACTGGCCAGTGTACGTATACCCAGGATCGGCTGACTATGTAAAATATGTGCAGGCCAGTGACTCTAGTATAAATAACAGATAGGCCAAACACTGTAGGGGCTAATGATAGCTCTTGAATTAGTATGGTTTTGAAGGCACTTGAAGACCTCCATCCTCCAGTACATAATAATGATAATGTCTAAAATACAGTGTGATGTAAACAATTTTGGATCAGTATGGTTTGAAGGCTCTTAAGATGAAGACCTCAATCTAGTCACCCACTAAACTATCCAAATATTATTAGTATTTAAGTTGGATCAAAGGATTGGGATGAGGTTATTACCTTTGATCCAACTTGAATACTAATGATAAAGGCTAATGAAAAAAATGATATAAAACCTACAAAATCTGTGCAATACACTAGTAGTACAGTTGTGACCCACAAAACTGTAACACATACATGTAGAGGTAATGAGCCATCCTCACTCTGCATATCACTGTGATGGTGAATCTGTGAATATTGCAAAATATATACAATGGCTAGGGCATCAATCTTGGGCTATTCAAAAATCACTGTACACTATGAAGGCCAGGTCATACATATTCTATATCTAGTTATAGCCATTGATAGTGTACAGTGAATTTTGAATAACCTAAGATTCTGTCAGTCTGCCCCTGGTATATATGAAGAGGAATAGCTGTCCCAAAGGTCAATACCGGCCAGCCTAGTATTGCATTCTATGCAAATGGGCCAGCTGCATAGGTTATGACCTATAGTTCTATAGGCTGGCCCACTTCTACAATGTATAAAGGGGACTGGCCACACCTATAGTAACCTATATCAATACCAGCTGTCCTAGTGTTATGTTTTGTGCAAATGGGCTGGCTGCATAGGTTATGACCTATAGTCCTATAGGCTGGCCCACTTCTATAATGTGTAAAGGGGGCTGGCTATACCTATAGTGACCCATACCAATGAAGGCCGGCCTGGTTGTGCAGTCTGTGCAAATGGGCCGGCTGCATGAGTAGTGACCTATATTCAAACATGTATGGCCAGTGTTATCTTGAATATTTCTTTAAATCTCAAGTACAGATATATAAAACATTTAATAAACTCTAAGCTATTATAATACAAGATGTATAGAATGATATATCAAATATTTTAGACATTGTACTTCTTTGGAGGTGCTTTGTCTCTGGCAAAATGATAAGGTGGATCAGGAAAAAAAACTTTCACCTTTTTCTTAGATAGTTCCTCCACATTTATAGCAGGCCACTTACCCTTCCCTTTGGCATGGGATTTTCTCACCCTGGTGTCCACCTTGCTTGCTTTCTTAGCCAATCTTGTTTCTTCCTCGACCCTCTTCTCATCCTCAACTCTCCTTTTCTCCTTCAACTTTTTGTTCCCCTCCAAATGCCTCTTCTCAATGTCTTGCCTCACAATGAACAACTCTAGGTTCTCATCTTTCAGCATAACTTCAACTTCTGCCCCTATCCCTATGACCTTTTCCTCAATCTGGTCGCCCATCTGGATGCCCAAGATAGAGTTACCCAAGTAGTCAGATACATCATCTCCAGCTTCATTGGCTTCATACTCCTGAGCATGATGACACTCATGAAGTAGGGGTCCGATTTCCAGGCTCACAACTATGCCCCATCCATGAGAATTGAACTAGTAGTTACTCAAATGCTCCAATGTGGCTGAAGTGATTTTCATATTCTCATAGATGTCTTGAGGCAGATATGCCTGAGACCATGTCCAAGAAGCCCAGACAGGAAGTTGCTGTTTCCTTGACTTTGAATCTATTCTTTGCTTTAGAAAAGATGAAATCAATGTAAAATCACAAGGTTAAGAAATCTGACATACCGGAAGCTTTTGAACCACAGTAAGAAGACATGAATATGAAGGGACAGTAGAGAGAGACTTGAGGTAAGGGACCATGTCCCTAGCAAGATGGAATTTGGGGCTGGAATTAGCAATGGTCGGAGTCTCCACCTCGACTTCATCTTCATCTGAAGAGCTTTTATCATCAGCGACCTTATTCAAGAGTCCTTCCTTATCTGAAGAGACTTCAACATAGGCAGGCTTCTTTCTTGACTTACCCTTTGCAGCTCCCTTCTCAGTGTGAGCATCATAGAAATCAGCTTGCCTATATCCAACAAAACGTACAATCAGCATGTCATGACTAGTACAATCTTTCCAGTGGGAGTATATCACAGTGATCATGTCCTTTTGCAGGTAGGAAGGATCCCTAATAACAACATTCTCAGGGATGCATCCTGAATCAAGGTAGTAATTGGGATTATTAGAAATCTCACCCCAGGGCACTGGAGCCCGAGGATTGTTGGTGATAACAGCTAGAGCAAGTGAGTAAATGATAAAATCACATAAGACAAATCAACTCACTGTAGGCCTTTCGAAAGACAGTCTGAATAAGCTGTTGCCTGTGCTTGAGCTTGAGAGATCCAAAGCCTGTGGGTAGGCAAGGATAATCATCATCATTGACCTCAACAGTTAGATCTGAGAGATCATTTTCATCATCATCCTCTCCATCGGCTGATAGACTTTTAGCTATCATATTAAATTAAAAAATTAAAAAATACATTTACCATATTCTCCTTCAAGAAGCCAGTTGGCAAGACAATCTTGAGCATGTTCTGCCTATTTCCGATAGTCTTTGGTCACCTGAGTGAAAGGTTTTTTGGTTTTTCGAGGTAAAGTCTCTCAGCTTTAGAAACAAGTCTGTCATTATTAACAATATGAAGCATCAAAAACACTTACACAGTAGTTCCAGGAGCCTTTCCCTCACCTCGGTCATAGGCTGCAAGGATGACAACATGCAATCCCATAGTTCTCCAGACCATGTCCATAAGTTCTCCATCATTTTTTTCTAGTTACGAGTATGGTATCTGTTGATGTATTATTGAGTTATGTAGCATGTATACCAATAGAATGTTAGGAAAAAAATACCTGTCCTTGGTGTCTGCAGGAGGTCCTTCCTGGTTCCATTTTCCTGCAACTCGCTCGAGCTCTCTCTTGACCTCAGGGGACATGGCTTGGTGCCACATGTAGGCCAATCTTGTCCTCTGACCCATAGACTTTGAGTTGGAGGTATCTCTGTGTTGCTTGTCATATTCTGCAAATTCATCCTTGAATAATTTTGGACAACATCAAAACTAGAGAATTCTATCTTGTACTTCCTAGCATCCTCAGGCTTATCATCTTCCCTCTGTCTCACCATCTCTACAGTCACAGCATCTGAAGCAGATCTGTCCTTAGTTCTCCCTCAATAATCTCTTCCTCTGCCTTACGATCCTCATCATCTTTCAGAAAGTCCAAATAATAGGCACGAACAGCCTGTATTGATTAGATTAGTATAGAACACAATTATAAAAGCTCACCTTTTGCAGATTTTTCTCAGGAAGCATGATACAAGGGTCTTTGGCTGCTTCACTGCTGCCTATAGCATCTTTGATTGTCTTGAGGATGTGAGCCCTGATGATAGAATTTCCTTTGGCTGCTACAAAGGAATCCTTGTGTTCATTCAACACATTGTTAAAAACAAGAGTCCAGCTGGTCATTATATCTGACAAATAACAATAACAGGGATGCAGGCCAGTACAAGTTTGCAGAATGTACTGTTGGACAAGACTTCATTGTTGAAAAACTCAACATTACAAATATAGTCATGTGACATCTATGTTGACAATTTTCACTATATTTAAAATCCACAAAGTGCATCTACCAAAGTTTCATTCACAAACAACCAAACATTATTGTCTAAAGCTAAGATATATATGAAGTGACAAAATTTGAGTAACCAAAGTAAGAAATGTACATAATCAAGTCAACAATGACTTCAAAGGTACATGCATCCATGAACACTCTAGCTTCCTACCTAGCGTCAACATGGTGGCACCTTCAGGAGGTCTGAAGCTGAAAGACTGGATGTAGGTGTCATTCTTGCACTCAAAGACATAGACCTTATCCTTGCAACCTCTAACAAAGACTGACCTCCAAGAATTAGTCCACCAACAGCTTGGGTATTGGATTGACAGGAAGCCACTCCAAGGCTGGAAGTTCACATCAGCCCATACAAACTTGGAGACCTTCAGACTACCCTCAAGTGGTGTCAGTAAAAAGACATTAGTGTGGCAACCAAGTTTGTAAGCTTGAGCCAGCATGTCACCAAATCCAAGGACAATGGGGCAACATTCCACAAGGACTTATTCAGTGAATGCCAGGAGCAAATGGGACACAAAAGATGGTCGAAAATGTGCAGCGTTGAATGCAACTGTGGCAGAGAGCTTGTGACTGTTAGAATGTCAGATAAGATAATAAATGTAATGTAAATGAACTTACTGAAGTACTGTGCATTGCAATCCTGCAAATGAATCGCTGTTGTTGACAATTGCACCACAGCACAAGAGCCAGAGGTAGGTTTCGTTGGCATGGTCCAGGAGAGATTGCCATAGACTAAAGATACCATCCAAGAACTTCAAGTCAGTAGTTAGTAATCAGCTGCAGGATTTTTTTTTTTTAAAAACTTACATCTTCAGTTGGAGTGCCAGCATAGTGCTTCTCACCATCCAAACTGTACCCGGCAAATGGGTCACCTGAATCATTGTCAGTGTGAGTTGATATACCAACCACTGCATGTTCCCACACAAACATGTTTTTGAGGTCCTTGATAATTTGACGGACAGTTTTGCAGTAACCGGACACATCAGAGACAATGTTGTAGGCAATTTCGTGATATTCAATGCTGCCACTGGTAAAGTAGGGCTGAAGGAATGAATGAGCCAAGGAGAGAGGGCTGGCCATAGTGTCGAAGTCGACAAGGATGAGATGTATGAATATGACCGGTGCAGCCAAAAGTTCAGCGAGTGATGAGAGCTCAAGGGAAGTGTGGACCTGTAGAAAAGACTCAAGGATCGGGACACCATTAGTGTGATAGAAGCCCTGTTATAGTATTAGTTGTGAATGAACAGATAATGAAAACAAAACACTTACATAGTAGGGTGTGCCCTACTGTTCCATCGCAATGTGGCAACATATGCATCTAAAAGAAATGTCCTCGCCAAGGATCATGTCTTCAGTGCCCAGGGGAGTCGCATGCATAGGTGGCACATCACTTTGGGGCAGTGGTTGCACATAAAGAGAGTATTCTCTTTAAATGATGCAGAGCCATCCTGGCAGAGGATACAGAACTGTTGGGGGAAAGAAGGTACATTAGCACACATACAGCAAGAAACAAAAGACTCACCTCATTGTGATGAACCAGTTTGGACATCTCCAAACTTTGGCTTCCATCCAGCTGTCCTCTAGAAAGGCTCTTAGCAGCAGTCCTGAGTATCTTGAGGTGTATGCACGGCACTGAGCCACCAGTACACTTCTTTGCAGTGTTTTTGGTGTGTGTTATGATAGAGAACCTGAAATTGTAGTCAGTATGCCACAGCGCCACACAACAACAAAAACTCACTAGTAACAAAAGAGACGTGTTCACAAGAGATGCACGTCCACAAAATGTGCATTGACAAAAGGTTAAACTGAAATTGTAGTTAGTATGCTACTGCACCACACAACAAAAACAAAAACTCACCAGGAACAAAAGAGACACATTTACAAGAGATTCACATCCACAAAATGCACGTTAATGAAAGGTTAAGCTGAAATTGTAGTTAGTATGCTACTGCACCACACAACAGAAACAAAAACTCACCAGAAACCAAAGTGACATGTTCACAAGAGACTCATGTCCACAAAATGCGCATTGATGAAAGGTTAAGCTGAAATTGTAGTTAGTGTGCCACTGCGCCACACAACAACAAAAGAAACTCACCAGTAGCAAAAGACACACGTTCACAATAAACATGCATCCACAAAACACATGTGTTGATGAAAGGTTGACCTGAAATAATAGTTAGTATGTCACAAAGTCACAAAAACAAGAAAAACTCACAAGTGATGAAGGAGACGCGTTGAGGAAAGGTTGGCCTGACATAGTAATTTGTATGTCACAGAGTCACAAACAAAAGAAAAACTCACAAGTGACAAAAGAGACGTGTTCACAATAGAGACACATCCACAAAACATGCGTGTTGAGGAAAGGTTGGCCTGAAATAGTAGTTAGTATGTCACAGAGTCACACAAAAACAAAATAAACTTACAAGTGACAAAGAAGACACATTGCAGGTATACAACACAGAGTGGGGCTATACAAAGATGGCTCCAAACTGATATCTTCATGTTGTGGTCTTGCACTGCCTAGTCTGCTATACTTGGTGAGACAAGTGTGTTTGACCCAGGGGTCTGTGGTCTGGGAATAGTTTGGGGGGTCAGTGAGTGATGTGGGGTCAATAATCCAAGCATGGGAAACAATGTCTGAAGCTATAATTATGATGTCTGATGCAAAAGTGTTGGGTCCAATGTTTTTGGGTTTTGGGTTATTGGGTTTGGATTCGGTGTATTGGAAACTAATAGTGAGCATCAGGAAAGCGAGTGGTATGCGCAATAATAACGATGACGGGTGCGGACAGTGAAGGAACGATGATATTCGCAATGTCAACTAAGAACTACGAAATATCAGGTTTGACCCCTAAGCATCGGAGAACAACTCTCCTCTACTTGGATGATGATGATGCTATGGGGAGTCCAATATTTATGTAGATACGTAGAAATACGGAACCCTATAGGCGAAAGTAGTAGGGCAATATTTCGGGTCTGATGTCCTATGTAATAAGACATGATGTACTGCAGACTATGGGAATACATGTAATAATGCGGTCAACAATGTTAGGGATGTGAAAACAAGTAAGTGGGGCTAGCGCAATGAGACTGGACATAGGTAGGATGAGTGTGTGCGATATCCAATAGGCCAATGTGAAACCCGATGCAATGTCCAATAGTCCAATGTCCAATGTCTGATGTTTTCGGGTTTGGTCCATATTGAATCAGATATGATAGGGAATGATTTGGGTAATGATTAGCATTTCAACATGCATTGGAAAATAGACCTCTATGAGGCCACAAGGACTCCAAGTCCTACAGCATTCACAATAGACAAGTGTTGACACGAAAGAAACACATTTGTGGACCAAAAACCAACCACAAATGTGCACGTGACATCTGGCAAACAAGAACAAATCAACCAACCATACATCAACCATTTACATTTCTCCCATGGTTTGTTTGTTTCAACTTCAACCATGTATACCATCGCCACCCATCTTACTTTACCCCACCACTTCTGTGCATCTGACCTTTGGCTACTTGCAGACTGCAGCTGCAAGCAGTCAAAGGCAGTGCTGCAGTTATATCAAGTCATCAAGTAAGTACTTTTTACAACCGCTTTCCAATACTAATTATTTGTATACTTGTTGTGGTTAATAACTGGCACACTATCAAACTTTTTTGATAGTGCACCTGAGGTCAGTCTTTTTACAGTGCTTCACATCACTAACTGTTTGTTTATTCAGTTGTTGATTAGCTAGGGCGCCTCAAAGGTCAGTCCTTTCATTCCGCCAAGCGGCTGACTTGTCTTTAGTTTTTTAGATACATTCTTGGCTGTCCATGTCCCCAGGGACTGGCATCTTCATATGTCTGTCTATACTAACTTACTCTCTAGTTCTGTATGCTGCATTGACTTTTCTGGCTTGTTTTTGTTTTCTTTTCAAGTCTATTCTGTACTAATGGTGTTTTTTTTCTAGCTTGCTCTCACACTGACTTTTCCAGCTTGTTTTTCTTGTCTTTTCAAGTCTATTCTGTACTAATGGTGTCTTTTTCTAGCTTGCTCTCACACTTTGTCTGGTAGCGGTTTTGTATAGGTAGGTGTTGTTCCAATATTCAAGATGATACTGATTTTCACCATAGTTTTGGTGATCTGCACTTGATGCACCTGCCATCTTTTTTTTGTTTTGTTTAATATGGTAAGTGTCACTTTAATATTCAATATCATACTGACTATCACTATAGTTGGCTGATTATTAGTTTACTTTTTTACTTTTCTTCATTTACTGTAGGGTGCAAGGCTAGGATGAAGAGGGCCCCTCCATCCCTGTCTTGCATCATGTACCTTAGTTTTTTTTATCTTGATTTTTTTGACTTGCACTGTATACTTTCCTTGGTGTAGGACTTAGCATAAATGTATTACCCTTTGATGGGCATATTCTGGTTATGTGACTCATAACTTTTTGCCCAAAAATTAAGTTACGTGAGAGTGAGAGTGATTCAAGGTGACATGCACCTGCTATGATATGCAGCTTCCCTAGTATTGAAAATTTAGCCTCACTGACCACACCTCAATTAAAGTAAGTTTGATTGTCTACCTTTTGAGCCTCACTCATTTTAGATGCCCATTTTCTCACCTCAACCTCACTATTATATAAGCTAATAAGGATGCTGTAGGGGGGGGCCTATGGCATGCTAACTAGCACCGGATCTCCTAATCCTCGCACCCCATCAGTACCACCTAGAATAAAGCCTTAATTCACTTTGTGGATTTTCCAAGAACAGTAGCTTATGTGAGTATGTCATGAGGCATGGCCTCGTGAGCACTGACTGACTATTACCGCCTCCCTCGGCAAGGTCCATGCTGCCGTTTATATCATTCTCGCTGCATAATTAGCCTTGCTCGCCATCGTTGTCGTCAAACTCAACTAACTACTTTGTTTCTTGACCTTTTTTCTTCTTTTATTATTGATATACTCATTTATATACATGTGTTCACAGTGCTTAAATGCTCTCGCTCACTGTCTTTCATGTTGTGCTGGGTAAGTTTCAATTCTCATGTGACTTTGTTGATATCATGCCTCACCAGTATACTCACACCATCTGCTGTACACACCTAGGCCACCCCGCTGCCATTGCTGGCAATTGTTACGACAAACGGTCGTGTGCGACTAGGATGATCTAAACAGCGACAACCACGACAGTGGTACCGAGTGCTGAGAGTCGTCGGCCTTTACAGACAAGCAAAGGTTGCGTACTCGAACGTAGCTCGTGGTGGTTAACGAGGGGTTATGCTGAGATGATAGCAGGGTTTACAGACAGTGAGAGGCGTCACTGAAGGTACGAGTCGATGTCGAGCAGGTAGCTTTAGCGGGACAAGGAGTTCAAGGGTAAACCTAGTTGATTAGACTAGTTTCTGGGTTGTACCTAGTAAGATTAAAGTAAGGAACGTCTACTTGTAATCTTCGACCTTATATAAGGCTACTCTATCGTATCTAAGCTCAGCTCGAAGCTGGGTTCTAATCTGCTTATCTACATGAGTCAGAGATAGCGTCCATGAGGCGGGCTTCTATCGTAGATAGGATCCACGTGGTATCCTTCTATCAGTACATGAGGCAACACGAGGCTTGCCTTCTATCTTGATAACATAAATAGGTCTTCTAGACCTATGTCGTCATGTCATGTCATGTGCGGTCCAGACCGCTTATCTAAGCCGGCAGTTGCCGCTTATCGTCTATCATCATCTATCGTCGTCTGTCGTCTACAGAGCTGGTGAGGCTCCGGTATCGTCTATTGTCTATAGCCGTGCGGGTGGCAGAGGGCTGTCTGCTGGCGGGGGACTCGTGCCATGTTACTGTAACAGCAATAGTGAGGGCCTACCATCTACAATGCCTCCTGCAAGGAATTCTCGTGCTGTGCAACTTGTTGTTGGGTTGACCAGGTCTACTGCAAGGCTCACATCCAAGGTGTTATCGCAGACACAGCAGATTGAGGACCAACAGTGCAGACGAGCAAGGTACAAGGCCAATATTACAGGTAAGAGAGTCAATCACCACACTTTTTGCCAGACTGACACTGGCTTTAGGACTCAGTACCGAATCTCAAACAATACTCGCTGACATGCAACATGAACCTGTGGACAGCGTGGCTGCTGGAGTGGATGATACTATGAGTGCCGTGGATGATGATTTTCAATGGGAAACGGTCCCTGATGACCTCAAAGACAATGAGACCTTCATGTTCACTGTGCGAGACCTCATTGGTAGTCAGTAAGTGATATCATTTTTTATTGTGTCGCTCATTTACAATTTACAACCAATCCAGGTGGCATGTATACAAGGATAAGCGTGGATGGCGCCAACATCTCATCTGCCTTCATGCAAATTGGACCCCAATGGTCGACACACTCACCTCTGGATATCTTAAGTGGAAATATTCACCATTTCCTGAAGAAAGTGAACCCTGTCCCTACGATTTCTTGATTAATGTCATCAACATATACACACTTGTCACCACCGCCAACATCTGCTGTGCACCAACTGTTGAATCTGCTGCCAAAGCCTTAGTTTTAAATGGTTATCTGGGTGCTACTCCCCATTCTCCAACCATCACCATTTCTCTGTCAACTCTTGAACTTTACAGGCATCTGCACCTGTGTAAACCTTCGCTCAGTGTCAAGGCATTCGCAAAGGTGATTTGTGATATATATCATGTATGTTTTATAGAAATTCTGATTAGTATTGTATCTGATATTGAACTTTGTACTGCACTTGCTGATACTTTTGACATTTATCTTACAATCCACCGCAACATTGATATTCAAGTTTCAAAGGCCCTCGGATGTGATACCAAAGACTGGCGTGTGCTTAACGCATGTCCGCCATGCACATATGAGGTGTGTAATCTGGCATAATTGGATATATTCTAACGTAAACTTCCAGCTGAAAGATGAACCGGAACTCATTTACTGCTGTATGATTGTGTTTGATGGCAACAATTTGCTATCACACATGGCACTGCTTGGACACTGTGAAGTCAGCGATACACGCAAGTTTCAAAGCAACTACTACCTCGAAAGTGACTATATTGAAGTCTATGCATCTCCATCCCACATACAATCATCAGATGATGAGAACCTCAACCTTACAGTAGAGGACCCTGCTGCTTCCAATATGTCGCAACTTATGTCATCATGCACTGACAACTGGAAAGCTGCTGCAGCAGATGCGAAGAATAAATCCTGGGGAATATTTGAAGAGATGGGGATATTTGCAAGTGCTTGCCATCATGGTCTCATACTCTGGATTGCAGACATGATTTGTAGTGGGGAACTGTATGTGTGATGACCCCCATTTTGTTTTATTACTCATAATGTATGAATTTAGTTTCAAGTACCCTCTAGCTATTGTGAGCCAAGCTCTTGAGACCCTTGCACCACATCTTTTGATTGGATATGATGTTGGCTGCAAGCTTGCCATAACAATTGCCTCGAGCGCATTAGCACAGAAGTTCAAGGATGCTGAATGCCGTATGTGTGTTGACGCATTCCATGAGTATACCCACAGCTACACGTGCCAGATCAAAACCACCCTAACATCATCAAAGGCATGGGAATCAAAGATCTTGCTACCATGGAATGCATCTTTAGTTCATCCAATCAACTTGCTGCCGTCACTCGCTATGCTTCAGCATTCAACCGCTGTGTCCACATAGACTCATTCTTCAAGCAGTGGGATGAGGACAAGTATCTCAACCTTGGTAATATGCTTTACAGAAATTATGTTCAAGCATGCCAGATCATTGATGAGCAGGGAGTCGCTGTCTGGGAAGCCAAGGTTTTGCTTGGCATTTCTGATGATGACATCAAGACCTTGTCTCTGGAGCAATCACATTATCTTGCTACAGCAGGCCATGAAGTTGAGTGGAGTGTTCATGCCGTTGCATATGTTGAGCTTCTTCAGAAACTCAGGGAAGCAAGGTAAGTTTTGCGATAGATTTGAGTTTCGCTAGCCATAATTTTATGACACGTTCAGAGCTGCTGCTGAAAATGCTTCTGCATTGTTCCTGAATGCTACACCAGTAAATTACGAGTTTGTCGCATCATCAACCACTGGCACTTCCTACTCTACCAATCTCTCAAAGACCCGAAAACTAGAGATGCAGCGCCGACACACTAATGAATGTTATGACTTGATCCTGCAAGATGTCATTGCACTTGAGTTGAAGATGGGAATAGCTTGACGATGGGAACTGGCAGATCAGCAGTACCTCACCACCCTGAAGTATATGTCGCAGCGCGAATATCATCGTGCACTCGATAATCTTCAAAGACTTGTAGTCCTTCGTCTCTTCGAACTCCATAAACTGAATATTTCTCAAACGGGCCAGTAATGTGTTTTGTATATGAGACCTGCTAACTGTTCCGAAGGTTATCACATGCGCACACATATTGCCAAGTCACTGCAGGCTCGCTACAAGGCAATTCAAAATGCTGTCAAGTCCTACAATGCAGCTGCTCTTTCCCTCGACCCACCGGCACCCACACTGGACTGGTCCAAAGTCTCACACTATAACTTCCTTGAAGAGTTCATCCTTTTATGCGAGACACATCAGGACATTCACACCAAACACTGGGCTGAACCTGCAGTACGTGAAGTGATGAAGCAGAGCCTTCACATCAAGCACGCCCATGAAGAAATGCACCATTGCAATGTTGAAAGTCAACGGCTACATACTGCCATTGTTGATAAAGAAAGGCACTTCGCTCAGGTCATATCCAAGGCCAAAATTGCAGGTGATCCTTTGTGTGGAGCACTTGAAGAGTTCTGCCAATGCCAGCTGCACATCAATGCCCATGTACTTGCTCATTTGCAAGACTTATATTCACTTGATAGATTTATAGGCTCCTCGACCCCTGGTGTCAGCAAGAACACTTCAGATGACATACAAACCTCTATCAACTTGCAGCCTTTAGTTAATTTGGAGCATGAGAGTGCAGAAGCAGATGAGAACAATGATTGTGAAGGACTCAAGGAAGATGATGCCATTGCTGGCGAAGTAGGAGGTCTACTCAATTACATATCCGAGTTACCATAGCAAATTTGTTTGATACCCGATGGTGATATACAGTTGGTACTCTCACATCAAGTCTTATACTGCAGAGCATGCAACTTCGCCTAGCACAAGCACTGCTGCTGAGCAGGCTTTCAAGTTTAGCTTATGACATCATCCCAAGGTTCAACCTCCAAGGTCACAACAGACTATTTGGAGGCAGCAGTCATAATTGTGGTGCTTATGACCACTGCCTCCAAATAGTCTGTTGTGACCTTGGAGGTTAAACCTTGGGATGACGAAACCAACATGCAAGTACTCAAGGACTCTTAATATTAATTATTGTTCATGTTACATGACAAGAGACACTCATACTACTAGTATGACTGCAACCTAATATTGTGATGAGTTGTTTGTATGGCTCCAATCACTCAGATCACAACACATCTATCAATTGATTTATCAGCAATCCTCACAACTACTATTCTCATTCACTATGTCTTTGTTGAAGTTGGTCGTAGCTGTCCTTGGTGGTAGTTCCCCTGGCATAAAAGACTCCTGGTGAGTTTCGATTTTCCTAATTTTATCTCACTCATCTCATTGACTCGGACATGTTCAAAAGGCCATTAATTGCATCCAGAATTGATACATCTCCCTTCCCACTAGCTATCCAGTGTCTCTTGCAGGACCAAGCACAGCATGTCATGAAACTCCAGAATTCACTTGTTAAATTTATTGAGGAAAATTCGGCTAGTTCTATCGTCCATGCATTAGCTTCATCTGTCATATCCCATGTTCTGGACCCAGACCAATCACACAATCATCTCCAGACTTCCAGACTTCTGGACTTCTGGATCCGGTTAGCTTCTATCCTCTGTGCCTTTTCCCTTTAGTATTTCCCTTATCAGTTAGTGTGCTTTATTTTTTGTCCCCCACCCATTTCTGTCTTCATTTTACTAAGTTCTGATAGACTAGTGTTAGGCGTTCCACATGCTCCGTCCATAGCCTCGCATAGCCTCGCACTGCACTGACTGATTCTCTGTTATGTCCTTCATAGTATATAAACCCTGTAAAGTCTCTGTATTTCCTCAGTTTGAATATTATCTTAGATTCTACTCATTCTCTCCTCCGTTCGACTTGAGTCTCTTCTCGTCATCTCTGACAGTCTTAGGATTGACTCCTATCGACTTACCACCTCCGCCTCTACCTTAGGTAATCCTCTGCTGTTTCCTTTCTAGTTTGGACTTTGTCCAGATTAGTCTTATCACTTGTTTCTGAATGTCCACCGGAATTCCCACGCATTGGACTCCGGACTCCGGACATCATCTGTTAGCCCTCAGAAGTTAGGGGCACGTACTCGGGTAAGGGGCGCAGCGCACAAGCTGAAGCCAAGCCCTTCAGATACGACCCTTGAGCATGTTCTTAACATCATCCAAGGATGTCGTGAACTTTTTTCCCGATCAAAATGAGTTTTATGGCATCATTTATGGACAGAAAGTTGGTATATTTATTCAAAGGTATGTCTCGAGTACTGTTGTGTTGCAGAATACTCATTCCATCAATGTTACAGGATAATGGCTCTCGCCCAGGTCAACAACCCTCAAATGTGCGAGTTCCAGAAGTTCAACACCCTAATAAATACTCTCAGCTTCGTGATACTTAAGAGGAAGTCCGAGTCAATCTGCAACATCAAGCACAACCTTTCATCTCAGTCAACACACACTGCTGTACAACACCAGGTCGTCTTTGAGTCCTCTGCAAAGACATGTCACTTGTCCGTTCCTCGAAGGCATCATGTTACGACTCAACATGCAGATAGTATGTTCGTCCTTTTCATACCATTGACTCTTTCTTATCATTCACAAGTTTCAGAGCAACTTTCATCTGTGTTTTAGGACCGGCTTCACCTGCATGCTTCCTCTGATTCCGTCTTTCAATCTGTCAGCTCAGGCCTACCTACAGCTTCACCACTGCCCATTGTTCTCTCCAACCATAAGTCTCCTACTAGCACTATCAGCTCGAGCCTATCCACTGCTTCAAGTTTACCACCCATCATTACCTCCCACTGTGATTCTCTGTTCTTTGTGATGCTGGATCCCAGCTGACACCAGCGCTACATCAAAGTCACCGAGTCTAGTTCATGGACACTGGCATCACTGCATGAAATGCAAAGTGTGGCTCCGCACTAAGGCTGAAAAGAAGGCACTTACTGAGAAACACAAAGCTCACAAAAGTGCATTTAAGGATGCCCTCGCAGATGCCCAGGACTTGGTCATGCAGGAAGCTGTCAAGTTGCACGAAATGTTTCCTGACAGGACAGTTAAGTATCATTTTGAGGCGATTTTACAACAGACACACACCAAGCAGAAGAGTTGAAAACCAACACGTTGGAATGCATTCCTTCGTTCTGAGGTCAAGGCAATGAATGCAGGTAATTTATTTTGTTTTTGATGTTGCTTAAATTTGATTTATCATACAGGATGAGAACCCAACAAGCGACATGTCAAGGCTACTGAGGTTGGGCATGAAATTGCTGGGAAATGGAATGCCATGTCGCCGCAAGAGAAAATTGACGCAACTAAGGACCTTATGGAAGATTTAGAAGAACATCGCAACAACAAATCTTTAAAGAGCCACAATGTCCCCATCAGTGCCTTTTATGACATCCGTGCTACGTTAGACTCTGTAACACAAACAGTACATATAAATAGTTATTCTAGGCACACTCTTATATTATACACAGCTTGCAAATCTCTCTGCAAGGACTGGATGTCATACTGCCCTCATTACTGTCCGAGGGGACCTGGACCATTATAATCGTCCTTATGTCTACCTTTCAGATGATCATGTTGGAGACTTCTTTCAGCTTGCTCTCAAGGAGACACCCTCCAACTTTGCGACACGCCTTGAAGGCTACTGTACTTCTGGTGTTACCAGTACAAATTGTTTTATTCTCATGTGTTTTTATAACTTATTGCTCTACAGGTGTCATTTCTAACTACAAGAAGTCTTTCCTTCAACTTAAAAGCAGGACATCTGCACTTACCCTTAATAAGCTTTGTGAAGCAATGCAGGTGCCCATCCCCAGGATGTATTATGTAAATTTTGATGAGAACATTATTGCACAACACAGTGTAGTTCTTGAAAACTGGCCACTGACAAAATTTGCAAGTCCTGGGGACATCGGCTTGATGGTGGAGGTTAAAATTGTGTATAATGCATTTATGTCTGGTGCAACAAAATTTCGCAAGTTAACGGCAGCAGAGTGGCAAGAATGGGAAGAGGCTAGATTCAATCAGGACCTTGAACATACAGAGGAAGGTGCAAATGACGGTACTATGTGTTGTATCCTGGTCTCACAGCATCATTTGATTCTAACTATGGCATTGTCTAGGTGAGGATCCATTGCCTGCATCTACCTCACAGCCAGTGTATGCTAAACCCGAATCTGCACCTATGCAAAGAAAGCAAGCTCACAACGAAGTAGATGGTGGCATCATGCACATCATTTCGGGTATTTCAGGCATGGGAGGGGATAAGGTCTCTGTTGCTAAGAAAGCCCGCAAGACACGCTCTGATAAAGGCACAAAAGAGGATCGAAACAGCGCACTGATCAGGCAGGAGGGACTGCTTCAAATTGAACATAGATAGAATACTTGTGCATTGCAACTTTGCTAATACATCGTGACTTTGTGCTGCTATATGAATATCCGTAAAGTATCGTACAAGTACCAATACTAGAGTGGTTTGGGTAACATACTGAAGGCCTGCTAGATGCTGATGGCCTTGAGGAGAAAAAGCAAGATACTCGCTAGTGGTGGCAATAGTGGGAGTGGCATGGAGTTGAATGAAAAGTTTTCCCAAGTCTCGGTAGATTATCAGCAGCATCCGCATGCTAATAAATGAACTCACTAGTAGCACAACACGCAACACAATGACCAAATGTTGGGGAGGACAAAACAAGGCTCGCTGTGGGATGGGTGACAGTATGCGGCAGTGTATTGCTAAGGAGTTGAATGAAAAGTTTTCCTAAGTCTCAGCAGATCATCAACATCATCACATGCTAATCAATGAAACAAACTCACTAGTAGTATGACACACAACATAATGACCAGAAGTTGAGGAGGAAAAAACAAGGCTTGCTGTGTGTGTGGGTGATGGTATGCGGCAGTGTATCACTAAGTATGATTGGGTATTATTAACGGTTAATGTTGACAAGGTCACATGTGAGTCGAAACTTACCTAGTACAACATGGAAGACAGAGAGCAGGGATCAGGAGGCATTGTAGATGGTAGGGAAGGCCCTCATTGTTGCCAGCGATGGCAGTGGGGTGGTCTAGGCGTGCACAGCAGATGGCATGAGTATACTGGTGAGGCATGATATCAACAAAGTCACATGAGAATTGAAACTTACCCAGCACAACATGAAAGACAGTGAGCGAGAGCATTTAAGCACTGTGAACACATGTATATAAATGAGTATATCAATAATAAAAGAAGAAAAAAGGTCAAGAAACAAAGTAGTTAGTTGAGTTTGACGACAACGATGGCGAGCAAGGCTAATTATGCAGCGAGAACAATATAAACGGCAGCACGGACCTTGCCAAGGGAGGTGGTAATAGTCAGCCAGTGCTCCTGAGGCCATGCCTCATGACATACTCACATAAGCTACCGTTCTTGGAAAATCCACAAAGGGAATTAAGGCTTTATTCTAGGTGGTACTGATGGGGTGCGAGGATTAGGAGATCCAGTGCTAATTAGCATGCCATAGGCCCCCCCCCTATGGCATCCTTATTAGCTTATATAATAGTGAGGTTGAGGTGCACTTTCTATGTCCATGAATGAAAATAAATTATTTTTGTATAGTTAGGGTGAAATACAATGTTTCTGTTCTGAGCACATCATTTTCATGAAGGGGCAGGGCAGCTGCACCCATGGTGTCATCAGTGAGGTTAAGCCAGTCTCACTGAGAATACCTCAATCTAACAGCCAGTCTTCTCTAGTAGAGTAAGTTAGATTATCTATTGTTTGAACCTCACTCATTTCAGATGCTCACCTTCTATGTCTATAAGTGAAAGAAAGTGAATTGTTTCTGTTGTGAGCAAATCATTTTCATAGATGGTGTTCTCGGTGAGGTAGAGCCAGCCTAGCTAGTCTAGTCAGCCTCACTGACAACACCACAATTAAAGTAAGTTTAATTGTCTACTGTCTCCTATAGTGGAGTAAGTTTAATTATCTATTGTTTGAGCCTCACTCATTTCAGATGCACACCTTCTATATCTATGAATGAAAGGAGATGGATCTTCATGAAAATGATGTGTTCACTACAGAAACCATCCATTTTCTTTCACTTATAGACATAGAAGGTGTGCATCTGAAATAAGTGAGGCTCAAACAATAGATAATCAAACTTACTTTACTAGAGGAGACTAGCTATACATGGTCCAATTTTAAATTTACTTAGGGTGTATCAGGCTTATTGCATCATGTGTTCTAATTATATCACAACAAATTCAATCAACATGAGTCCAGAGTGCAAGAACTTTGGTTCACTTTTTTTCACTCATGGACAAAGTCAAAAGCCAGACAGCTGAAGTTTTGGCAAGTCTTAACAGGAGGACCAGAGAGATAATGGGCAACTCATCTGAACTAGGGGTCCTAAAAAATGGCCAAGTTCAAACAGAATTGCTGCATAAAGCTAGGTAACTATGGTTCTGTAGTAATTGCAGCCAGCTATTAATGACCGAGAGAATCAAGAATGAGAATTGCAGTATAGCTACATCAATGCTTGGCATCATCTGGTGATACTTTGAACTTTGATCATACCTCAATTTCCGAATATGAAATTGACTAGGCCACCCTGACTATTGCACATGCCATGGTCAACCCCAGTAAGGGGGATAATATTTAGGGTTATGCATGAAATTTAATGGAGAATTATAGTCAATGTTAATTGGGATGTAGACCAATATGCTGACAAGGTCAATTTATCACAACCCAATAGGGATGGGTCAGCAACTGCTGAACCAGAGAGATTGAAGAAGTTCTTCCCTGAGGCTGTGCTCAGCAAAATTTCAGTTCCAACAACTGTTATAGATAGGCAAGGAAAATTTTTGGTGGTTTATCTCTCTGATATTTTGACAGCTTCTCATATAGTATGTTTCTGATTGAGGATTTTCCCTTAGGGCTGATTAATTAATTAGGAGCATCTTAATCATATCACTACTGGCTTAAGAGAATCCCTCCTTAAAACTGTTGATCCTAATTCAGATATCAAAAAAAGTTGGAGAGATGATGGCTATATGGTTCCAGCTGAAAGAGGGGAATTTGGGATTGGTACAATTACAGTAGCTCCTGCATATTTCATGCAAAGATGGCAGGTATTGTATTTTCACTTGTTATATATATTGGATCTAGGCTTAACTCTATTCTTAGCAACTAGTGGATCCATTGGTGACCTCAGAGTCTTACAAATCGGAGAAGGTCCAACAATGGTTAGCTGCCTTGACAATATCAGAAGTTCTATGGAATACCATTACCAGAGTTGTAGCACCAGATCTTTTTCAAGCTGGCATCTCTGCATTTTCTGAGGTCATCAAAGAAGTCCCTTGATCAAAAAAGAACCCTGCTCTGGTGGACTCTTGGCCCTCAATCTTTTCAGGGCTTGAAATTATTACTAATCATGTTACCTTTAGCCACAGAGATGCTAATGGATCCCTATCCCTTTTTGATCTTCTGGTCAGTCTAGGAAGAAATCATCATGCCACTTTGGCCTTGGCAGACCTCCATGCAGAGCTAGATTATTCCCCTGTGTACAAAACATTGTAACCTGAATGTGTAGCTATTTGGGCTCAAAACCCAAAGGGTTTTGCGACCCGAAACATTGTTTCAAACCTGTGGAGAGAGACCACGATGAGCCATGAGGGCAGGTGGGCCTTGGTAGCTCAAAAATTGCGGAATTTTTCTATGAAAAATTCTGCCAGAGTCCAAACTAATGTATCGAGTAATCAAATTCTCTTTGGTCTACTTTTACTGTTGAACACAACTTTCAACTATAGCTACTACCAGGGAGTGGCGGGCAGGTGCAACAAAATGCAAGTGTATACAAGCCATAGAGGACTTGCAACTTGGACCAGTGTACCTTCATTTTGTCTGTCAAAACATTAAAAAAAAGTAATTCATGTTTCAATGATTTTCTGTGTGTGGGACATGATGCAAAAATTGATCATGTTCCTTCATATATTATTTTTTAATGTTCTTGGATCAAACATATGGTGAACATGATGAAGTAATTGAAATTTTTGATACACAGAACATTGGAAAAACAGAGGCAAAAAATTTAACATGATTGTAAATTGTTATTTAAGGAATGATGAATGAAAAATAGAGACTGTTTTTTGAGGGAAAATGACTCATTTTTATATTATGTCTTGCATACAGAAAATCTTCAATACATTGATTGTTTTTTTTCAATGTTTTGTTACACAATTCAAGGAAATTTCTATCTTCTAATTCAATGTTTTTTGGATGTTTGGTGAAGGAAAATGAGTCAATGCCTGCAGTGACATATACCATATCTAAAACTCGAAGGGAAAAGGTTTCATGGATAGAAACGGATACTTCATCTATCTATGAAGACTATGACAGTGAGGCTGAGCCAACCTTACTGTTGAAACAAAAACACCACCAGAATATTGAAGATTATTCACTGGTCGATTATGATGGAGAGATATATGGTGATTTTTGGACAGGAGGCTTAAATGGTATCCAATGAAAGACAAAAGTGAGTTCTGTTGAAATAATTGTTCTTGAAAACTAGCCAACATTACAGACCCAAAATGATTTCCTTAGGAAATACTTGCCTTGGCATAGTGAATATCTTTCAGTGTTATTGGAGTTGGAACAGTTGATCAATGATGGGAAATGTGAGGATTGTGAAGGAGAGGACAGGTTTATTCATTGTCTGTCCTGCTCAGGAGAGCATGCTTGGTGTCCCTCATATGCTGTTAATGCCCACCAGCACAACCCCTTCCACAACCTTTAACTTTGGAATGGCAAGTTCTACCAATCTACTATCCTACAGGATCACAGATATATAATGTATCTTGGCCATGGGGGACATCCTTACCCCAATTCATTGCAGCAGTTGAACCCATCACACTAGTTAGATCTTGAAGCTATGGAAGATGTGTTTGCACATAGGGAGGGAAATACCATTTATGAAACAGAGTTGGGATTGTCTAATCTGGTTATTGTGCACTCCACTGGAGTTGACCTTTTTTTTTTTTGCTTCAGAGTGTGGTCCTTTAGGGTCATAGACCCTATGTCGGACATTGTCTTGTCATCAACTGTCTTTCTTATATGGGGTGGGTTGTGTGCTTTCATCTATATTGCAGACTCATACTCTGTCACTAGGTGATTGAGCACATTAAGAACGCTGCAGGTAAGAAGAATGTTAGTAGAGGTTTTGGGAGAATAATTTTATAACTTCGTGGTGATGGTCTGGATTGTTGGTCACACATTGTTGATAATTCCTCTAGTAGCGTGTCTTCTTTTGTCCCGTCAATGACATCAGCGTGCGGTATTGGTCTTTTTGTGATAGAGTATGATGATGATGATAATGGTAGTGCCATTGGTTGTGGGTATGTGTCGTTTTGGGTGTGTTTCCTTTACATATTTACTTCGATATGTTCGTTTATTCATGTTATAGTTCGCCAAATGTTGGTTTAAATCTTCCTGTGCTATTTACGTATCAGATGAGGTGTGGTGTGATTTTGTCAGAGGTTAGGATGTGGGTTATGGACAATGTGTCTCATCAGGTGGTGTTCGCAAAGATGTGGTGTTCATTGCGATATTGAGGACAGTCGAATAAATAGTGGTGGATGGTCTCGTTTGTTCCTGGGCATATTGGGCAGTGTGGTGAGTCAGCTTTATTGATATGATGCAGATGATGATTGAGGGGAATATGTCGTGTTCGAAGCTGAATGTACATGCTAGTGTGTCGCTTGGGGAGGCCATTGACAAGTTTGAGGTATCTGGCAGAGGGCATAGATGGGTCGATTTCATGGGTACAGGTGTATCAGGGGGACTTTGTCCAGAGGGCTTTCCACATTTCCTTTACCTTGACCTTTTGTGCAGCTCTTAGTGCTGGGGCATTACATAGGAGTGGCTTGTTTTGCAGGTATTTGGGCAGCTTGCGTGTCGGGCTGTTATTCTGTGGGTCTTCTGCGGCTTTCTTGGCTTCACAGTCTGCTAATTCATTGCCGATTATGTTCTTGTGTCCTGGTACCCAGTGTACGGTGAGGTCGAAGTCCCTTTGGTCATTCTGTCGTTTCGAGATTGATTTGATCATGTTCCTGAAGTGTCCTGGGATGAAGTCGCTACTGTCCTTGTTTGTCGAGTAGAATCGAGGCTGGGAAGATTATGTTTTGCTCTGTTGCTAGGAGTTTGGCGGCTAGGGTCATTCCCAAGGTTTCAGCTTCATATACCATGTGTTTGTCGTTTGGTCCCAAGTGATATCGTAATGTGCGTGGTTCATGTCCTTCTCGTATCAGCACTGCTGCTGCTCCGATCCCACCTTTGTATCCTGAACCATCCATGTAGATTCGGATCACATCGTTGAGTCGTTCATGTTCTCGTATTGCATCTTTTTTGTTTTTTGCGATTTTTGTCTTATAGATCGGTTCTTCCTGTATTCTCGTGTGGTTTGATGGCTCTATTTTCTCTACATCATTCGGGAATACTTGGAAGGTGTGGATGAGATTATGCAATGATGATCGGTGAGTCTGGACATTGTGTTTTGCTATCCACTGGATTTTCTGTGGAGTGGGTGGGATTGGGGTAGGGTGGCTAGGTGGACTGTGGCGTGGTGACAGATCTTTTGAAGTGGCAAGGGTATAGGAAGGAGGTTCGCATGTGCTTCAAGTGCGTCAGTTGGGGAGGTCCTCATGGCTCCTGTTATGCTTACTGCTGCTATCTGTTGTATTGATGTGAACCTTTTTGCTATTCCCTTGGAGCCTCATTGAGTGACGTTTACATTAGTTCCTCTCTTGTGTACTGGTCTGAACCATATATTGGCTCCATACGCGAATTTTGGGACTGCTACCGTTAGGTATAGTTGTCGCATCAGTTTGGTCGGGATCCCCATGGCTGTTTTCGAGAGACATTGTATCTGTAAGACATATTTGGTACCTTTCGCTATTGCATATGCTGCGTGCTCCTTCCATGTTAACTCCTGGTCGACTATGATTCCTGGAAAACGAGTATGGTGGGAGGGTTGGATGGTTGTTCCGTTGATGATGATGGGTCTTTGTTCCTTCATTTTGCTACATGTGAAGTCCATGAGTGCGAACTTTGTAGTTTCGAATTTGGAGTTATGTTCCCTTAACCATTGGTATCCGCCATTTTCTCGTTCGAGCATGTCCTTGAGTATATTGTGTGTTTCTTCAAAGGTTTCGGCGATAGCGATGAATGCTGTGTCGTCTACGAATGCTAATGCAATTTCTTCTCTTCAGTTACCTATGCGTCGAGCTACTTCAACTAGATCGGAGTTGTATATAATGTAGCATATCATGGATAATGGGTCACCTTGTCCTATTCCATTGTTCACTGGGAACCAGTCTGAGGTGAAGTCATCGAAGCATAGCTGGGTTCGGCGTCCTGTGAGCATTCTTTCCGTGAAGGAGACAAGTTCCGGCGGTAGATGTTGACATTTCATGTTGTGGATGAGGCAGCTGGTTACTGTGTTCAGGAAGGCACCTTCAATGTCTAGATAAAGTACTGAAGCTACTCATTTCAATCTCTATGTGTCCTTGATTGTCGCTTCCAGAAGGTGGACGGAGTCCATTGTTGATCGTCCTGGGTGTCCTCCAAAATGATTGGCTGGTAGGAGGTGGTGGGTTTCAAGGATATCAGTTACCTGTTGTGTGACTATGGCTGTTAGTAGCTTGCATGTAGTGTTTATCAGTGCTATTGGACGATATGCCTTGGAGGCGGTGTAATCAGCTTTGCCGGGCTTCCGGAGTACTACACCTCTTCGAGGAATTGAGTCCAGTGATCTTTCTTGGCTTTGTAGATGGCTTCTGAGACTTGGTTCCTGAATTTGCGGTGTTCCTCGTGTGATGGGTGACTTGGTAGCACTCTGAATTTGTATGATAGACCACTTAACTCATGTTTGCATTCTAGCATCTGGGATAGTTCCTTGGTCCACCAATGTTTTGCATGTGGGTTTGGTTTGGATTTCGGTACAACTTCTTCAACGATGTCACGGAGTACCTTTGTGAGGTTCTTCGCTGCAGATTGGAATTTTTCCACATCGGCTATCGGTTGTGGTTCTGGTATTGTGGCCAATTGTTCTCTAAGTCACTTCGCGAACTTTTCCCAGTCTACATCTCGATAGTTGAAGTTGGTTGTTATTGTCACTTGTGGGACTGCCAGGTCAAGTGTGCTGAGGATGGGGACATGGTCTGTTTTTGGTGGGTGCAGATTTGGTGCCATGTTGCATATGGTGAATAGTTCTAGCATGTGGTCAGTGCAGAAGATGTTGTCTGGGCGAGTCCAGTTGCCAGTTCTCGTGGATTGTAGTGTCGGTTTGTCTTTTACTAACACTTGGCACATTCCATAGTCTGCTAGTAATTCGATCCATGCTTGCGTGTTGGTCTGTGCTTTGTGGGGCTCACAGAGATATCAATTTTGCTCTTCTTCCCAGAGTGCATGATGGCAGTTGAAGTCTCCTAGCCATATGACATGGTCATCATGCGTGGGTCGGACGGTCCATATGTTGTCCTCGAGGTATTGATGAAGGATGGGAGGGGTGTCTTGCTTGTCTCCGTCATTGTAGATATTGAATATTGTTTGAATACTGTTAGCTTGCTGAATGTCCCTGTGAATTGGATTACTACTACATCTGCTGATGGAAAAGGGAGCTGTCTCCAGCTGTTAGTGTTGATATGTTTATGTACTAGAGTTACAGCGCATGAGCGCTTTGCTTGTGTATAGCGCAGCATGGGATATACAACATGCCAGTTGGGTGTGGCTTTCATGTTACCTTTGGAGTCTATGGTTGGTTCTTGAATAGCAATGATGTCCCAGTTGCAGGCTGTGTGTGGGTCGCTGAGGATACAATGTTGGGCATCTGGGAAGGTGTTGAGGTTTTCTTGCCATATTCATAGATGAACTGCTGAGTTGTTTGGTGTATTGATCATCTCCATCCGTCTTGTTCTTGTTAACTGAACTGTATTACTCCTGATGGGTTGAAGTGTGGTTCGACAGATTCAGATCTTGGGCGTGTGGATGCTCAGCTAGGTGCAAAGCCTCTTGATGGTGGTCGTGCTCCTTTGTTTGGTGCCGTTCCTCTGGTTGGTGCCGTATTGTTTCTCCTTGGGTATTCATTGATGCATTGCTGAGTTAGTTCCTTGTTTGGTGGGTTGTTTGAGGGTTGTTTCCTGTATGGGGGGGGGGTTTGGACGGGGCTGCTACCTGCATCCATTGTTCATCAGTAGGGGAGTAGGGCATCGTGTTATCTGGGTATCTTTTGTCAGTATCTTCACACTTTTGACTGAAAGATGGTCAGTCTCAGCTCCAGCTGGGATGGTCGTCTGTGTTGCACAATGTGCAGAAGAGCTTGTCTTTGGCTCAGCAGTCTTGAGTATGGTGGTTGTTGCCACAATTGGCACATGTGTCTCCGTGGGCTATGCACTCCTGTGCTATATGACCATAATGCTGGCATTTTGCGCATCAAAGGGGTTCACGTCTGTTCTTCTTTGGCCATAGCAGCAGGTGGTCCAAGGTGATGCCTTTGCATATTGCTAAGTTGGTGGTTTGAGGGTCTGTAAAGATTAGCATTAGGTGTGTGACTGTTTGGGTACTTGTCCGCTTCTCAGCAGGTTTCACCCAGTGGGCCATTGAGATAGCTCCATTGCTCCAGTTGTTTTCTTTCTCTAGGCATTTTAGGTTGTCTTTATTGCTCGTGTCGTAGCTGATTGGCATGAATGGGACAATCAATGGGTAGGTCCTTTCCTTGAAAGTGGCTTCTGGGTCGAGATTGCGTACTAGTGTGTTCTTGATGTCCAGGTTGCGACAAATGAAAGTGGCTGCTTCTTTGGTCGTTAGTTCAATTACCATCCCTCCTTGCTTGAATTGGGTAACCAAGCACATTTCCAGTTTGGTTGATTCTTCATTCGTGTCAATTTTGCTGAGGGCATTCTTGACTCGTTCTACTAGCTGTGTGTGAGATGATTTTCCTGCTGCTAATGGGCTATCAGGTGCGAAGCCTATCATGATTTGCCTGTCTTTGATTGCTTCATGTGCTATGCATTGCATTTGTTGTTGGGCTTAGGGTTCTGTTTTTGAACATTGGCCTGATGTGAGCACATTCGTGTATGTTGGTTTGGAGGCGATAGATTCGGCTACTCGTGCTGAGAGGTTGTCCATGGTTGTTCGAATCTTCTCTAATTGCAGATGATTGGTATTTGATGGGGTGTTTGTATCTGTTATGAGTTTGGTTAGCTTCTCTTCTGTATCTTGTAACTTAGCTATATGTGGGGAGATTGCCACCATTATGTGTCTTGCTATTGTGTCTGTGGTCTCATCTAGTACTGCCTCTTCCAATATAAAGCTACTGTGCAGATTGCTGTCTGTGCCGGTAGTGAGATTCCATTCAGTTGGGTGATGTGTAGGAGTATTTTGGTGATGGCTTCTGTGGTGTATGGTTTCCCACTTATAGCAAGGGTGATATGTTCCAGGTAGGCTTTTCCTGATGTTGCATTAGTGACTTCATTATTTAGGGCTATAATTTCAGTAGTGGTTAGTTTGAGTGGAGCTCGTCTGTTCTGGGTTGGTATATTCGCCAGAGTAGGTGGCCAGGAGGATTCAGAGTTACTAGTGTTGATGTTGGTGTTTGATGCCATCATGTCTTTTAGATTCCTCGATCCATTCCCTCTATTGCCTCCCTGGGCGGGTGCTGGGGCCATTTCTATTGTGGTTTGTCTTAGCTTTTTGTTGTTTTGGAGTCTGGGAGCGCCGTTGAGCGCGCATTTAGTTCCGGGGTCCTAGTTGGGGTGCCACCTGGTTCAGGTCCAAGGGGCTTTACTGGAGTTTACTCACACCATGTATCCTGGTGTCAGTGTCCTGGAGCTAAGAAGGACAGATATCTACATCTCCTAAAAGCAAAGTTATTTCCTGCCAGCATCACTCAGCCTCAATCTGCTTTTACTTTTGATGTTCTAGATAACTTCCTCATAGATGCTTTGGAGTGCAAGTGTTAGTTATATGATCATTCACCTCTACAGTACACATTTCTATGTCTTTTATGTGATTGCACTTATGATATCATTCCTTACATTTTGCTACCTACTTACATGACTTCCTGATCTCCCTAGGACGTCCCTAGGTCGAGTTATTACTGACCCTTTGATTGCAGCTTGTCTGTTTACATTTGTTTACCATACGTCGCCCATATCCCAGAGTCCAGTGCTTCCTGCCTCTTTGGCAACTTACTCTGGACTCTAGTCTGATCTCTTCTGGTCTCTCAGTAGCCTCTAGAAGCAGCCCACTTCACTCCCATCTTAACAGCAAGACCTCAGCTATAGGTTTCTATCAAAAGCTACGTCATTTTACCAATAATGCTTTCCCTCATAAAATACCTATGAGCAATTTCTTTATTATTGTACCCCAGGCTTACATAATAAAAAGGATTGCTACAATGAACTTATGTGGGTGTCTCATATATGGAGGGATTTGGTCAATAGAACAAGGTCCAGCTTTGCACATGAGTCAGATAGATCTCCTGGTCCAGAGGATTTAGCTCTTCATTGTCTAGCATGTCCCCAGCCTGGAATAAACTTACCTTCTTCTTGGAAGGATACCTATGACAGGTAAGTTAGTTCATCAACAACTGCCAACTGAACTGATCTTTGAGCCCATTCAGTCACATAGTCTGTGTTATACAGGCAGCCAAAGTTGAAAATATGCCGTTCCACACAGGCCAGCGGATATCGGCCAATTGAATGTGTTTGCCCGAGTCCAACATTTGGCCGGCCGACTCACTGATGGACAATTGGAACAACTGGGCCTATACATGGTGATGCTTGATATTAACATGTTGGCTGGTGGCCAGGAAACAAAGGTGGTGGATTGTGACATTCTCAACTGGGCCCATGTAGAAAATAGTGACTGTGTGTACTGGTCGGCCGATGCCAATAATGGGGATGAAAATATCATAATACTATCAGGTGGGCCAATATAAACAAATGCCTGATAATAGCAGGTGGGCTGCTGAAACTGATGCAATCGGGCTGGCCAATGGAAATAAATCCTCTATGCCATCAGGTGGGCCGATAGAAATGGATGCCTGATGAAATCGTGCGGGACAATGAGGAGAACACTCGGATTCTATCAGGTGGGCCGGTGTGGAATGGGTCTCCTGTGCGCATCAGTCGGCGCATTTCAGCACTTTCACTCAGTCTCCAGCTTTGAGGATTCAACAACATCGATTCAAATGAATCTGCAACATTTCGATGACTATGTAACAAAGTTAAATGTCACTGTAATGTATCATTATATTTGATCACACATTTGTCTAGGCTGAAACTGAGACATCCCAATCTACATTCATGTAACTCGCATACTGTGGCCAAGGTGTCCCCACAAAATTGTGAAGGCTATCGCGCACATCTAAAACTTGAAAGTGCTCGTCGAGCGGAGTTTGATTCACCCGAGTATGTAATGCTGATATGCGAACAGCTAGGACTTTCGCTTCAGAAGTAAAGTTTGTCTCGCAGAAAATGGATATATTTGAGAGATTCAACGATTATCAGAGGGAAGATTACGCCGATTATCTTTCTAGTAGTAGATTATCTAGTAGTAGTACTACTATCAGGAAGGTGCTAATCAATGTGCACGCAAAGCCATCCCCAGAGCAATCATGTTCTGCTTTACGGACAACGAAGCAGAATGCAGCGTAGGCGTGTCGTGGACGATGGTATTGTGGGTCTGAATTGCTTTGTACTCTGTTGCTGACAAAGACGCTGGTGAAAATTGTACTGACTTATATACTCCGTCTTGGAACTCTAGTAGAGTGTTATGGACTGCAGTGCCCCCGATTGAAAATAAGTCGTTGAGCTTGTCGAGCTCATTGAAGTCGAGTGCTTCATGAAGATGAGTGGTCCAGAGGGAATTACAGATTGTCTCGATGACAGCGGGGTGGTTGACAGGGGACATGACTGTTGGATCTTTCTGAGAGAAGCTAGTTTAGCAACCTAAGAACGAAAGCAATGTAAATGGACTTACAAAGAGATAGCTGTGGTTGACGAGAAGCGGGGCAACTGAGAGAAAGAGAATAGTGGTTGAGAATGAGCCATTGCGCCTCCTTCTTGAAGACTCCACGCACGGTCGTCATGATCCCTGATAGCTTCTTGCAGGTCTCGGCGTGATCTGGTATTTGCAAGGCCATCAATGATATACCTGATACTACATGTCCTGCCGCCTCCAAAAATGCTTCCTCAGCCATTTCAGTATTCCGTTCCATCGTGGGCATTGCATTCTCGAGGAGCACCTTTCTGCACATCACCTGTTTCGCCTCCTTCTTCACATCTTTCAGCTCTTTGTCTGTCAGCTGTCGGGGTCCAGGATCAGCATTAGGCTGAAGGCTGGATGGCGTAATGGGTGCCGGTAGTTGTCATCAGGATGGAATCGGCGCTGTAACAGATACTTCGCTTGTAGGCTACATTTGTAAAATAAGAACAAAAATAACACAAGATTCAGAAGACTTACCCTGATGATGCCAGTTGTAATGAGTTGCCCTCGTTGGCTCTCTGCTGGATGGTGGCGCGGATTGTATATGAATATGGTGCGGATTCCGGGAACATTGGTGCCTACTTGGGCTGCACACCGAGCCCGTTGGCGCTCGAGGCATTCTCCTTGCATTCAATTGAGACCTCTGAACCTTGAGCGTGTAGTGTGCTCGAGTTCCTGGATTCTGGGAGGTACGAGATCTTCAAACGTAGGTACATTTAGTAGATAGTTGTACGTGTCTGGTGATGGGGGGGAGCAGGTTGCTGGCTGGATGATGGCACGCTAAGTTGGTTGTCAAAGCATGGGTCACGAGGGGGACTGGAAGGCGGCAGATCATCATACTGCATTTGTGGCGGAGGGTAATAGGGAAGGGGTTGATAATGTTGAGGAACGCCAGGGTCGTGGTCTGGCTGAACAGGTTGGTAGTGCTGAGGAGCACCAGGGTCCTGATCTTGCATAGTATGGTTCCACCCATAGTGGGGCTGAGGGAGATGTCGTATGGAAGTGGTTGGTGGTCCTCCTGGTAGGACCCGCGCTGATCGTTTCGCGCTTCCTCCTCCTCCTCCTCCTCTCCCTCATTGTCATCATATCCTTCCATCATTGCTGAGAGGTGGCTGTACAAAAGCGGGGGCTGGGTATATTCTTCTTGAAGCCCGAGTTGGGTGCTGTCCGGTTGGAGGGAAGGATTAAGGTCCAATTTACGCCCTGGTTTTTTATCACTTTTGTGTTTTTTCGTGGGGGACGTTGTTTTTTTGCAGTAGCCTTGGAGGGCATGGTGGAAGGAAGGGCTTAAGATGTAATAGTCAGTACGTCGTAATTAGTCTTACCTTTCGATATTCACACTTCATACAATCGATGAAAAGATAATCACCCACGTGCCATGCCATGAGGCATGGCTATCAGCACGACCTCGATCTAGGTGCTACAAGAAGGGTAATAACAATGTCATAGTACGTTGGCTACAAAACACTGGCCCAGAAAGTTTGATACATATCATCTAACACAAAAACAAGGCGCCCTTCCTGATTAGTAGAGATAGATAACAGATCAGTGATTGATCCCGCCAATAAGAAAAGGCTAGACTCACCACATGCGCGAACTTGAATCATTTACTACGCACGTATCACAATATTAATATTCTCCCTAGTAATAATGAACGCATTTAATGATTATAATTACAAAGAAAAGAAACTAAACTCACAATACTGTTGTCGTCTGACATGGCGGAATCTTTGTCGTCATCGTCCGTGCCTTCTTGAATCAAATCTCCATCAGCCACCCCCCGGGAAGAAGCAAGTCCTTCCAAGTCAACAAGGTCCATTTGTACAGCAGCGAGGGCCTCCTGTTCTCTGCGGTAGGTCTGGATGGTATCGGCCGAATCTCTTGAAATCTGTTTCTGTGCTAAATCTAATATAGTTTCAACCCTGACTGAGCAACCCTATGCTCCTTCTGCAAGGTAGCAATGGTGTGTTTTGAAAACCTCTTCCACCGATTGATTTCTTCAAGCTCCCACACCTTTGACATTAGGTTGTGGTGCTTCTCGCAGGTAGCAAACTGAGCTTAGATGGCCTCTTTGATTATGTCCATAGGGATGTTAGAATCACTCAAGATGGTTTGTGCCTAATGTATAGTAGTTAATCAGAACACAATGAACAATAGATGATTTTAGACTTCTACCTCAGCCAAAAAGTTGCCAGGAGGGATATCATGGTTGACCCCAGTTGACAATCTAGATGACATGCTAGTGGGTGAACCACTGCCATATAGTGGCTCGCCATCAGGTGCGGATGAGTGTGAATTGAATTTTCCTTTATTGATCATGGGAGCCTTGTAACCTGGAGAAGAACACTCGATGTAAGTCGCAGAGCTGGTTGGGCTAGGAGGATCCAGAGGTCTGTGATTCATAATAAGGACGTCTGGCATGATAGGGATAAGTAACTCATAGGTGATATCGGGCCAGTCAGCTTACTCAGTCTGCGCACGCACTGCACGTCGGAGTTTGAAGGAGTCAACAAATTTTTGAGGAATGCTGGCAGACTTGGTATTGGCAATTGCCATGGATAAGGCTATAAATCTTCAAGGACTGCTGGCAAACGTACAATGCAAACTTGCAATCGCTGCACATCAATACAATCACCACGCATTGATAATCGCCTCAATGTCGTCTGGCATAGAAAGAGACCACTCACCAGACCCTTATAACTTCATCTCAGATGAGACGTCATTTAGAGCTGGAAGGTAAGTGCTTTGGATATCAATTACTTACCGAGGGACGACTCTAGTTGCTAGCGGGGTGCTATATGATTGTCCTACCTGTGCAACACAATTCACGTCAGTAGAGCATCTATGTAATCACCTGACGGATGATCCACGCTGCAACAGTGTACCTATTCCACTTGCAATTCGCCAACCCGCTGATCCAGGAGAGGAGCGCACAGCTCATTATCACAAAAACTCAGGATCTATCTATGGTTTTCACCAACCAAACTCCTTTGAGTGTATGAAGGCTCACGACTACGAAGCTCATCGTGCACATAACATGTACTACCCATTTGCTGACAGGGAGGAATGGGAGTTAGCTAAATTTCTTAGTGACAATCTTAACCAGGGTCAAATTACTAGGTTTCTGAAGCTATTGTGGGTCAGTCGGCTTGAATGACCACCTATTGAATCATCACTAATGACGTACAAGTAGGTTAAGTCAGAAACACAGAAACCACTGGCGTATAAGTCTGCGCAACAGATGTTCACCTTCATGGATGCCCTGCCAAAGGGACCGAAATGGCGCTGTACAACCATTCATACCGAAGGTTACATCACCACCCATCCTGTACACCTAATCTGGCGTGATGCCCTGGAGGTGACGTGGCACATTTTTGGTAACCCAGTATTCGCCAATGATATGGAGTTTGATCCATACAAGATCCAGGTCAATGGAGAACGTGAATATAGTGAATGGATGTCCTGCTCGCAGGCTCATGGTATTCAGGTATATAGTACACTTTATTCTATACATTGTACCTAATGATAGCCGTCTTCCTCTTAGGACCAGCTCCCATCGGGTGCTACTATTGTTCCAATAGTTCTTGCTTCTGATAAAACCCCGGTCACCCGCCAATCAGGTGGGCTCGAGATGCATCCTATGTTTCTCACTACAGCCAACATTCGATTGGACATCCGCATGAAAGCTACTTTGCACGCATGGTCATGCATTGTGTATATGCCTATCCCACAATTCATTTGTCATCCAGACTTCTGCTCACTCTTGCAAGCCCGTATCTGGCACCGGCGTGTAGATATTGTTTGTGAAAACCTTAAAATCACCGCTGCAACTGGCACAAGCATGGTGGATCCATCCGGTCACTTGCGCTACACATTCACCCCCCTTGTCGCATACACTGCGGACCTCCCTGAACAGCAGATGATTGCGTGTGTCAGTAAGAACGCATCACCCATTACCTTGGCTACCCAGTCACAGTTTGGGGATGGCGTATCATACCCTCCTCGTCATGGGAATATCATGATTGAAGCACTGCACCGACTTTGCCAATGCATGGATCCCTGGAAGGTTCAAGAATTCCAAGAGGAAGCCAAATCACTTTACCTCAGCAGGGTCCAACTTCCCTTCTGGCACAACTGGCGCTTTAGTGATCCTGCATATTTCCTTGCGCCTGACATCCTACATACACTCCACAAATTTTTTTTGACCATATCTTCAAGTGGTGCAAGGAAGTTCTGGGGGCAGATGAGCTCGATTCACGCTTTCGTAGACAGCACAAACATATTGGCACTCGTCATTTTTCCCAAGGTGTCTTGCACATCCAGCAAATGACTGGGCGGGAGCATCGGGATATCCAGCACACGATTGTTGCTACACTTGCGGGTGTTGCTGATGCGAACTTTATCCAAGCAATTTGTGCGCTTATCGATTTCGTTTACCAAGCTCAATCTCCAACTTTCACTCCGTCCTCGATCACTGCTATGACATCCTCACTCGCAGAATTCCATCGCTTCAAAAGAGCTATTATCAGCGCTGAGGCTCACAGGGGGACCTCCGGTCCTATTGAGCACTTTGAAATACCTAAACTCGAACTTCTCACTTCATTTGCTTGAGCTATCCCTAATCTTGGCGCCCCAATCCAGTTTACATCTGAGACCAGCGAACGCATGCTGATCACGCATTGCAAAGGTCCTTTTACGCGCATTAGTCATCAGCGTGCAAGCTTCATGCAGCAAATCGTCTGCCTTTTGGATCAGGAAGACACAGCGTGCCAATTCGACTTGTATGCTCTCCTCCGCTCAAAATCATTGTCCATTAATAATCTGATTGACAATGAATTCGAGGAAGTTGTCGACATCAACCCGGTGTGTGATTGGATCATGCGCGTCTCTCCCAAGGAAGTTTCTCGTTTTCATAGTCCCCATCCCGTCCGCAACCATTTTCTGAAGAGGCTTCTTTCAGAAGATAGCCGTGTCACATTCCACGTTACTGTTTCTAGTGATCTGGCTGACAAGTCACCTAACTCTTTGGTGCGGTTATATCATCTTCCGAACTTCCCTAATCTACTTCATGCCTTTATTGAGCGCGTCAATGGGTCAGGGTCCCACTTTCAAACGTGTCTCCTTAAGGTTTGGAACAAATTCCATCTACAGTTACATTCAGACCTGCGCCCACATCTTGTGATGCCAAGCCAACAAGTACAAGCGTATCCACCGTCTGGAGCTTATCCCCTTGGAAATTGTGATATGGTACTCCTGCAGACGCAGAATGATGGTGAGACACCAATGTCTTATTAGCATCATTGTACTAACCCAGTCCTCTAGATCAAGTCGTAGTTGCACAAGTTCGAATGGTATTTGGCTTATCAACGAGGGGTTCTGCGCTGCCTCCCGAACTTTCTGAGCCACTTCTTTACGTGCAACTCTTTGAAGTGATCTCGCGTCCGCAGGATGATCATGTGGTCATGATGTACCGTGTCAAGCAATGGTTCGATACCGGTCCTGATGGTACACGAGCGAGGCTTAGAATGATTGTACCGCTTGTTGATGTCACTCATGCAACCGAGTTGATTCCTGAATATGGTCAAAGAGTCAATCACGATGTTACTGCTGCAACATCCTTGGAACTTTATGATACCTTCTACCTCAACAGTTTTTCAGACAAGGAATGGTATCACGCATTGCACACAGAGTTTTATTAGTTCGTTTCATCCAACAGTGTACCAGTAGTAGTAGGAATTATATTAGTGTGATGTTATCAGTTCACTATCTAGGCAACGATAAGATATGCAGACGCAATAGAGGGCATTGCCGGTTACAAATGACAGCTGCACAGTTGAACACCAAGGCCCAAAGTTGCAAACGAGTATATATATCATCGAGGCCATTGTCCATAGCCCATTGAGCGAGTGTTATCTGGGTTGTAACCGAGGCCCAATATAACTCTGGATGCATCACCCGGAGCGCCGCTGAGGCCAAGAGCGCCAAGCGCTGCATGGATGTTATCACCATAGGACCTTCTTCCCCTTTGAGCGTACCTGACACCTCAGGAGTGAATGCACCGGTGGGTGGAAAACCATATGGCTGGAACAGCTGAGTGAGCAGACATGACAGTGGAAAAAGCAGGCCTGACCTCTCAGCCTTGCTAGGACCAGAAGGAGCCATGTTGATCCCTGTGGTGGGAAGCATTTGCCTGGTTGACCACTAGTGGTTGTTACATTCTGACCTTTGTACAATGTCCTGTGCCTGGGAGAGATGCATTTTGTATCGGGCATCGCTGACCATGAAGCCCAAGCCGTCAGTCAATGCCACTCATCGGTTGGATTGGTGGGATATAAATGCTCGGCCTTGAAATTGCCATCCATGACCAAAGATCTGGAATACAGCCATGCAGGGTCGGATTCATTTCTGTCTGACATATTGAGGTTTACACCAGGCTGAGGACATGCAGGACAGAAGAGTGCAAGCTCCCCTGCCTTTGGCTTTCGCTTCTCATGGCCAAACCCATGCCACTTGAGCTGCTTCACTTGTCTCCACTGCCTGCCGACCCTCATCAAATCTCTGTACCAGTCCTTTCGGCCATTGTTAGCAATGCAATGCAGGAAATCCACATCACTCACTGGAACCAGATGAGGGAACACGCTTGATGTGATTCTTCTTAATTTACTGTAGTAGTTCATTGCTGATGTCCCACATTCATGGTTGTCCAGCAGGAAGTTGTCCAACACCGCAAATGTGAATGCTATCTTCGGCGAAGTGAAAGATGCAGGGAAGAGGCTGGTTTCAAATAGTTGCATGTCAGGGCTCAGTGCACCAGCACACTGACAGAATCTGATCATCATGGAGTGGAGCCCGGATGTATCCACCACCATAGTCATCCGAGGATCATTAATCAATATGGTATCCATGGGCCATCTGTCAATCGGTCTCCTTCATCATCTGTGTCACACCACCCATCGGTCAGTCTGGGGCAAGGCTCGCCTGCATGGCCAAGGTGGACTTCAAACCCAATCTTGGTCAAGGAAGTGTCTTCGAAGAATTCCCCAGTCCATTGACTGATCTGATGGAAAGGCATGCGGCTGTGAAACGTCCGACAGCAATGAGTACAGAAGAGCGGTTCACCCATGCAGCCATGACATCTGTAGACTCCATCCTGTGGACAGACAGAGCACATCCTGTTGGAAGGTGGACCCTCTCGCCGAAGGAGCAAGTCCAAGTAGTCCTCAGTCTTGTACTGCCACTCACGCAGATAGTCATTTTGACTCTTGATATTTGGTGTCAGCACATGAGACAAGGCAAGTGAATGGTGAGCTTGCCATGGACTTGCAAAGACGAAAAGGCTTCAAGTTACATTCACCTAGGTCATAGTGTTCATGGTCACCCTCCGCATGAAGTCCTTTGGTAGATCGCTCCTTAATAGGCAATTTTCTGGGGGATGAATGAACTGATGTTGTTTTGTTATAACGTCGAGCTTTGACAAATCGTCCTGTATCTTGTATCTCCTCTAGATGTTCGTTTGTTCTCCCATTGAACCAAAGAGGATAATCTTCGGAGAACTCCAGGCCTTTGGCTTTGACTTGACCATGGACAGAAGTAGTGCTGCAATTGTCAGTATGTTAGACTTTGGGACAGTTTGGTGCTTACATGCAACTGCCAAATGCAATGCCTAGTATGTAATAGTCACTTTGATCTCTCATAAATCATTGGCATCAATATTCACGGCGCAATTCCAATGGCTGATAGTGATAGTGTATATGATATGTCAAGAGCACTTCAGGTCCTCCAATTTCATGCCACCCACCCACCTATGCATCTACACCACTCAATAAGTCTTGTAACGGTAGGGCTCACACTATTTGGAACAATCTAGCCCTTATGTTCACTTATGACATGGGTATGTCACTTATGTGAATCATTACTCACACGAGCTTCCTTCCATTTTTTGTTCCATCAACCACATCAACGCTCTCCTACACTTACATTTCCAGGTTCTTTACTCCAAGCCACCTACTGTGATATGGCTCGGACAACGATAAATACCGGCAATCAGCCTCGATTGAACAACCGAGAGATCACCACTCTGTAATCCCACATTGAGGACTGGGAGAAGGCCAGAGGGACTGAGCGACAACAGATCTTCAAAGCGGCCGCCAGAGAGGCCAGACTGTTGGCTTCAAAGATGGACCAAGAGCTCTTGAAGCAAAGAAAAGAGGTCAGTGTTTCAGCTTTCATATCACAATAAACACAAGGCCAATGCCAAAGCACCAATGAAGCTCCGAAAGAAATGGACAGTTGAAGAGCAGCGGAAGGCTGACATTCTTCAGCAAATACATGAAGAAATTGAGGAGGAGACTGGGCAGAAAGGCTGCCTGGGCAGACAGAAGTCCTCAGGAGGTATCAACCAACGATGATGGCAATCATGAAAGGGCTGGATCACAATGAGTTGGAGGAAGCCCAGGCGAAGGCCGACGAGTGGACAAATCAAGCACCTGACCCTGTAGTCCAGGCCAAGATGGCTAAGAAGAAGGGCGAAAAAATGATCAAGCACTTCGCCAAAGAGATATTTACTCAGGCCAGTATGAGACTCTTTGTATTAGCATCCTGGAAAGATGAGAAGGGCGCCCTGCTTACATCTGGGCAAGTTGATATGGTCGGTCAGTTGGGTCGGTCATTGTGCTTACATGGTTTGGCAGGTTCAACTTCAATGAACACCCCAGGAGAGGATCCAGCTTCATGAAATGCAAGGACTGGCAGGTCATCTTACTGGCATGGGAAGATTTCATCGGTGATGAATTCAGTAAGTCTCAAGACCATCTGAGAGGTGCTTTATTTAATTTATGTTACCTCCACAAAGACCAGGATCAAGACCAGGACAGCATGCTGCTGGGAGGCACTCACCGGGTCCCCAAGCCTCATTATGAGTTCAACCTGGACCGCATGAATTTGCCGATATTGCCCGATATTTGAGGGTGTCTCGCTTGAAGTCAAAAAGGCAATGATTCGGTCATTCCTCACCATTCATTACAGTAAGCCCGATGATAGAAAACCTGTGCCATCATCTGACACCCGCCACCATAGGAATATGCTGCGGAAAACGGAAGGTCCCAGTGCCATGGAGTGACATAATGAAGGGGCAGTCTCAATTCATCTCCAGCACATACCTGCCAGATGATATCAAGATCACAGACCCATCCAAAATGCAACGGGATGAAGCCAATGCCTTGTTGGAATGTTGGTTGGACTGACAGGACAACCAGGTTGGACTAACATTGAAGTTCAAAGCGTGGATTGACGACAAGGGCAAGATGCATTCTCCCGTTGGTGAAGACTCTGATGACTCTGATGCTGATGCTGATGATGAGGGCTTGTGGCCCAGGCCAACTACAAAGTCATCGGCACTGCTGCACTATCATCGGCCGGACTTCCAAAAAGGCCGACGAGGTTCATCAAACAAGCTCATGTTAGTTCTGCTGATGAAGAATCTAACAACACCGATGCATATGTGTCTCTGCCAAAAGTAAGGAAAGATGCCCCTGACTGTGTGGGGAAATGTCGTCCATCATGAATGGCCACCAAAACCATAAGATTAGCTGGATGCGGATCATGTATACTCCCTTGTGACCTAAGTCATTGTGCACTTGCTTGAGGATATTATAGCCACTGGCTGATTAACCAATGTGGTGTAATCTTCATCTGATAATTCTGACGGATGCTTGCGTGTTATCAGAAAATGCTTGACAGCGGAGGACAGGTAAGCGACACAGCAGCGTTATGATCAGCACTAGGCGTGCTGCTTGTGTGATATGAGTTCCAGCGGATTCTATTGTGAATGCACAGTTGTTGAGCAAGGTTAACCCAAAGGAATAGGCTCAGTCTAGCCAATCCTCATGGTCACCTTCCTTGGGAACATTGTCCTTGGTGGCCAGTCTCCTTGAGAGACCATCGGCACCTTTATGCTTTGCAATGGGTACATGAACAAGATTAATGGGGAACAAAAGAATACCCACGATCCACCGATTGATGGTCACATTGGGCTGCAAGTCCGGATTATTGATCATACCTTTGATGTACTTTGTGTCGACTTTGACCATAAGGTTGGTAACACCAAAAATGAAGATGCGCACGGCGCACAATGCACGGAAGAGTCTGTATAACTCTAACTTCACCTGTGAGTAACAGCTTTCAACTTCGCTGAGCATGATAGAGCTGAAGCAGTTTGGATAGTGCTTGCCATCCTCGCCAACTTGAAGCAGAATATAGCCAACCACAATGGTGGACATGTCAACCGATAGAATAACTTCTTGGCCACTGTCATAATCGATCGGGCACAACACCAGTGAGTTAATGACTGCGGCTTTGAGTAGATCCATTGCTCTGTGATGTTTGTCTTCGAATTCGAATGGTACATCTTTGCTGGTGAGGTTAGTAAGCAGCCACGCGATGCGCACAAAATTACGGATGAATATTCAGAGGATACCACAAGTGCCCAAAAACCCATGCACTTGTGTCTGGGTCTTCAGCTCTGGCCAACATGGCCATTGACACCTCATACACGCCTGAAGAGATCTTTTCCTTGATGATGTGCATAACTTCACTGACAATAGCTGGCGGGATTGGAATGTTGCATTGATTCCACGGCATGTGCAGGACTGTAGGTATCTTGTATGGTGGGAAATTTTTTTGTTGAGGCGGCAGCACTCGGTGGTGCACCAGGTGAATGCAAGTTCATGCATGTGGACAAGCCATCTTACTAGTTTGAGTTCTTCTGGCCATAACCATTTGGCAGGGTCAAGATCAAGCTTGTCGGCTCTCTCTTGCGTGAAGCGGGTACCTGGAACAAAATCTGGGGGGTGAGCGGGTAATTCTGGCAAGCCAGCAAGTGGGTCTTCAGGCAATTGCCACACAATTCTATACTCGGCTGGCATAGCTGTCAGTACCATGTGGACTTTCTTTGCGACTGCTTTATATACCAGCACGTGCAGATCATGGTCGTAATAATACCATTCATTGAAAGCATTGATGGTCACTTTATTAATGACTGATCTGGTGGATGTTAGATGCACATAATGCGCTGATTGGAGCAGAGATGGAGAAGAAACGGATAACAGCGGCAAATGATGCAATGATATGGAAAACGATGCAGTGTTGCTCCTTAGGAGCATTGGTGGTTTGCCCTCAGCACACACATATTGTGGCACTTCAGGATTTGAATGGAGATGCGGAATATAATGAGATGAAGAAACATGGTTTGCGGAATATAACAACAGTGGGTAGACGTCTCCCTGCGGCAGCTGCAGATCATTGAGACCTAAGAACCCTTCTCCTTGGCTTTTGCCTTTGTGGAGTGCTCAGTGCAATGCTTGCCGTTAAGACAATGATCGCAGTGCTTGACCCACAGCAGGGTCAGGAGGCATAATTCCTTATGGGTGTTTGGGTCTGTGATGACAATATCTTGATCCCCATTGGGGAGATCATCAGTGTGGCATGATGACAGTTTGAAAAATGGACGGCTGAGCAGAACCTCGAACATTGCGCGGTTAGTCACCTGTACTTGGAAGTACATTGGTCCACCACTGAAATCAAGCACAACACAGAGTGGGGCTATATAAAAATGGCTCCAAACTGATATCTTTATGTTGTGGTCTTGCACTGCTATACTTCGTGACAAGTGCGTTCGACCCAGGGGTCTGCGGTCTGGGAATAGTTTTGGGGGTCAGTGGGTGATGTGAGGTGAATAATCCGAGCACAGGAAACAATGTCCGAAGGTATAATTATGATGTCTGATGCAAAAGCATGGGGTCCAATGTTTTCCGGGTTTTGGGTTATTGGGTTCAGGTTCAGTGTATCGGAAACTAATAGTAACCCGATAGTGAGCATCAGGAAAGCGAGCAGTGTGCGCAATAATAATGATGACAGATACGGACGGTGAAGGAACAATGATATTCGCAATGTCAACTAAGAACTATGAAATATCGGATTTGACCCCTAAGCGTCGAAGATGATTCTCCTCTACTTGGATGATGATGATGCTATGGGGAGTCCAATATTTATGTAGATACGTAGAAATATGGAACCCTATAGGCGAAAGTAGTAGCGCAATATTTCAGGTCCGATGTTCTATGTAATAAGACATGATGTACTGCAGACTATGGGAATACATGTAATAACACGGTCGACAATGTTAGGGATGTGAAAACAAGTAACTATGCACCTAGTGGGGCTAGCGCAATGAGACTGGACATAGGTAGGACAAGTGTGCATGATATCCAATTGGCCAATGCAAAACCTGATGCAAAACCTGATGTCCAATGTCCGATGTTTTTGGGTTTGGTGTGTATTGAGTCAGATATGATAGGGAATGATTTGGGTAATGATTAGCATTCAACATGCATCGGAAAATAGACTTCTACAAGGCCACAAGCACTCCAAGTCCTACAGCGGGACATTTTTGATAACACCAAGTGTAGCATTGTAGGAAGTATTTATCGATTCCATGTTGAGCTTGTGATCCGAGCACAAGCCAACACCTAATGACTGCCGTATTGCCCACAGCATAACAATGACCTTGGCGTCTTGGTCAAGGACACAGGTTAATACTCATCTGCCATATGTTACTGTGTGAATACAACATAGAGGCACAAAATGATCTGCAACCACTTTGCCATCATCGTGTCGCATGTGAACACCATCATATGTGCCAAGCCATTCTTCCATCACTGGATGTCTCGATAATTTGTTAATGGAGACAGCGCTGACGGTTACCCGTTTGGTAGCCATCATATCGTGGAACTGCTTCCTGATTTCGGGCAATATGGTGAATAGTTCTTGGACGGGAATATTGAGGCTTGTGTTGAGTAAGTGTTCGATGATTCGCTTGTCTGCTTCCTTGTATTCTAACGCATGCAAATATCTATACTGACTGGTTGATGTTGTGGCAGCAACGGGTGAGTTGGCAGTGGGTTTTGACAGTTCTGACGGTGATGTGACGGTGAGTCGGTGGCATCAAACCAAGCAAAAGAAACAGAAGCTGATGGGATGAGCAAGGTCTAGCTACTGACAGGCACTAGGTATATGTACCTAGGTGCCTCGAGGTCCAGACAGGACCCCTGGCACCTCCAAAAGACCCTCAAAACCTCCGAAAGCCCCTAGCTGCCAACCCCTACTGACACAATGGATGATGATTTCGGCTGTTCTTTGCTAGATGATGTGGTTGGTAATGGTGCGGTGGTAGCTTTAGGAGTCTCAGCCGCCTTGCCTTTGCCTTTGCCTGACATAGCTTGGACTTCTGAAGAGACAATCTCCTCAGCCACGGCTATTAGTCTGGACGCTGGTCCCAGATGTGCACAAGTTTCCCTGCCGACTTTGATGCCATCAAAGCAAATGGTCTTACTCTTGGCATTGTCTTTGGCGCTTCTGCACTTCAGATCCTGCTGAGTGATTGCTAGTGCAAGCACTTGTGCTGTGCATGCTACATCTAAATCATCCTCATCCTCATTGGATTCAGGGTCAGCAACAGTATGAATAAATGCGGACAAGTCAATGTCTACCACAACTTCCATGCTGGGTGACATGTGGTAAAACATACTAGTGCTAACGCTAGCACCTGGCAATGCCTCGTTGGCTTGTTGACTGCCGTGATATCAGTCAAGATGGTCCTTTAGTGTACTGTCGCTCTGCTGGCTGGGGATCCAATTGCTGTTGGGGAGTATGAGCTTATTGATTGTGACATCAAACTTACATTTGCTGGCTGCAATGTATTGGTCGTGTTCGGGGCACCAACCCATGAAATGGTCAGAGCTGCCACTGGGGCCATAGTTGCTGTTACACTTGGCAAAATATTCCTGTTTTACCGCCACTGGTAACACTGATGCCAGGCAACAAAAATGTCGCGGCCATAACCACGTCATTGAATGGGTACAAATCTTGTGAGTGGTGATCTGGAAATTTGATCATTAGCTGGATGAGCATCTGCGCCTGGACATCACTTGGGAAGCCATCTATAAAATTATGGTCATGCTCCACTTTACCTATGTGATCTTTCTCAATAAGTGCTTGCACAACTTTGAGGAACACATGCTGGTAATTGCCCAGTTCTTTAACTGAGCACATTGGTATATTCTTTTGGTTGTGCACAATGGCAACTAGATCATCAATGGCATACCATCAGTCGCCCTTGCAACCGGGGTACATAGTCTTTACCTCTTTTATATAAGTGATGTAATCACTGCTTTTTGCCTCAGGCATTTCTGCCCATAGTTCACATTCACTTGTTGACAAGTAGCAAATTATGCCTTTGATGCGGTCGGCATTTAAAAGGCACGCCTCATTGGCAAGGACTTCATAGTCATCGATGAATGCTAGGAGGTTTTCAGTCATGCCATCAAACTTCTGTGTGCCTTTTGTGCTGCGGATTGGCATTCTGAAGGTGGGGACGGTTGACATAGTGACTTGCAGTGTAGCGGGTGGAGATTGGGATACTGGTTGTTGGACAAGGGGCGATGGGCCATGCGAGAAAATAGCGACAGCTGTGTGGATGGAGTTTGGTGTGAGTGGTATGGTGGTTGG